TGAGTTTCAAATGGCAAATCGTGAATGGGTAATGGGCTCCTCTCAGAATATTTTGGTTGGGACGATCGTTGAATAATGGTAAGGGTTTTTCCAAAATCAGCGAACCAACCGAACGAGATAGCGCTTACCATTTGCAATTCGATTTTCCGTAATTGTTTTCGGCTGATGAAACGGATTTTTCACAAAAATTTGGTGTAATTTGACTTTCAACCGAAATTTCCAGATTTTTTTTGATAAATGGTAAGCACCCTTATTTTCCGAAAAATCCATTCGGAAATTGTAGACTTCCTCCAGAGGTGATCCTCTCCAGCTGGTTTAATTCACTTATCATGGAAGTTTACTGTAAACGTGCACAATTCCTTTCAATGCCACGCTCATTAGCCAACGCATCTCACAGTAACGCCTTCAGGCGTCTTGTGTTACCGTACTCTGATTTTATTCTGGCGCATCCTGTAAAACGTACCCCCCGCTTATGAGAACATTCGAATACAGTTGACTTATCTCACACTTCAGAGAAGTTTTGGTGCCTTTGAAACATGTGCAGCATATCCTGGAAAACACTAAGTTGAAGTTACAAAGAAATTTTCAGACCACTCTTGTGTCTGTCGTGTTAGCTCGAAGGACTGGTCGAACGAACGGAATTTTAGAATACATTTGTGTCTGGGCGAAGTAAACTCTAGCAATCACAGTTCTGACAAGAGTTTACTCGTATCGCACTTAGCACACTTTAAAGAAAGGCACCAATTCAGTAAGCTACACTCTATGCATGACTATTGTATAAAACAAAGTGATGGTTACTGAGGCTCTTCTTCATCTTGTGTAAGCATGATTTAAGGGCTAAATAGATTCTTCTCCTGGTCAAAGCCCAGTTCATACTGCCAAATTTGGTCGCTCGGTGGGGCGTGATTTGTCATTAAATCAACTTCGCAAAGCATCATGGCTCAAGGTTCAAGTTCAAGGTAGGGAAGTGCTTCAAAGGCTAATGGGTATTATTAATATTATGAGAAATTATGGGCTATTGCTTGTTTTGGCGGAGAGTGGTAAGGAAGGGGAAATTCCTCCATTCAGCTATACCGTAGCCTTTAAAACAATGAAGCGAGAATTGGAGAAAAATCGCAGAAGAGATTCATGGGTGTAATGTATGAAGTGGAGAACAAAAGCCTCGTCGAGAAGAACCTTACGTGAGCAGAACTTATGATTAGAAAGGCTGCTATTGCTACAGGTGATAGCAGAGTTATTGGCCTTTCCTCTCGTGATTTGTTAGCGGCTGATTCTTGGTACCACGAAGGACAATTTTTCCGCGTGTCTAAGGGCCTCTTGAAGAATAAAAAGATCTTACGTTCTTTAAATTACTCACATGTATGGAATCGATGAATATACAATAAAATATCTCAGTAGATAGATAAAAATAAGCATATTGACGATTGAATATTCGAATAAAGAAACTGAGATATCTCACCAAATATTTTGTCCAGCGGTAATGGCCCACCCGCCGTTTCAGTCCCCCCTCGGTCTTACTGAACAACTTTAAGGTGACTGCTCACTTAAAAGATATAATGAGCAAGAAAATGATAGAGCAAGTTGCCATCATTTTTTGCCTATGTACGTTCCAGTCCCCTCTCGTTGCTGTTCAATGATATGCGGGTGAATGTTTAAAGTTAGACCAATCTCTACCTTTGTCAATCACGTCAACCTCGCGCGTTACATGCTTACAAGGTTCGTGTAATATTTCACTGCAATTTCCCAAAATATTATCAGTTTAAGTTTTAAGATTTAGCTATGTACGTTACGGAATTTCAAAGTTTTGTTAAAGAAACGTGATTGCGTGTTTGGAGATGCTATTTTGATACATAAGCGGCCCTAACCACTCTAATTCTTTAAAGTGTTACACAATCAAATAAGGAGGGTAAGTCGCTAAAGGAAACTGTGGTGCTGCGTCGGTGGGGGAGTGTAACGATATGATGTTATCTATATCGGCAACCAATGGCTTAAAATCCGTAATTATTTTCATAAAGGAAATCAAATGCTTTCGCCACTGTTTTCTCTATCCAAGAACTGTATGTATAATAAGGAATAGGGATATTTTGCTTAGCTCTTCAAATGCTGGGGTCAGTAAAGTTCCTTGAACAATATTTCCTCAACAGAAAACTAGCATATTTTCATTGATGTTACCTTGATCAGATTCTTCTTTCCAATACCTTATTCAAGAGACTGGCAGGTTTTCCCTAATTGCGGACCGGAAAGTCATCAAGGAATATTTCTGTGTAGAGCTGCAATGAGAGGAGAAGAAAAAATAAAGCTCAGTGTCATTTATTTTCAACAATGTGATTCATTTCTGGGAAGTATTCAATCTTTCAGTCCGTTTGGGGAAGAGACTTGGGTAGGAGGTCAATGAATGACCATGATGAATGAATCGTTTGTTTGGGCCACCTGTGATCATACGAGTGATTAACAAATCGGGCTCTCGCTTCGCGATCGTCCGCTTTGTTAATCATTCGTATCATTACAGACCGCGTTAACTTAAGGTGAAAAAAAAAAAATCTTGGTCTAAGATGGGCAGTTTTTAATTGGCGTAAAGCAACTTGGTGGACATAGCCTGGGAACGAGGTTGAGTTTTGGCACCGAGTGTATACAGGCTTGAAGGGCTGGGCCGCGCATAAAGGACAACCAAGCTTGTTACAGTTAACACTTATCTTTCGAGTAAACTTTAAAATATTTATTTAAATCACAAACCTAATACTATGAATCGCTTTAATCGTTAACGTACTGATGAAAAATAACAACCTTGCGAACAGGCTGATTGATTTATTCGATTAATTAATTCAATATCTTATGTATACATTGGCGATGGGATCGATCAGTAGATTACTTTAGCGGACGAAAGAAACCATACTTTTCTGACAAAAAAAAAAATTGTGAAAGTCACTACCATGTATCTTTCATTTCAATCAGTCGAAAAACTTGCGGTCCATAAAATGCCTTCTGTGGCATATCGTTCCGAAGCGGAAAACTTCAGAGGTTTCTTATCAGATGTAAGCGGTAGAAAACCTTGTAAACAAAGATCATCGCGATAAAATGCAAATATTTATTGAGCGACTGTACGGCGGAACTTGACAAAGGAATGGAAAATAGGGGAATTTGACTCGTATAGGCAGAGAAAAATTCGAATTGCAGCGATAAAATTTGATGAATTTTGCAACCGGAAATTTGATAAAAGCAAAATTCTATTTAACACTGGTTTTGTAGAACGCCCGAGGTATGCGTTTATTATTTGTGGAGTTGGATGGTTACCTTCATTCTGGATTTCTTCGTGACTCAAGCTAAGTCATAAAGTAACTTATTCCTTTTCTGTTGACTTTGTCGCGGCACTTACGTTAGTCCCCGCATTTCGTTCAGCGATTTTAGAATTTGCAGTTTGTCTTGGCATCAATTTGTTCAAAAGTCTTAATCTCCATAACTCTTCATGTTAAGTAAACAATGAAAAGCACTCAACAGTGATTTTGCTAAAAACCGCAAGGCCTTCGATCTGTTCCCTATGAACCGCAAATCCGGTCAGAATATAAGCTCCGTATAGCCTCTTGATTCCTGCTACACTATATGCAAAATCGGACTAAATCAATTAGCTCGTCCGCACCAACCAATTTCGTCTCCTCAAGAAGAGCAATAACTTCATGATCAAATGAAAATTCAACAAGTGTAACTGTAAACTCTTAAATCTTCCGCTTTCATAGCCTCACAGCTCGTGTAAACATTTCCCTTCATGAAAAGGGGACAGGAAAAGGAAGCTAAATATCCAAAGGAAAGTATTTGGGGTTTTCATTTTGATTGCAGCGCTACAAAGTTTAAAATATGCTACACGAGAAAAACGGGATGATTATTCATCGCAGTGGCACATAAAAGTTCCCTTCGGCAAGATTGTATTGTAACGTAATAACTATGCAAAGGAATTTCAAACATTTTCCTTCAAATTGTCTACAAGGAAAAAATTGAAGTAGTCCACGAACACGAAGCCACGTCTTGCTGCGACCAAAAGAAGTTTTGCGCTCACATTTTTCCACACTGGATATTTTCAATCTCGCTCCAAATCACTTCAGTCATTAAAACTTTTAGTTTGCGTTACATTTTTAATCACTCCACAGGGTTTGTTACAATCAGTTAGGGTTACGAAAGCATTCCTTCGCGTGATTTTTTGCCTAGTTAGGGCATGTTTACGTTGCCAGTTCAACAATCTTTCCCTAATAGTATCATAGTGCCACTCAAAACACACTCATATTCACTCAAAGTAAACTCGATTACTAACAATTCTGACCTTGGTGCAATTACATGTCTCACACTTAACTGCCCTTTAATATCCTTTTAAATAGGTGCAGTATATTTGAACTAATTAGGGGTAACCACGAAATTAAAAAACATACGCACTTATGTTCACTTTAAACACTCGATCTATCGCGTTTCAAACAAAGTTCACTTGTCTTACGCTTAACAGCAGTACCGTTTACCTTTTGAACATGTAAGCACAGTATCTACAAAAATCAAGGAGAAAATGACCATAAAAAAACACTCTAAAGAAAACACACTCATGTCTGCTAAAAAAATTGATCGACATTAGTTAACAGACCAAAATTGACTTGTCTCATACTTGAAACAGGATTTGTTGCTTCTCAAACTAGCACAGCATATAATGATTAAAGTGTAAATGACACACTCAGAAACCAAAAAATTACACTCGTGTCTACTCAAAAAAAATTGATCGACTTTAGTTAACGGGAAAAAGTTTACTTGTGTCATACTTGATGCAGTATATTTATTACTTCTCAAAAAACGTATTGTCTACTGCTCAACGATTAAATGAAAAAGATAAATTTCAAAACACACTTGTATCCACGCACACACACACTGAGAGTAAACTTAAGCACTCACAGCTCTTACTAAGGTTCGTTTGTGTCACAGTTTTAAACACTCTTAATCAGGCGCCGATTCAGCCCGACTCAGGATCACGGTTAATGCATAAAATGCTCTGGTGTTTCCTTAGGTGGTGTTTTACCGTATGTGATTGCAGTATCACGGCTGAAGAGGTTCTTTTTCTTTCCAAAGCCCATTTGAAACTGCCAAACGTACAGCTTGGTGTTCGGTGGAATTTTCAGCTTAACGGTTTCGTCTTCTTCGGTGGTTGTATTCCACTGGAGCTGCTCTGTGTTGACCATCTTTCCACCAAACTTCACTTTGAGGCTATACTGAACTTTACAGAGAGCTTCAATCAATTCTGAAACTTGGGCTTTGATTCCTACTTCTTCGCTTATTCCCATCTCGATGGACCATTCGAACTCTATGGAGGACATTGTGCTCCTTTCAAATCCAACGGTTTTCTTGATGGTTTTTTCCCATTCAATGGCAGTGTTGGAGTCGTTTTGAAGACATTTTACATCTTTCCAATACCCGAACACTTTTCCATGCGTGTGCGCTATACCACCAGGGATAAACTTGAGCACTGACTCGTGAACGCTGAAGTCACCGCAATCTTTGTTCAAGTTCATATTGGTGCTTCTGTGATAGGTGACACCCCATTTTCTAGCCTGCTTCAGACAGTACACATAATCATTGGTACCCCAGAAATAGATGCCATCTTGGAACGCTTGATGGATTTTATATTCAACGGCGTCTTCATCTTTGTTCATGTTACTCACTCGTCTGTAGGTACCTCTGTTGGCAAACACGATGTACCAATTACCAAAGGCAGAGTAATAGCCGCTTCCTCCGCGACAGTTGCGATGAAGAGAGTAAACCACAGCGTCATCGTCTTTACTCAGGTCGGTCACTCTGCGATATTCATCTCCTTTAATGATGTAGAAATAAGAGTTAGTGGCCAAGTAATGATCGCCCCATCTACAGGCCTCACTTAGACGGTGAATCTTGATATCTTGACCAGCGTGAATATCTTTGCACCTCATGTAGACACCCACATCAGATCGGATGATATAGAAGCTGTTTTTATCACCACAAAAGTCTGTTCCCTTAGTCTCAGGTGCACTTTTCGGCACGATCTCCGGATAATCTGAATCGGCAGACATATTGTCGACTTGGTGGTTGCAGCTGATAAAAGCTTTCTTCTTGAGTATCTGCAAAGAAGGCAATCCAAAGGGAAAAGACCGGGCTTTTATGGACGCTGAATTTAATTATGGCTTGTTCGTCATTGGAGGGAGGGGCAATAGAATAAAATGTTTCAACTGTGGTTTTCATTGTCGTTATTCTTTTGCTTGAAGGGAAGTCATTGTGGTTAGAATGACTTCCGCAATGCAACACTAAGCATTCGAAAATGTGATGTCAATTCATTGTTCGAATATTGACAAAAGTTTCCTTTTTCTTTTGTGGACGTTTCCAAGAAGGAAGCAACTATACTTTGAAGGTAGTCTAACCGAGCAGATTTCTTGAACCGTGAAAGTTTTTGAAAATTCCGTAAAATGAGACTCGTACTATATAAGAATGTGCCGCTGAATTAACTGCCAAATTTGTCTCTGCAATTTAAATGAGGAGTGGTTTATCTGCGGAAGAAACACATCTCGCACAGCGAAACAATGTTACTCTATTCTATGAAAAAAACTTCTTCCTGAAGTAACTCAGATACTGAGCTTCACAGCAAGTTCTTATACCTTTGACCCTTCATAAGTGTTATTTGCGTGATCGGTCCCAAGTACACATTTTCCATCACGTCAAGTGGGTTATTTACATACAGGAAGCTAAATTTCTGGAAGAAATTTTCTTTTGTTTTCGGAATAATTAAAGTGTAACAAAATTTGGGTCTTAGAATGTGCTTTTCGAAGAAGAAGGAAGGATGTTCCGTGCATTGATATATCTACAAAAGAAACACATCTCATACGGCAGTGGGAAACAATGTTATTCTATTTGATAAAGAAGTAGCATCTTCCTGAAATAGTAACTCAGAAACTGAGCTTCACAACAAGTTGTTCCACCTTTGACCTATGATAGGTTTTATTTCATATTTGCGTGACCAGTCTTAAGTACACATTTCCCATCACGCTAAGTGGGTCATTTGGAAAACAGGAAACTAAATTTCTAGAAGAAATTTTCTTTTGTTTTCGGAATGATTAGAACGTAACAAAAACTTGGGTCTTAGAATATGCTTTTCGAAAAAGAAGGAAGAATGTCCCGTGCATTGATACAAAACACTTATTTTGGTAAGATTTTCTTGCAGTACAAGATTGTTTTGCATAACTGTGACTTATAGTAGTTTTAAGCGTTCCCTTATTCCTAGTTACGTGAAAGGAAGCAATTAAAATGGTGCAAGACGCTATCTTTTGTCGAGACCGACTGACCTTTACATTTTTTCCGCACTGGGCTGTTTCAAGTTCCCATGGAATCACCACATTCAAAAAACCGGTTTGTTTGCAGTACTCTTTAATAATTCCTCAATATCTTTTACAACGATTCATCGACATAAGACATGTAGCAATTGCCGTGTTAAAAGATGACTACTTGATTGATACATCGCTAACGTGAAACAATCACCTTTGTCATGATGATATCACATCCATCAAATTTTAGCTGTCTATTGGCGTATAAAACTGCCTTGAAAGTCGGCATATGAAATCATTCCTGTCAATTGAAAGAGTCTAACACACTCCACTTATACTTTTTTGCTGTTAGCTTCTTCAAAACAGATTTCAGATGATTTACAAGACTCACAGCGGTCGGAAAATTGTTGCAAGTTTGTACTGACGAAAGTTAGTCAAACTGATCAGATGTCTCGAACTGCGTAACAACTCAAACAGTCAGTAAATTAAACTAAATTCCAAATAAAAATTTGTTGCATAATCAAATGCAATAAACATTTATGCATATACAGAGCGGACTGACTGAGTTTTTACTTTTACAATTTTTCCGCAATGGTTCGTATGTCTCACTCTCGCTTAGAATCACTACAGTAGAAAAACTGTTTGTTTGTGATACACTTTAATAATTATCTCCTTAGCATCAGTAGCCGAAGAGAAAATGATGGGACTTGAAGACTTAGTAGCCTTGTTAACAACATGACCATGAAATATCACATTGGCATATGAAATCACTTCCATAAGTTGAAAGCGCCTGCAGTCTGGTCCATTGCACACATATTTTGCTACCTTTAGTTTCTCCAAAAAAGGTTTCAAAAGAGCCACCGAGTCGTGTAAATTGAGGCAAGTTAATGAATGGAAGTTGATTACTCCTCAGTGTTCGTTACAATGAGTTCGCGATATGAAAACGCATTCAGCGGTTGGTTTGCCGAGCTGAAACACTGATGCTTATATTCAGTCGTCGTGCTCTGATTTGATTCTAGCGCACTCTGTAAAACGGTACCCCCCGCTTGTGAAACATGTGTGGCATATCCTAGTAAACAAGTAGTTGAAGCTACAAAGTAATTTTCAGACCACTCTTATGTCAGTCGTGTTAGCTCGAAGTGCACGTCGCTGGTAAACGAGTGAATGAAGACGTACAAAATTTTAAAATACTCTTATGTCTGGGCGAAGAAAACTCTACAGCAATCACAGTTCTGACAAGAATTTACTCGTGTCACTCTTAATAAATTTTATAGACAGGCACCAATTCACTAAGCTACACTATATGCATGACTATTGAATAAAGCAAAGTGATGGTTACTAAGGCTGTTCTCCATTTTGTGTAAGCATGATTTAAGGGCTAAATAGATTCTATTCCTGGTCAATACACAGTTCATACTGCCAAATTTGATTCTTCAGTGGGGCGTTATTTGCATCTTTATCAAGAATTGGATTTCTCAGCGTTGATATTTCATTCTAGCTGCCAAATCTAGACTTTGTTGAATGCTGCATTTCAATCAACGTGATAGAAACCCGCCGATTTAGCTTCTGAAAAAAGCGAAGAGAATAATTCTCTTTCATTCGCTAAGTCGTACCGAGTCAATTAATATGAACTGAGCAGTTTTTATTTATTGCTTTAAACTCTTACCAAGATGATGAATATCTATTTCTCTTATTCTATCTCTCTCGCATGTTTCAAATGTTACCCTTAAATCAGCCAATGATCCCCTGCTAAGAAGAAACATAGGCATGCTATGCATGCAAGAGTAATTTTTTGGGGGGTGGGTGGATTACTTGAAACATTGTAAGTGATGTCTACATTCTTACAAAAGGAAAGAAGAGTATTAATGCGGAAAAGAACGAAAATGTCGGATTAACTCACACACAGGAAGTCGTGGTAGATTGTGTGTGTTGTGCGAAAAACTGTAACCAAAAATAAACTGTATTGGTGCCACGGATACCTGTTAGTCAAAAATGCAGACTGCAGACCGGATAAAAATGTAGACTAGGTACTTAATGTAGACTGCAGAGTGGGTACAAAACGCAGAATGACAATCTAAAGAGTTTTTCGTCTAGTATGTGAAATAATATGTCATCTTACAACTTACCGAGCGTCACGCAATCGCTTTTCCGCGATCAGCTTCCACGATTATTTGCACTATTTTGGAATATTCCTGGCCCATTTCATGTTGAAAATCGATCGCAATATTATTTCAAGCCTTCAATATAGTCTTCTCACTTTGCGCGTGAGTTGGTTGGTGTGATGTCTGTGCAGATTTTACCAACGTAATAAAAGTAGATGTAGATTTAAACGAGATGTCACTATTGAATATTTAACACGCGCAACATTCGAGAAACAATTGACAGCTTTGCACATGGTCCGTAGTATCATCTTTTTTAAGCGGAATGTGTTTATTTTGTTGTCAAAAATGCGAACCGAGGCCAAAACTGTTCCTTCGACTTGATATATTTTCGACGTTAGTAGATCACGTCATATTAACTAACCCTCGTAAATCATTAATTCCACATAACAAAATCAAATAAACATGCTAACGAATTCGTCCTTGGCCAAACACAAACGACTCCACAAGATCACTTTCTCTCAGGCATCGAAAACATTCACAAAATCGTCTACAGTTAATTTTAATCAGACACTCATCTAGAGATAGCACCGAGCAAACCAATCCAGAAAAATATAATCGGTGCACTCAACAAATCATAAATCTTGCAACACAGCTTGCCGTTAAAGAATTGCTAAAATAAAAAATCAAGTGTTTTAATAAAAAAAAAAAGCTCAAAAATGGTATAATGAGGGTTCGCCCCTTCTGCTTTTAGAAAATGAACATAAAATTCAAAACACTCAATGTGCTTCGTTGATCTTTCATCTCCGTAGAGATCACGAGGAACAATTTTTCCTCGTGTCTGGGCCTCTTAAAAAATGGAATGATATTGCGTTCTTTAAATTGCTCACGTGGAATCGATGAATATACAATAAAAAATATCACGCTAAATAGATAAAAGTAAGTGTATTAACGATTGAATATTTGAATAGAGAAAGATATCCCGCCGAACATTTTGTCCAGCGGTAATACCCCTTCACCATTTCAGTCCCCTCTCGGTCTGAATAACTTAAAGTTCACTGCTCACTTAAAACATATAAGCTGCAATAATTTGCTGCCTATGTACCAACTATAAATATATTCCGCTCGACCAGACGACGTTCTTTTGGTTTCTCTAGAAGGTATTTAAAATGTTCCTTCTTTCGTTCTTTCTCAAGATCTTTTAAGACACAAGTTGCATAATGATTACAAGTTCCAAAGGCAACTGGAATTACATACCCCCTTCTCATTGCATTTTATTCTAGCCTAGAAAGAGAAGCTCATCAAAGTCCTGTCTAGTTTCTTTCATCATTTCTCGAACCTTTAAGTTTGTTTTAAACCTTATATTCATAAGATATTAAAGCGAAAAGTTTGCATGTGTGTTCCATGTAACATCTGTCAAAGCAATGTTTATTTTAGGAGTAAAATAAGCAAATAAAAACTCCCCTTTACTTTTTGTTCCAAAACTATTTTTAAATAGTTTTGGTAAAATATAAAAAAAACACGATTGGCGAGGAACAGACAATTCGAGTCCGTGTTTTCTTATTTCAGTTGAATAATTTTCGAATAAAAGCACCTTGAGGACCTTAAAATACAAAACTAAAATGTTTATTTCGTAATAACATTTGTAATTCATTGGCTTTAGAGAAGTAAAAACCCAAGCCTAGGAATATAGCTTATAAATTAATCTTCCAACAACAAGAGAAAACTTGAAATTAAGTGGCGGGAAAAGATGATATTCGTGTGTGCCATATGGCGCTTGCTTTTTCTTCACTTTTAGATCAGCATTTTATACACGACATGGAGTGATCCTTAATTTAAAATTTTAATTTTTATCTTTTTTGAGTCATGACTTGAGTTGTAATTAGTACTTTCATCCGTTCATTTGTTCATTGAGGTTAGATGACGACGTTGGTTTTACGAGTCATAAAACTGACATCCTCCACTTAAAGTGTGTACTTTATGAATGAGGGCTTTCCTTGAAAGGCGTGATATAAGGTAATTTTCCATGCAAATATTTTATGTAAAAGACTATTGTCCGATACCTGATACCAATTTTGTTAAACATAGAATAATGCGTCTTGAATTGGCACGCAGTATCGGCGCTTGAGTTAAAAGAATGCTAGTGTGCTTAATTCATTCTTCAGAGTTTACGAAATGTCAACCAGAAGCGTAGAAAATTGTTTGAGGCTGAAAATGCTTTTCAGATCGGTATTCGTAACAGTCTATTTCAGCTGCCTACTGCCGACTAGACCCGCCATCTGTATACTGTCGTTCGTAAATTTATTCGACTTTTCTTCTGTCGAGCTTAAGCTTTGCATAAAAACAATTGAGGTTCAAATATCGATGACAGATCAACGAATAATTTTCAAAGTAAATAATCAAAAGAAAAGCATGAAGTCTAAAACTGCCTGCCTAGATCATCAGCCCCTGAAAGCAAGTGGTAAAGTGTTTTGGTGCGTTTCAACCTCTACATCGTATTTTAGATTTTATAATTTTTAAAAAGTTGACAGTACGACGTCCGTGCTAATAAGTGTGCATGTCATAACTGACACTACGTCTTATTATGAATATTACCGTTGCTCATGAGTCCCAGAAAAGCATTGATAAAATTCTACCGGCAAACACTTCGTTCGCCTTGGAAACGAATTTTCAGTAAGCCGTGCCACTGCTAGCAGGAAGGAGTCGTAAGAGTCGTAAGTGCTCTGTATCAATTCACGTGATAATGCATTAAAACGCTCTGGCGTCTTTTTGAATGTTCGGAGTGAAACAGATAAACTGAACAACTTAAAAGGATTTAGACTTCAGGGATTATTGAAAATTGTTTTAAAATATGTATCATTTACAGCAAAAAATGTGTATGTATTTATGAAGAATACTGTCACTTAACAATTTGTATTAAAGAGAATTCCACCGATTAATTTGCTTCTTTCTTTCTTTTCTATTCAAATGTTCGCAGGTGATACTAGGAAAACACAGGAAGTTTTAACGTTATGGACATCAATTTACAACTGATTATAGCAGGAAGTTTATTTTTTGGGGTGAGGTACACCTGATACACCATGGATTTCTGTTTGATGGATAGTAATAGAATGCTTTTCGAACAAAACCAAAGTACTCCCGAAGGCTAACCAGTGCTAAGGGAAAACGATTTTAAAAAAATGACTCAGAAAAACCGAACACGCAGGAGTACTGAAGCGATTCAATCCGAGAGGGTGGAGTGCGGCGAGAAAAACCCAAATATGATATTGCCCTTCCCTATTTGCCATCTCGTGATACCATATTTCCGTATATAATTTCCACCTCAAAAAAAGTTGTTTACTCTGCAGAATTTTCCAAGTAAATTAATCATTGGTCACTTCACACTCTATTTTAAGACTTAAAATATTACCTTTTACGTTTTCAGACTGCTTTCCAACTTGGGAACGGTTCCGAAGAGTCAACCGAGAATATATCAGACCCGCGAGAAAATAGGGAGAAAGGTGATTAATTTTATGCTTGTCAAGTTACTGGTCTCCCAAAACCTTGAAGTTTCAGTGTAGCTCCACTTTAAGTCTTGAGAGCAAAAATATATTATTTTTTCCAGAATCGTGTTTATCAAGGTGATCTTTGTTATTTTGCAGACTTTGATGTTCTTATGCACTGGAAACTAAATGGTGAAGAGCTGAACATAAGGTCGGTGAAATATAAGCCATATTTTATATATTACCACAAAAAAACAAAGCCTTGAGCATTAAGCATTGATTATATTTTCCTCTTGGTTTCTCTTGGGGAAATGCAAGAATTGGATAACAAATGTAGATGTAATATTCATATTTACCATTATGTATCTTATAGCTACAGCGCTGTGAACTTAGAAAAAGACAGCAGGTGTAATGGAAGCAAGGCGCTGATATTTGGGCAGGAAGGAGAAAGTAGCGCGTCTTACGCTGAAATTCGGCCCAAAACAGATATCAGCGAAAGAGAGTCGTATACAATAATGTGCTGGATCAAATTGAAAAGGTACAACACAAAAACTGACTCCTATCAAGTCATTTTGGCAGATTTGACGACGCAAAAGTATATGTTTGCAATCGTTCATGGCGGTAAGCTGTCCTTGAACAGCAGAGTCTTTGGAAAAAGTACCTTGAGATTAAAAGAAGCACATGAGCGGGTTCGTCTACATAAATGGGTCCATACAGCTGCGACTTGGGACGGTTATGAAATAAAATTGTATGTAGATGGTAAAGAAATGGATGGGAACACGTTAGATTCTTCGTTGAAAAATGAAGGTTCCTTTGAGAGTGAAACAGCTTACATAGGAGGATACCCGGGGCTCCACCAGTTCGACGGATCAATAATGGATCTATTTGTCATTGGAACGGCACTCTCGCGGGCTAACATCATGAGCGTCTTTAAAGGTGAATTCATAAATAAGAAATTAGAAAAAAGATGAATTTGAATTTGACGGAGGCACTTCAACGGGGTATCAAACCCAAACAACTTTCTTCCAGGTAGAATTTAGGGTTTTGAGTTTTGGTTGTTGTGGGGGGAGGGGCGGAGGGGGGGGGGAGTGAATTCGGGTATTCAATTCACCACTGTGCTGGGAGTTAGCTCTCGCATCTATGCCATCCCTGCTTCTACAAGAACGAGATGGGCAAACGAAAGATCCAGTATTGGGAAACTGACTAGCCTGTGTTTTCCAACTGGGCAAACATTTCAATGAGTTCATTTGATGCATAGGTTGTGCAGGGATTGCACACGAACACTCGCTTACTGCTGTATCCCGGTTTTATTTTCCTGACCTCGAATCACAAACGAGTTGAGTCTGTAGTCAATTTTCATTCTTGCTATTACCGCGGTTCAATTTCTGATTTCCACTCGTCAGAAAATCAAATCTTAAAAACACTAAACAAAAAGAAACCTTGAGGGCGTGCCCTTTTTGAAATTAAATTTCCTCGTTTAACAAGAAAGGGTTCAGGTTGTAAGATCAAATAGAACAAATGTTCAAATTCGGTTTTACTGATTGGCTTCACCCTTTTGATACACTCGCTCACAAGTCTCATAATATTGAATGAAAGAAATCCAGCACTGAATATTCCCTCCTTAAGGTGTTCCACTGATGACGCAGAAAACCGTCAGTGTCCCAGGGAAACATGTCATGGTCAAGTGGAAGAGAATCTTTGAAGGACAGTGTCCTTCTGACAACTTCTTTGTATATTACAAAGAAGTAAACTCCACTCAATGGAAGTTCCGAAACGTGTCCAAGGGAGCTAATCAATATGATCTTGAGCTGGAGTGTTTCAGAAAGTATGATATAGCGGTTACTGCCGAGAGGTCACAAAATAGTGAAAATGTGGAGGCTCCAAGAGATGCCAGCAATCACTGGAAGGTACTAACTGGACAAGGTAAGAAAACAAAATCCATCGTTCTGATTGGTCAAAAAAAGCGCTAATACCACGATGGAAAAGTTTAAGGATACGGTAGATCTTCGACGGTCAATTTTATTTCATTTTATTCTTTTTCTATGGTAAACAAAGTCTCAAAGTAATTTTAAACATAGTTTCCAAGAAAAATGTAGATAAAATGTTGAAACACGCGCGAGTCATTTACAAAATCGTATTTTTGGACTGAGGTTCGCAGCCCGCCAAAGTGTGTATAGCCAGTTATAACATGTTAAAATAAATGATTCCCGAAGGGTTTCTCGCGGCAAGGTCTACCTAACTTTAACGAATTATAATAATGGTGCAGTCAACGAAGTTACTCTTTCCTTTTCTAGATTTTCCAGAAATTTTGAATCACGACCCGGAGGTAAAGGGAAACTTAGTAACGGTGTCATGGTCACGCCTTGTAGACTGCGATGTGAAAAACCATATTCTCAGGTATAAGTATAAAAACGTAGAAGAATGGACAGAAAAAACTGAACAAGTTCCTGCGACGGAATTTAAACATACACTTAAACTGAAATGCCACAAAGTCTACCTAATTGCAGTCACCGCCAGGACGGCATTTGGCGAGACGCCTCTAACACCTGGCAGTTGGTGGAAGGTCAAAACCGGACAAGGTAATTATAACTGGTCCTATAAGGTGTTAATAGTGTACCGTTAAAGAGTCTTAAAGTTCAAAGACTGTTGCCGGTCTATTCTGAGCTCGTGTTCTAGTGGGATCAACTGTTTTTGGTGGGTTGAGTTGGCTGAGCATTTTCGAATTCTACTGGCTAAAGGCCAAAATTTGATTGCTCACTTTTCTGAGCCGACCTAAAACCATTATGAAGCAGTATATGATTTGAGCTCTGGAATACCATTAAATATTAAATCGTGCATCTGATCATTCAGACAAGAGGGACTGTTGTCGGTAGTACTGAATGTTTCGACAAATTGCTAAACTGCTACAGGTTGAAACGGTTTACAGTAAAGTCGCCCGAGAGTCATCTCGCACGAAGTCATGTCGCCCGAAACCTGAGTCGTGTTGCCCGAAATTTTAGTTATGTCGCCCGAAAAAAAAGGTCAAGTCGCCCGAAGAAACAAATACTAAAAAGATCAGAATTTCAGACTGTTAATAGGCAATAACGTTGAGAAATTTTTATCACTAAAGCGCTCTTTGTTGCCGACAACACCATGAAGATTCTTAAAGCACTGTTCGTTCCTAACAACAAAGGGAAACGTTGTTCGTTTCCAACAAGAAAATGCAGCGTTGTTCGTTTGGTATGTAATCGTTTCTTACTCACGGACGTTTCGTAAGCTTGAGAAACTTTTTCTTGGTTTCTAACAATACCATGAAGACTTTGACTACACAGAAATCGATCATATGTTCGGAATTGAAATATGTTTGAGTAACGATTCTAAAAGCGTGGTTCGTTTCTAACAACAAAGGGAAGCGTTCTCCGTTTCATACAAAAAAATGAAGCGCTGTTTATTTGGTACGTACTCGTTTCTTACTCACAGACGTTTCGTAAGCATGAGAAACTTTTTCTTGGTTTCTAACAAAGCCATGAAGACTTTGACTACACAGAAATCGATCATATGGTCAGAAAGGCCATATGATCGACCGTAATCATCGCACTATAGGCCTTGTTGACGTGGTCTAACTTCGTCATCACACTCAATGCAGGGATGAATGCTCATTTTGATTAGTTTGTATTCGTATTGTAGCTAACATTACCCTTTTCATATATACTTTGATTGGATCAAAATATACATGCGACCGCCAGAGGAAACAGAGCACAACTACATAATTTTTGCCTATTCTGATCCTAAGGGAAATGATGCTATTAGACTACTACTGTGAAAAAAGTCACAAGCATAAACAATAGACTGTTATATACTGTTACATACCAAACGAACAACGCTTCATTTTGTTGTTAGAAACGAACAACGTTTCCCTTTGTTGTTAGGAACGAACAGCGCTTTAAGAATCCTCATGGTGTTGTCGGAAACAAAGAGCGCTTTAGTGATAAAAAATTTCTTAACGTCATTGCCTATTTACAGTCTGAAATTCTGATCTTTTTAATATTTGTTTCTTTGGGCGACTTGACTTTTTTTTCGGGCGACATGACTCTCGGGCGACTTGTACGGTTACCGTTGAAACAGTTGAAAAAGTATAAGTGGCGAGCTTTAATGGTTGGAGAATAAAAAAATAAATGGCGATAAATAACAATAAAACGATAACCTACTCAAGCTCGTATTTCATGCCGGATTTGGAAAAATAAACCGTCAACTGATAGCGTAAGAGTAAAGTTCAGCCAAAATTTCCCGTCTAAACTTCGTATCGATAGCCAGATATAATAAAAACTGGTCGCTATGTTGACCTTCCATAACTGCATGCAAAAATCTGATTCTGTAATGGACATTCCCATGGATCAACACGTTTCAACCGAAAACAGTTGGTAAATTGAGGAACTTTGAACGCTTCAAGACAAACTGATTTCAGTTGAAATTTTCGATTTTAATCGAACTCAACTTTAAGACATGATTGCAAACAGGAAGACAATCAAACAGGGTCGGAGAGACTGGTAGACGGGCGATAATCTGAACAAATGAAACAGGAGATAAACAGACAGAAGCACAGACGAATGAGCGACGGGCGGGAAAATCATTCGCAGTGTCTGTTTCATGCAATATTGATTTTCAATAACACTTTTTTTCTTAGACTTTCCGAAAATGAAAAAACCAGAGGTTAGGAAGAGCAATGTGACGGTCAGATGGGAAAATCCCTTCGTTGGCGAATGCAATGTTTCAAGGTTCACCGTGTACTACAGAGAAACAATGGAGCGTCGGTCTGTAAACTGGACAAAAGTTATAGTTTCAAGAGACGAATTCCAAACGACTCTTCAGTTGAATTGCACAACGGTTTACGAAATTGCAGTCACGGCATGGAGCTCACATGGAGAAACGCTGCGGGACGGAAACATAAAGAATACGCAGACTTTTGGAGGTACTCTGATCCCAGACCGTTTTAGATCAACTTGTTTTTCTTTCTTCGGCCCATTGAAAGCGAATGAACGTCCTTCTGTTGCCATTATAAAGTCCTTAATATCAACAGCAGTATGCAGTATGCAGAGATTCGTCCATGATCAGCTTGAACTCACAGGGGTTTACGAAACGGGATAAGTTTAACATGCGTGCGAACGCAGGAATGTCATCGATCGCAATAAATTTTTTCTCAACTAATTGTTTTTTTTTTTATTAATCGTATCCTACTCGCTCCAAACATTTTAATGTTTATGCTGCTCTAGGCGCTACACTTCACTGCAAGTATAAGGGTGGCAAGAGAAATTGACACATCTTAAGCCTGCAGTGGGAGTTTCCTTCTATGCCACTTATTTTCTCTTGATACGCACCTCATTTCTAATCTCACTGGAATCAGATTTAGCAATTCAAGCTCTTAGCCGGAAAACATTATTCTGTGATGGTGTGATGTGTTACCTCCTCTTACAGATTCACCATCGCTTATTGAACACAGTTCAATCACAATTTTAGAAGACTGTAAAGTGAACGTTTCTTGGAATCCCCCGAAGGACAATGGCTGCCCTTTAAAGGAGTACTCAATTCACTACAGAGAGATTCCAGACTCATATAGCGCGTGGCACGAAATAAGTATATCTGACGTTAGACGAACGCACAACATTATTTCGCTTAAGTGTGGTCAGCAATACCAGCTAGCACTGACGGCGTCTAATTCTGCAGGAGAAAGCAAAATGTCACCTCCTCATAACATAACAACTACAGGTATTTCAAAGCGGTTTTTACGAATTTAATGTTTTTTTCTATTTTTTACTTGAGAACCGTTTGAAACCGTTGACAAAGTTAATGATAAAGTTGTTCCTTTCTTTTTACTCTTTTCCGACCCTTGATGACGAACCAACACAGTTTTGTATATTCCATGTTTTTCCCTCTCCTATCTTGAGAACGTGTCGGAGACTTTGTCAAAATCAATGCAAGGAAATTGTCTTGTTCCTTTTTCTTACTTTTATCCGACCGCCTATTATGACAAGGTAGGTTATTTTTGGATGCAAACGAATTAATATGAAATATCAATTAGCCTCATTAGGCAAAACACCAATCACAAACGAAGGAAGTGGTAGTGGTACTGACGACTCCAACGCAGTCATTGCTGGTATAGTTAGTAGCTGTGTTGTAATTATCCTGCTTGTGTCCTTAACGATCCTAATCGCAAGATGGAGGAAAAAGAAAGCAAATTCTACCAGTGGAAGGTGAGGATTTTTTAACAACATTTTATTATGCGATAACAAGATCAAATAAGACTAACAATGTCTATGGAATTCTATTTGCCATAAACTTCCCAAAGAGTTATAGATGTTTTTCAGTCGAGCCCTTGACGATACTAATGAATTTAAGTCACTCTTACAACATATTCAACACATATTTCTTAGATCAGCAAAGTGGGAAATTATCCACCTTCTCCACCAAGAGACCCCACCTCAGCGAGTGACATTTATGGAAGAGCTTGGTCGTGGTGCATACGGAAAAGTCTACAAAGGTGTAATGATGAAAATTGTAAGCGTCCAGGTTTTTTTCAAACCCAAAGAAGAGAGACTGGATATCAGTGAAGGCATAGTTGTTGCTATTAAAACACCTCTAGGTAATTATTGCAGTCATAATTTGTTCCATTTGGAGCTGAACAATTCTGTCCGTTCTCCTCGCGGGTTCAATTTAAGCAAATATCGTGATCTGCATATGATTGCTTCCGACAAGTCACCCCGTTTTCGAAAAGGATGCAAGTATCCAAACGATGGCTTCACTTGTTTTTAGGCGTTTGTGAAATCAAATCAAATTTACGTATTTAACTCATCTCAACTAGCTATAGAGTGCCCTGATTGGATAAATCAATGCATTAAAAACAAAGATTAATATGTCAAAGCATTTACAGTGAGTGAGTAAAGACCATCAGAACAGAATGTAGTTACACTTCGAGTTTAAAAAATTTTCTATCAAACAGAAAGCATTCCTCAAATTGGAAAAGCCATGATTATCAATTATAAGTATAGTTTTCAAGCATGATAATTTAAGGGATTTTTTTATAGAAATTAAAAGAAGATTTAGGATTTTTTTCTCAGCAGGAGATTTCAAAGGCAAGAACTATTAATTTATACTTGGTGGTAGGGATGAAATGAGGAGCTAAAACGGATCAGTTACAGAAACAGTCTTGATAACAATTGTTTTCTTCATCCAATCTGTAGAAACGCGGAAAGAGGAAGGCAAAAGGCAACTTCTACAGGAGATCGAAGTCATGAAGGAAATTGGTTTTCACAAGAATTTGTTACCTATGCTAGGCTTTTGGGTCAAGTCAGAGCCCATTTATTTAATAGTGGAATATCTTCCACATGGGGATCTTCTTCAGTGGCTGAGAAGCCAAAGAAGTCAGGTGAGGCAAGGTGTACCGTGGCAACCCGATTTGCTCGAGATATCTTCCAGCTGTTGTTGGTATGAGATAGGGAAGGAATCTGGGTATGCAAACCTGTCTTCATAATATCATAACGGTTTGACTAAAGCCCCTGGGCGGGGAGGGTTTAATCGTTTGTCTCGTTTGCCTTTCCCCTTCCTATCTTTGCGTGGAGGGTCAGACCTTCTTCATACCCTTAAACTCTACATTTATGCAATGATAAAACTTTCAATGAAGTTTGGTGAGAGTTCTGCGACTGCGATTTGAATAGTAAAGTAACCTCATCGATATGGGTCAATTCTTCCGCTAAGTGCATTCATCAACAAACTCGTACAACGTACGCAGAATTAGACCAGAAATCTAGCGTCAATCTTAAAAATATTTAGACAATTTATATTTTCTCATTCAGATTAGAGCTAGAAATGAGGCCACCTTGGATGTCTTCAAAGAACTACCTACAAGTTCGAAAACAGCTGAAAATGGACAAGGAATGGACGACTGTGAACTTCTAATAGACCACCCAGATTTAGTAAGAGGCGAGCACGATGTATTCAGTTTGGAAGAACGAGAGCCATTGACGATGGAGACAAAACATGGATATGAAAACACAAGAGGATTCAAAGACAAACAAGCCATTCCGGTCCAAGAAAACGCCATCAAAACAAATACCTGCGAACAGGGCACGGACGAGGAAAGAGAAGAACTGATTAGAAAGGAAATTGTGACAAAGGGTGATATTGGCGGTCCGTCGTGGAATCTCATGAACAACGCTGTTCCACAACCAAGGCATACCTCAGGTCGTTCCGCCTCTGTTGTTAACTTGATAGAAACCACGACTACCTCGAAATGTGAGGACGAAAATGAGGAACTATCAGCAAAGGACCTTCTTTGCTTTGCGTGGCAGGTTGCGGAAGGAATGGTGAGCATCCACAGGGTCTTAGAGGTTAAGAATACCTAGGCACTTCCGAGATGTCCCAGGTTTCAGTCCTTTTCAAAATGAGGGAAATTGCAAAGCCTTTGGTGTGAAAATGATATTAGAGAGTTTAAGAAAACCACGACGGCAACGGGAACGCCACAAAAAACACAGAGTTTAATGAGTAGAACAAAGGCTGGGCACGAGCGTTTTAAGACTTTGTAAATTTCTTTGCGTCCTCTGCAAAACAACAACGTGAAATGACCAAACTTTGCGTTGTCTGGAGAAGGTGAACGACAGCCAATTTTTAAAATTTCTATTCCTAATTTAAGGCCGGGTTCCATATTCAGTTTCGAGCTGGTGAGAAACAAATTAAATGGCATTAGAGTATCGCGAGATTCGTAGGTAAAATATAAGTTCATTTTTTAACCGACATTGTCCATGGCGTTGCCGTCGTCGTTTCTTAAACTCCCTACTTATATCCTCATGCAAATATAAACTCGTTTCACGAAAAAGGATTGGTAATTGGCCTCATTTTAAAATTGAGGGGTTCTGGAACTTGCAAATCGCCTATTCGAGAAGGCTAATTCTGTAGCCTTCTCGATTGGCAGTCAATGCCATACGAATTTCTGAACACACCAAGAATAGCATGTGGTAACTGAGATAAGCGTCACTTTCTGCATGCTGTTTTAGAAGAAACAGGCATACGATTGTATAGATGCGACATCATTTCTTATGATGAGGTATTGTTTTCATTTACAATGGCTCATTTAGTATATACAAAACAGCCACGTAGACAACAAACTACTGTAAAGATGGCCCAACGCTGTTTCCTTGCTTCTAACAGCAATCACAAATCTCTGAAGGCAACATAACACAGATTGAGTGCCCTGTTACTATCTCAAGCACATCGCGTACTGAACAAATGAAGGAATATTAATTCAGATTTATCTCTAATATCATAATATAAGAAAGTAGTGTCTCGAAAGATTCCAGATAATTTTTTTTAAACTCAGTCCAGAAGACGGATTCTAAATATCACCCCGCGCAAGCGCGAAGTACATCTCGCGCATCACACCTTAACGCTTGTTTTCTGAGACAGAATGTCTTTTCTTTGTCATAGAATTACTTGGCCAGCAGAGGATTCGTTCATCGTGATCTGGCTGCCCGCAACATTCTTCTTGGGGAGGGCAGAGTAGTAAAGATTGCCGACTTTGGACTACTACGTCACACCGCAAATGATATATACGAAATGAACAATACGAAGAAAGTACCTGTTAAATGGATGGCACCTGAGGTCATTTCAACCAATAAATTCACTTCCAAAAGCGATGTGTAAGTTCACAATATTTTTATACAGTGTTCATTTCCCAACCAGTAAATTGCTAATTGTTATCTATCTGTCTTTATTCGGTGCAACCTTCGATGTTTCGTTCAGAAAATTTTTCAATTTTTTCAGATGGTCATATGGAGTTTTTATGTGGGAATTAGCAACAATGGGTAAGACAAAGCAAATGAATTTTGTTGGTGTTGTATTTGTTGTCGTTGTGGTTTAACGCGGTACGACTCCTCTTTGGCTTTTATCTAAAGTTGCTATTCAAGATTAAGGTTTTTAACCATTTATGCTTTATAAAATCACTCGAAAAAAAATACAAAACTTTCTGTGTTTTTATGTATTAATCGAGTGTCTCCAAGTCAAAACATTTCCTTTTTACCCCGTTATAGGAGACACTCCGTATCCTGGGGTTGACAACAAAGATTTGTTTGTTCTTCTCAAAATGGGACACCGTTTGGAGAAACCAAACATTTGTTCTGAAGAACTGTAAGTCGGCTTATTAAATCTTCGCAGACTGATAAGTGTTTTTCAATTTAAACAAACTATCGTGGTTTCAAATTCTCTAACAATATTTAAGAGTTACAGATTAGGAGGAGGTAGGTTGTGGGAACATTTCTGATGTAACTAAAAGCTTAAAACGAGAATGACATAAATATAGTTTACGAAAAGGCATAGAGAGTTAAAACATTCCACAATTAAGAGACACACCGCATCATTTTGATTTCGCCATATCTGGTGGGGAAGACAATAATCCTTGGAGAAGCAGACGGTTATCGTCAAATCCAAAAGCCTCATGTGCGGACCTTTTAGCAGACATTATGGCTTGTTTTCTCCACATAACTCAAAAAAGCGGTGTTTTGAAACCCCTCCGGAAGGATAAGCGTTACATTATCTTAGGCAGAACGTCTCTTTGTTAACTATGGTCAGACTACTTCGACAAATGCGGTTCCAAGAAGCAATCAATATACCACTACATTACAATGAAACAGATTTGCTGAATAAAATAATATTCACTCAAGACCAATACAATTGATAGTGTACATCTCAATATCAATATATACCTTCTTAAAGGGAAATCACGTTTGCGAATCACAAACACTCTCTTTTTTTACCCTATTTAGATATTCTTTCATGTCAGACTGTTGGAGAGACAATCCAGACGATCGACCGACATTTGAACAATTGATATCCACGCTTGAAGAAATGATGACAAGAGACACGCCTTACTTTGATCCAAACAAAGTAACAACGATAGGCAGTTAAGACTGCATATGGCTACTGGTATAGCACAATTTTGTGTAGCATTGAAAAGAACCAGGGGTTATATGATGATGAGGTAGCGTTGCAGAAGATTTGTCTCGCATGCAAAACAGGAAACCTGCCACACCCCACATACCTATGAGAGCCCTGTTCCACAAGAAAAAGACGATTCAAGAATATAGTGAATAATTGACACTCAACTATTAATGAAATGGTAACAAGTTATCATATTAATAATAAAAATAATAATTATAATAATGATGATGATGATAACAAAAGTAATCGTAATAATAACTTATAGGGGCAAGGAGCTAGCTCAAGAACCTCACTGTTCCTCTGTCGGTCTATCCCTAGGCTCTAATAATGATTAAATTAGCCTTCTTTTAATAATGATTTGCCTGTTGATTACAAATCATTTTCTCATTTCTTTGCAATTCCATTTTTGCGAGACTTTTGTTTCATACAACAAGGCACTACGCGTTGTAGAATATTCCGCCATTCCACTACTTCATCATTCCATTGAATGACATCACCCTTATGAACTCAACGTATCGTATTTCGGACTTTGCTGGCTTTTCGAATTTAGCTGCTCTTTTGAGCATTTGTCGCCGATTGAAATGATAGAATGATCTCTTTTCAAATAAATACAATTTTCTTATTCAAAGTTTCCACGATGTGCAGATCAAACCTATTTAGATATTTCTGCAAGATGAAATAAAGTAAATCACAGAAGTAAGATTAAGGCTTCAAACCTGAGGCAAGCTGTAAGCAATGATGTTCTTAAGTAATTCATTCGCCAAACATTGAAGTCCAACTTCTTCCGTTTTTGCCTGGTTATCTCTGTAGTTAGGGACCGCGCAGCAAGTTTTCGAGTGGGGGGGCTAAAGAAGAATGCGTGAAGGAATTTTTTTGTTAAATTATTTTTTGTTTAATTTATTTTTATTCTAGCAAAAAGTGGGGGGGCTAAAGCCCCCCCAGCCCCTCCCTCTGCGCGGTCCCTGTAGTGGAAGTCATGGGATCGGCCACATTCCCCATCGCAATCTCCTTGGATGAAGCTTTTACAAACATGCCACAGCGCACGCTTCCCTTTTGAAGTCGAAATGCAGCCGTTTGAAGGTATTCAAGGCACAGCCTCTTTCCGTCAAAGGCAAGAGGTATAAACAGTCACACAAGCTAACAAGTCATGGTGTGTACAAGGCGTATAACGTGTTTTAGTAAAGCTCAAAATAGAATGGTTAATCGACAGGTTACCCCAGCTTTTTCTTTTCCCTACGTTTGTTTCCTTTTACAGATTTCTACAAAAGTTTCAGTCTTCTTTCTCTTGTTTTACAAGACAGCGGTTATTTATGATATGTTCCTTTGAAATTCTGCGCGAGATATTGGCGCGCGGCCGGCCAGAATTGATCCGGTCGCGCATGCTCGACTTTTGAACGCTCTTGAACTCAGACCCCAAATGGATCGAAATGAATCGATAAACCTGCGTTTCAATCCTGAAAGGTTACTAGCTCAATTCTTTAACTACGAGGACAGATAGTGGGAAAAAGCGAGCAAGAACAGCTCCTTTTATTAACCAAATTGTTAAAAATATCAAAATGATAATCAATAGTTTTTTTGACATTACAAAAGCACGAAAACCAAGACGTGTGCCTGCAATCAAATAGTAGCAATTTCGACGATCTAAGTAAAACTGTCAAGGTTAAACTTAAGGCAGTTCTCAAGAATCCAGCCACATCACATCATCTTTCATTTTGAGGTCCATGATGAAAGGTTTATGAAAGTGAAGAGTGTATTCCTTTTGAAAAATAATAATAAAATAAAACCGAATCTATAATTCTAGAGGTAACAATATACAGCGATTTGAAAATGAGGAAGCTCGAATTATTTATAATTTCATTACATTTACAAGTATTTTATCCTGAGTCCATGTATCTTGTTTCATTTCCTTTTCACACTAACAATAGTCCATTTTACAGTTGTGTGCTTGGTTGCCAAGCCTTTGAGCAGGAATAAGGCTAAGGGCGACCTTGTTACGATACAAACCTTGCTGCTTTTCAAATGCAAATTAATTTGTTTGTTATCATGCTAACTAGATACTGGTCTCTATCACACTAAGGTCACCTTCAGCCTCACTCCAAATCAAAGGCTTGGCAACTAAGCACACAACTGAAAAATGGCCTACTGGTGCCGATTAGAACTAACCACCCACAACGGTTGTCATTGTTAGCCCATAAAACCCGTTTCTTTTCAGTCATTATATTAATTCTTTTAAAAATACTTAGATGATATTTTTCAAATTTAGTAAAGGATTTGAAGAAAACATCAGAGTCAAATTAAGTGGAAACGACGTCAAAATTACCAAACATCGCCGAATTATACACGACAAATCGTTGCACGACCCCAAAAAAATTAATGAGGACACGTTGCGGAGAAGCTCATCATTTAAATTGAAGGAGCACAAAGCTGAATTAAACTTTATCTACAACATTAGTTCAATAACTGAGAAATTGTCGTTTTCCTGGTAAAAGTTCGTGGTGCTATTCCATCCAATTCGTTGTCCAGTGACTTTTCCTTCACAAAAGAAAATATCCAACCCGTATCCTTTGCAATTATGTTGGGTACCTGTAGGTTCCCTTCGAGTGTTAGGAGAAAAAAAGATGAATGCAAGCCCGTCTGCCTTTTCAGCATACAGCGCATTGATCAAATGTACCCCAATATTGACTGTTACATCTGAGTTGATACACTTTCCTTCATTTGTTGAAGTGTTCTCGAAACCTTCCCTGGCTTGTTACATTCTGTACCCTGTGCTTTCAAAACTTAATTAAAAGAACTGTCGAACGTTCAGTCGGGGGGGGGGGTATCTCCCTGTTCGGTGCAAATTTGTGGTACACTTCTTTGACCATATTAGAAACTAGCCATCTTGCCTGCCGATCCAGTCTCGTGTTAAAGAATACCATTCGTGAGGTATTGGAAACCGTCGTAAAGTTTAGTAGTCAATGAGTGCATGCTAGTCTCAACTAATTCATTAATAAACGTGTCAAGCTGTTCTTCTGTTAGGTTCATATGAAATCTTTCTCTCATTGCGGGGACTGTGGACGAGCCTCGGTTAAAACATGGAAGCTGTGAACCTGAGTACAATAACACGAAATGCAGATCAGAATTTGATAATAGTCTGTACCAGGCCTCACTCCCAACGTCCTCCCCGATGGCCTCAATAAGGTTTCCTCAACCTATGTGATGAGGAATACTACTTACTTAGCTCAGGCAGACAGAATATCACAAGGAGATTCAAAGCTCCTTCAAGACTTTTTCAAGACCACTCAGTATTATAATTTTATAGAGTGAGCCCAATGACATGACCTGAGCAGAATAGCAGACGTCAGGGGCTTGCCCCAAAATTGCAAATTAACTGACAATACAGATAAAAAGTTTTCGTAAAGGTAATTTGCATAAAATCAGTTTAGCCAACAAAGATCTCAAATTGGAATGAACCACTTCTCTTGCAAGAGAACCCCTTCTCCACAAGAGTTTAGACTACGAGCAGTCCCTGTTTTGTTGGGAACTCCGTCGCGCGAATCAAAACACTCAGCGAAAAAAAAAACAAAAAAACAATAGCATCATTGCTTTTCCTCCTGACTCGCGCGAAGGATCAATACTTTTCCCACGTCTTTAAAATTAGTTTTGATATTTCCGTACTCTTTCAAGAATTCAACACTCTATACGAACTCTGGTGCTAAGATTCTTATGAGAAAAGGGGCAAACCCAATCATGTACCTGTTTGCATGATCTCCACTATCTGAAGACATTTGTCCATGTTCTTTCGCGCGGCTAAGAAGCCCTGAAGCATCAGAATTTTGAAGTAGTTGTACATGTCGCTGTCAATTCCGCCCATAACCTTCAAATGGAACAGAAATCGTTTATTACTCAATACAATCTAGAACACAAAATAAAGATAACGAGAATGGGAAGGACAAAATGACGTTACCTCTACAAATTCGTGCGTGAGTTTAAAGGGGGAACTTTCGAAACCTAAGTTTCGAGGAGAACACGAAAGAATGAAGCCAAAGTCGATATGGATAATATGGCCTTCTCCGTCCAATAAAATGTTGCCATTGTGCCTAAAACATAAACAATATTTAGGTCATCCAACTTGCAAGAGAGTTCTGTCTAGAATGAGCCCAAATTGTAGCTATGGAAAAGATGCGTAGTTAAAAAAAAATAACACCTCCAAGGATGGTCCAAAAATACCTGTAAAGTCTCAGAAATCTGGGGTACTCAGCTCTTAAAAGCTTTCATAAAGGCAAAGTTTTATCAGCCACACAAAACATAAGCCAGTCGCCTGTGTATGTAGAACCTGCGCTCTGTTAGAGCACAACCCTGAAGTTACCGAAATATTCTCATTGGTTTATGGTGAAGATTAACTACCTACAAGATTCTGAAAAATACCAAGATACAGCTTCTCAGATCGGATGTAAATCACCCCTAAGTGTTATTTGACCACGAAGGCAAAGCACATTATAGTTAACTGTTGAACCCGGGGGTGAGATGTGATCGTGTAGTCGGATCGTCGGGGTAAGTGTGGTTCTGAGAAGGACTGTTGTCGGTAGTAGTGACTAACGCTTGACAACCTGAGCGGAGGTTATCATCAGAGTCAAAAACATATTGTTATCACCTGTCCTTAACTTGCATGAAGTAACAGATCAAACAGTAAGCAGCACAGCTTTGGACAAAATTTCGCTGAGCGTTAAGGAACTCTTCCGAGTTCACTTCTCCGTGCTCCTAAAAACGGGGAATAAAAGTTCAATTGAAACATCTGCACAAACACTACAAATCAAATCTAAAGGGAATAAATCCGCATTCATACTCGCAAGTTGTCTTTGGTGAATTTCCCCCCCCCCCCCCCCCCACAAAAAAAAATCTGAATGACGGAACACGAGAGCTCTTTCCTTCTACCAACTAACGTGTCAGATTTTAAGTAAGGAGAGGCAAAGGTTGTCTGCAAGTGTAGATAACTTTGACACTTGTCAAAAATAGATAGTAAACACCTATTTTCTCAACAAGTACACTTGCCTTGATGGAAAACTTGCGATATACAGTTTCCAAAAACCCCAGTTGGGGATAACTTTCAAAAGAACCTTTATTGACGCTTCTCCTGTTAGCTAAAGTTTTGGAATTTAGAACTCTCAAACTTGACGTGATACTATGGTGAAAAACCCCTCTCTTCCTTGCTAAATTCGGATGCTTTTTTAAGGCTCAACGCACCATGTCAATATTTCGCGTTTCAATTTCATCGACAATTTTTTCAGGGCATGATTTCTCATTTAAAAATTTCGCCTACAACAGACCATGTTTTAGCGAAATTGAATTGAATGAGCTGGATCAGAGAGACAATGGCGTCATTTTTCGACCAGTTTAAATGTTTAATGTGTGAACCCAAGATTCAACTTAAGACACCAGACTTCTTTAACCCTTCACTTCCATGAGAGACCAAGACATAATTTCTCCTAACAATACTAACACAATATCGAGCAGACGAGATGAAAATAAAGAAAAATATCAATTAAGGGATTATTAGGTGATCTAAACTAACAACAAAAGAACTGTATGAAAGACATTCAAAATAATTACTAATGGGTTCTTGGAGGTGAAAGGATTAATTTCATAGTTATGTGAGCCTGTGAGAATTAAGTACCTTGATGAAGTATTTCAAGAGTGACATCTGACTGTTTTTCTTGATCTGATGGAGTGACACGGCGTTCACTACAGGTTCAATAAGCCCACTGTCGCTCGAGGTCACCATAACAGCGTACCTAACATTGAAAAGATGAAGTGTTTTAAAGATTTAACGCAATCCTTTGAAACATAACGTAACGTAGATGTTCCATGACTTGACAAGGGCACAAAATATAGTCAACTGGGAAGTAGAGTCATCATGTGCTGACTAGTTACGAGACAAAACATCAACCCTTTACACCCTAACATCAGTATGCACAATCTCCATACCGTTTTCTATACATTTCCTAAGTTGCTGACGAGGAGAATTTGTTTACCAAAAAAAAAAGGTTCTTCAGTTGGCGATCATTTCCTTTATTCTCATAATCTCAAATAAATGATTCAGCAGTTGTACTGTGAGGAGAAATTACATGTTGTAATGTTCTACTTACGGTCGAAGACGCAAGGGAACTCTTTCCTGTTTCCAAATGGCCTGCAGTAAGGAGACAAATTGCACTCTTATTGTGGGAAGTGAAGACTATTAATTTTGCAACGGAATTCTAACACTATTTGCAAGAGTTTAACTCTACACCCCAATTGCTCTGTTGTGTGAAGAGTTGGCAACAATCTCAACAGTCTGTCACAGATATATTTCTGGGTCAGGCTGACTAAGTGATATCCTTCACCCCTTGGTAAATGATGGAGACCCTCCATGCACCAAGAGATACATTAATGCTACTTAAATACCTTTTGGAAACTCTACCCTTAAGATCCTCGGTAACTCGCAAAGAAACCCTCTCAGGGAGTCTAAAACACTCGTAACCATTGTGACATCCTTAGTTTTAACCCTTAACACCCTAACATCAGGTTGCATATTCTCCACACTGTTCTCCAAACATTTTCGTAGAAGCTGACTAGGAGAATTTGTTTAACAATCAAGAACTTCATTTGTTGGTGATCATTTCCTTTATTCTTGCGACCTTGATTTGTGATCCAGGGGAGATATTGCAAGGAGAAATTACATACCAATCACTCTTAGGGGTCCAAGGGATTTAAAAAGAGTTCACATTCACTGCAATCCTTTTCTAGTCACGTCCACCTAAACTGCAATGTTCACACGACGTGTGGCAACTGCATTTACTCTTCATACTAAAGATTGGGGCGGGGGGAGGGGGTACTAACTTTCGCTTGCATCATCAACAGAAACTCCAGTATAAGATAATAAACGATACTGAAATAATTCCACGACGGCATAACGAGCGATAACGGTGTACAACAAACCTGGAATTGCAGCAACAGTTGATAGGCCAGAAGTTCTTGCCGAAGATCATCGCCACACTTTACGATCATCGGTAACAGTTGTGAACGTAACAGTCAAGAAAATTTCTAAGAATTCGCACGCTTTATTCGAGTTTAAAAAAAAAAAAAGCTACCTCGTTTTTTAACGGTAATTTAAGTTTGCATCTTGAATTTCATTGTATTCTTGTTCATTTTTAAAGCCCTGTGATTATGAAGAAGTTCTGGTTTTTCTTGGAGGGCTCTTAGTATGTCATAGTTGTTTTATAAATTGTCCGAAAAACGTGTGGCAATTCAACCTGTTGGGTTCCTTCCATTTGGGGAGATACAGTGGTATTGCCAACTTGTCACCAAGAATTTCTCCATTTGTTACAATTGTAAAAATAAATTGCACTTGAAATCTCCGCTTAAATCACAAAAAACGTGAATGATATCACACATCTAAAATGGCGCACTCTGGAACATTGTGTTCCAAACGCACCCGTATCCACCGACATTAACCCTTTACACTTATGTTGTTCTCATGACAATTTCTATTGTACTTACAAGGCGAATTTGTGCAACAATCAGGAGCTTCATAAATTGGCGATGATGCCCTGCATTCTCGTGAACTTTACATTTGATTGAAGGGAAATACTCTTATGAGAAATTAAAAGCCACTTAACCTTAGGGGTAAGGGTTAAAGAGGATATTCCAATTAGGCACGTGACCATAAGGCGATGCTTCTCGAATCCTTGCCTCTTTCTCTTCCCAAGGTTCCTTGAGGACAGCGGCTAAAATGAGACCAAAGCCGAATAAAACACATCAGCAAATGAAGAAAAAAGGATAAGCACAACAGAGCACTTTCAAATAACATGTCGACTTGTTACCTGAAGGATCTTCAGGGTCTCTCTTGAACAAGGCCTGAGGCGCACTGAGAGACTCTGAGAGTCTTCGTCTTATGTCCCCAGCAGCGACAAAAGGGCCCTACAAATGGCAACAGATACGTTAAATAAACTACCTTGAAGTCATTTTGCTGAGAGAGAACCTGCATTCGGATGCTCCCTGAAAAAGCTGTCATTTTTTCATAATGCGTGCGCTAACCGTGGGCAAAACTTTAGCGATGATACGCAATGCAATATTTACTCTTTAACTCTCAAGATCTAATCGCTAATTCTCCCCTTTGTTGCTAGATCAAGATAGCAGCTTTAACCTGATAAGTTTGAATATTCTCATTACCTGTTTGCTGGATACTGTATGAATATTACAGGGAAAAGTTTCATGTTAATCACTTCTGGGAGTTAAAGGGTTAAGGATTATCTAACAAACAAATATATTACATGTTGCTGTGCGCCTGTTCAGTAAAAGATCACAGATGATGTTCAAAAGTGGCAGGAACAAAAAAGTGTCACTGATGTTCTTAACAAATCACACACATATTGGGTAAACAGACCCAAGGAAAGGAGAAACAAAAGAAAAATGTTGTTAACCCTTTACACACTAACATCAGTATACATATTCTCCATACTGTTCTCTATACATTTCAAAAGAGGCTGACAAGGAGAATTTGTGTAACAATCAACAGCTGCTTTAGTTGGTGATCATCTCCTCTATTCTCACAACTTTCATTTCCTTTATTCTCGTGACCTTAATGTTTGATTCAGGGATGATATTGTGATGAGAAATTTGATGCTAATCACGTTTAGGTGTCAAAGGGTTAATAAATAATCAAAAAGAGAAACTTACATCCTCTGAGTCTTGATTTGTTTTATCTTCTATCACAGTAGACCAGCATTCATCGTCTGAGTCACCACCAGATGATATCTATTGCACCAACAAAGAAAATGAAATTCTTGTTAAATTTTCACTCAGATAGTGAACACCACTCTTTTCTAATTTTCTGAACAGTTTTCTCTATGATTGAAGTAACAGGTGTGGGTATGTGTAACAGGTGTAGCACTTATCATTTTATATGATCCTAAGACAGAAAGACCTTCAACATAAATGCAGTCAAATGCAATTTAAAAGACTGAGTTAACAACAAAGAACAACAGCATTCTCTAGAAGTTTACAGTTTTTGCATATGCGCATGCCTCAGAATTCCAAGTGCCATTTGATTGAGGCGTTCTTGCATGAACTTCAGTGTTGTTTTGAGTGGGGGCTCACCGTCCAGGCAGTTTTCCCTACTCCTTCCCCCTCTCTTTTCAATTTTTATTCAGTTTGATGGGTGCCTGTTTCTCTTTCCTGCATGGAGGCTCATGGCTAGGTTGCCAGAATTTGCCAGCCATTGGAGCAGTCTCCATCTAGGCACTGGCTGCCAATAGTGGAAGCTCACAAATGTCTCAGGCACTCAACCTCCACTTAGCAATGCAGTTGTTAATACAGGTTATCAAACTGAATTTATCAATTACTCACTGCAAACTGGGAAACTTCTGACCGGCAGTAAGTTGGCAAATGTTCTTCAGACCTACAGAAAAAAAATTGAAGAATATTAGTAATCAGGAATCGCGTGTGTGTGTTACTGGTGGTCAGCTGAAGTCAAAGTGACTCTGAAAGAAACACAGACAATTGTAACGAAAACAGTTGTAATAAACTATTAAAAAATTTATGTATCAGTTATATAGAGAAGCCATGGGAGATAACACCATTGTTAGTGATACTGGAGCTGACAGTGAAATAGTATGACATTGTTCTTGCTTTCCTAAAACAATAGTGCACATAAAGTGTAAAATGATGATGATAATATAGTAACTATTAACTTCTACATGTCCAAGGGGAAGTCCACTGCACATCCTCACTCCCAAAGGAATTATAATTATTATTTTTAATTAATTATTTATTTATGAGAAGGAAGAAAGAAAAAAGAAAAAAGAAACTTACGTTAACAATAACTTCATACACAGTACTTACACTAGACTCCAGGTTATTCTGCTTACAACATATTGAGTACATAATGCAATTTTACAACACTTACCGATATAAAATACCCACATTTACACCATCTATTTTACAAAGTAATTAGAACTGAATGTTTGTTTACAATAGAATGTTTATAAATGAAGTACAAATGAATACAAATGAAGTACAGCACAATGTTATTATTGCTGAGTTACCTTGTTTGTCGTAATGTAGGTTGGAACTGTTTTGTTGGGAATGGATCATCTCCATTTCCTGAAGTACACAAAACCTCAACATATATCATGTATGGAGCCTGCAATACAACAGACGGATTGTTAAGACACTCTAAGTGTCTTTAAATGATGATAGTAATACTACTACCACTACTAATAATAATGATAATAATAAACAGTTCTTAGGATACATTTCACAAGTCTCGATACATTTACAAATCTGTGAGATACAATTAATTCAAATCAATTAAAAACAAACATGGTGAATAATTATAAACATACATTAGTGAACAAATATTGACAGCTTATGACTGTTTCCATGGTAATGATCCTTATGACAAAATCCCGCCCAAGTAAGAAGCAATCAGAATGTTCAGATTTACCTCACAACAACCTTGCCATAAAATAATTAATCTTATAAGCACTGGTAGGAATCTGTTAGTATCCCACTCTACGATGGCTAACCTTATCTTTGGAGTTTAGAACCACTGCCGCAGTGTGTGGTATTCTGACAACATAATGATTTCCAATTCCACTGTGAACTGGTAAGCTCACTTTGGCTGGCAAGTTCAGATTTAAGAGTGATAACTCTGCATACAGTCTAGAGGCTATGGAAAGGGTCAGAGAGGAAAGTAATCATGTCAGTAAGAATTTACATACACTGTACTTAACTCTCTATACTCTAACATCAGTATCCATATTCTTTGCATTCTTCTCTATACATTTACTTTGGTAGTGACAAGGAGAATCTGTTTAACAATCAAAGCTTCTAACATTAGCGATCATTTCCTTTACTCTCATAATCTTGATGAACAGCTCAACAGTATAACTGTTAGGAGAAATTACATGCTGGTCACTGTTAGTATTAAAGGGTTAAACAAACTCACTCTTAAGTTCTTTTGTTGGCAAAGAAGTGAGCCTCTTTCCTACTGCAATCAATGCACTTATGAACTCTCTTTGAGCTACCAGCTTTGGGGACTGAAAAAAGGACAAAGGAAGAAGACAAATCATCAAATGGCTATTTCAACTGCAAACAAGTCAAAAAAAAAAAGAAAAAAGAAAACAAGCATGATTGTATGAAATGATGTAAGAATACCGAGAGAGAATTCTAACCTGGCAGCCACAATCTGGAGTGCGATCTAGCTCAGAAAGAACAGGACTTGAGGCATTGGGAGATACTGCTGGCGAGTGTTTGGCACAGCGGCTATCAAATGCATGGCCATATCTCAGGTCTCCAGTTGGGGATTCATATTCATTTGACTGAAAAAAAAAAGACAAGCTGTGAGACATCTGCAAATATGTAAACCTTTACACCCCAACCTCAGTATCCATATTTTCCATACTATTCTACATACTGTTATTTTCGTAATCTTCATGAATGATTTAGTTTAGCATTACTGTGAGGAGAAATTAGATGCTGGTCACTCTTAGGTCAATGTGAGTTCCTTGTGCAGTATTTTACGGATATGCAAAATTGTTTGCAATTTCTAGAGGATTGGCAGGGATGATACTGCAATGAGAGCATTTAGCTTGTAATGTCCTTGGTTTCAATCCTAAGCATGATGCTTCATGGAAACTGAGTTCACTGTAAATTCTCATCCTTATCAAAAGGTTTTTTTTCAGATTTCTAATTTCTCTGTACCAACAAAATTCAACATTTCAAATTCCAATTCAACAGGTTGTAAACAGTGGACAACAATCCACCTTGTCAGGATGCCCATGCTAAAATCCAATCTCTTTAATTCATTTATTTGTTAAATCATTCATTTTCATTGTCAAGTCCCCTCCTATTTATCACTAACTTGCATCAGACGACTAGAAGCTGTTATAGCAGCAGTTGCATCTGATTTTGATCTCTGGTGAGTTTTCTTTGGTGGAGTGGTAAATGTTGAGCCTGTGGCTCCTGGAGAAGCAGGTAAAGGTAAGGTGTGAGAACCAGCAGCTCCAGATGGACTTAAGGGTGACCTGTAACAAGTAAAATAGATATTATATAAATACATACATAACTTAATAAATGCACTATAGAAAATGTTTCTTTTTCAACCTGCAATGGATTTCAATCACCTACCAGCAAAATTATGTATGAATGCATGGGACATTTTTCTTTCTTTCTTTTGTTTAAATTCTATTTCAATGTTAGGCAAGAATGTTTATAGAGACTGTCCTTTGAAGCAGCAAAATACTCATCCTATCACAATGTTTCTTGAATAATTCCCTTAACATTCCTTACTTTAACTTTGTCAGTTAGGAACTATGAAATTACTCAACCAGAATTCAATCTACAGTTATAGAAGAGAATTTTATGAAATGCAAGTGTACCTTGGCCTGAGCTCATCCAAAATCATTTGTAGTAGCTTGACACCTCTGGCATATTCTTTTGATGGTAGCCATCCATCAGCACAGTAAGCTTCTAACAGCCAAGAAGCCTGGAGAATTTTTAAAAACCATAAATTTACATGTAAAGCTTCACTCCATTGAGCATGAATTGTCAAGTTATACTGTGAATTTACTAAAATCCATGCCACAGATTACCATAATTGATAGTCCAACCCATAAAGTGTTGTGTACAAAGCAATAAATATAAATTTGTTTGTTGAGTAGTAAGCCTTTCCTAATGATAATGCCAGCTACCTGTCACCATCAAACTGTTAGACTTCCAACCAGTACTCTAGCACGCATTGCAAATTATAGGAATACATATTCAAAGATTCTTAAGCTGCATTCAGTTGCTGGTGGATTAGGACAATAACAGTGACCAAAGAGCCGCTGTCATAAAATTTACTTTGGCAAAGTGTGTGCAGGGTTTGAATCACACATATTATACATAAAAAATACCCACAAAAATTGGTTAATGTATTGTAAACAAGTGAACTGTTTAATTAATCTCACATACCTGTAGAGCAAAGGCAAAGCTTCTTTTGCATCTCTCCACCAAATACCTATGAAGGGCCTCTGACACTTCTTCCACATGGATGTACATGTTACTAAAACATAATATTTTAGCCAAGTAATTATAGAATATGCTGACTGTAATACTGTTGTAAAAGGAAATGTATAATAAGTTAATACAGCACATAAGCACATAATAAATTAAAAAACAGCTTCTTGTCATCTTTTTGATTTAAGCATGAGTGTCAAAGGTAAGCAAGAGATTCACACAAAAAGGAAACTCAAATTCAAAACTCAAATTGTAAGAAATTTTTTGAACATTAATTCTCCGCCATAAATTTTTGGCTATGCAATTAACCTTTGGGTAAATTTCAGGACCAAAAAAAAACAATGATTTTTATTGGGTGATAACTATAAACTACACAAAACAGCAATAACTTACATTAGCTGAGGCAAATAAAAGTTCACATCTTCATCATCAAAGGTCTAGGAGATAAACAAAATTGTTCTTAAAGACATACCCAGTTATAGATTGTTTAAGAGATTGTGTATTGCTCTATCTTCACATGTGTGATTTCAAAAAAAATGTAAATTGTAGTTAAAAATCGTTCATCAAGGAGGAGGTGATAAGTGGTGAATGTTTACAAAGCAAAGTCCTGAGACAGATTCATGTATCTACCACTTTCATGCACACTGAAGTGAATAATTGTATTTGTGAACAAATATATAATTCAAATCTGTCAATACCAAAAAAAAAAAGGATTTAAATCCAGATGCATGATTTTGTCTCTTTGGCTGCTGGGAGTTTAAGTCTACTTTCTTGTCATTCTAAGCTAACCAACCAGTGTGCTCAAAAAGCACTATCACTTGTGTGATACCTAACAGTATGTAATATTAAGCTATGTCTTCTTTATCTCATGAAGCTACACAATGTTACCAGAGATTATCAATTGAGAATATATCAATTGGATGTTATAAAACCAAAATCAAAGTAATTGTAACTACTCAATAACTGCTCCAATTAGTCCAATATCAAAAGGAACCACAACAAACTCAAACTGAAGACATACAAACTGTTTCACTATGACTAAGCTGCAAATGGTTTAAGCTCTATATCTACTTTTCCAAGAGGTAAGAATTAAGTTTATGAAAAAACCACCAGCCTTGATGCAGCAAGAACCTAAGCAATCTTAGATTGCTTTTGACACCTAACTGAAAATTCACAATAAATCGCACCTCTGTATAATAAAATTAAAAGGCTCTAGGAGTTATCAGGAATAAAGAGGGGCAGCTAAATCAGAAATCTGAAAGTCACACAAATTAAAGGTGGTTCTGAATCAATATTACTTTATCAATCTCAGCTTAATCTTATTAAAATATGCTCTAGATTCTACATTAAGTCTGTCGTTTTCAAGTTAAAACAATTACTGCAGGACTAAAAAGGTTTTTTCCAAAAATTTTCCTATTTTGGAGTAAATGTTTACAACAGGTCAAACTACTGGCATGGTGACTTACTCACAAAGGAGAGTATTATCATAGTTTGTGCATGCAAGATAATAACAGTTAAATTACAGCAAAATTACAAACCGTGTCTGAATTGAGATATCAAAACAGGATTGTTGTAAATTATTGCAATCCATTTTGATCTCAGAATAACAATCCTCATAATACTCACAAATAGTTTGTTTCCAAGGTATGTAAGAACTCCAGGTTCTTTGGAATTGAATAAATATGCAATCGCTATTGACATGTCAAATAGCTTTGATTCAAACAGCCGCAATAACCAAGAACTCTTTGGTGGTGGAAGGCTAGAGTTTGAATCAGAGTTTGATTCAGCTAGGTCAAGTTTCAGTTGCTTTCGAAGATCTTTAGTCCTTTGTTGCATATCGCTTTCTGTCAATTGTGAGTCCATTTCCGTATGATACATATCACCATTAGGAAGAGGGAGCGTGTTACCCTCTTCATTTGGATTATTGTTCACAGGTATGTTTGTTTCACTAGATTGTGAGTCAGTTCCTACAACATCTTGCCAAGTCTTGAAAGGATTTGAGTTGGGAGAGGAAGGAATTGGTTGTGAAGTGCAACATGCTCCACTTTCTGTCATAACCGTTGTAATAAATTCTTCACCGCTGGGAAAAAAATCTTAGACAGGCCAATTCCGACGTTATATTGCGCTCTTGCAACATTTAGAGCACGGAATACAAAGTACTCTGTATAGATGGACTTAGGAGGTTTATTACCGCAAACCACGCACAACTTGCTTGGCTTCTATTTCAAAACTGGACCTTTGAACTTGTTGTTGCGAAAGGGAAACAAAAGGAAAAATCACGTTTTCTCTATGAAGTTTATTTATCGTGTCACGATGGCACGAAACCGATGTATCGAAATTTTCAGAATTAAGATGACCAAAAAGCAGTGCACTGTAATTAATACAGGCTCTCTTCTTCTCTTTCAGCAGAGCAGTGATGTTGTTAGTACCAGTTACGACGCCGAAAGTGTCAATACCAGACAAAAGAAATTCTTATGGTGTGAAGAATTTCAAGAGGAGCTACTAGTATCAAATCGGAAGTGAAGCTGATGTTGTGGTCGTCGTTGGAAAGGGCGGAATGGAATTCACTCACAGAAGTTACTATTCCTCTTGAATGTTCACAGCAACAGCGTTAACGAAGATCTAAGTCGATTCCGTTCACGTGCTAACAAAATTTTTCCTGATTGTCCAGGAAAGCACGACTTTTCCAATGGTTCAGTGAAGCGAATTGTACTTTTTAGTCAAATGACAGATTTTGATACGGTCCGTGTGCTACTCACGATGTCTCCATACTCCGGTCATTCCCTTGTAAACCCTATCATCTCAGGCACAAATCACTGCAGAAGGAAACAGTATAGCTATTATCTCCTGTTGATATCCTAGCCACAGGGAAATAAATTCAACGATTTCTCCCTATACAACTCCGATATGATGGTTAAAGGCAGGAAGAACAGCTGCCGCTGCAAATTACCCACAATGCTGAGCGAGGCCTGGCTTTTTGAAGCCGTGGAGACCTGGATCCCACCAAGTTATAAAAACGAAAGTTTCGTTTTCAAAATTCCGTCTTTTATCGATTAAAAACCTTTGGAAGTTTGCCTATTACTAACAAATGCACCATTAATACCTCTAGTCAATGCAGAATGAGGCCAGAATGTCTGATAACTTTGTATTTTATTGGTAGGCAAGCTTTTTTGGCTTGTTACTTTTATATTGATATTTAAGAATGCGAAAAGTACAAAAACTTATTCAAAGATGAATATATCTTATAATAAACTACATCATGAATGCCACCAGAGATTTGCATTGTTTTCTTTTCATTTCGTAAAAAATGTTCGAGGATAGTCTTGATGCATTGCGGTCCTATGATTTCGTGCTTCGGACTCAATCCCACAACCCATTGCAATTCCAAGTCAAGCTTGCTTTTCACGTGTGCTTTTCTTTGGTTTCATTGTGGAGTTGTTGTTTTCGGGCCAAAAGAAGCGTTTTTCAGAGATTAAGAAGAGTTTCCTGGTCTGGCAGAAAGGCCCGGTATCTTGAGGGCGTCAAGACACACATGGCATCAACAGAAGAAGCGGTAAAAAGTGAGAATTCGTCCGCCCAACCAGGTAACCCATCGGAAACAGCGAAACCAGCTCAGCCCGTTGCCACAAATCCAGTGACATCTACTGGCGCTGTAAAGGTGATAAAAGTTTTCCAGTTTTTGTCTTGTTTCACTTTTTTTCTACTTCCCAAATTAAATTACATTCATACGTCTTGATTGGTTTGAAAAACTGTGCTGCACTTGGTTTAATGTCGACTTCGCGATAAAAACCAGTTACATTTACAGATTAATTTTCTGAATGATGCTTGGCGTAGAACATGATGCTTTGTTTTATTTTTTTATTCTTTGCAGCTTAAGGGAATTAACGTTACGATTAGAAAGCCTAATTATTTCTGTTGGAAATCAATGATTAAAGGGATTATTTTGATGCATGGTTCAGTCGTTAGCTTAGATCGTCTCTGTAAGTTACATGCTCCTCATTGGAAACCACAAACTTGTCACGAACGGTATGATATGATGGTTGACAAGCAGTTTAACTCGATATTAAGTTACGATTTATCTTAACATAGTTAATTGTAACTAATACTTTGGAATCGCATAATCCCATTACAAATGACTGTGCAGTTATATCCTGTGTGAGACTTGGTACCACAATTTTACAGTCGTCATTTCAGTGACTTGTCACAATGTATGGAAATAGCTTAGTCTTCAAACCAACTATAACCCTGTCTGTAGCGTCAGGCAGATGCACACATGATTTTTCCTTTGTTACCATACATTTCACACAGCAGAATTGCTTTTGCGCACAAACGATCTTGTAGAGTTCTGTACTCAGCAGACTGGACTCGAACTCAATCCAGTACATGAATCTGGTGCAAAGTACAGGAAGTTGTATGTTACCAAGTTTTTTATTGATTTATCAGAAGTGTTAGAAGGGGGGGGGGAATAGTAATGGATGTTCCACTTTTCAACAGTAGAAGGGAGAGTGTCCCAAACATATTGTCAAATATTGTTGCTTGCATGCATTTGCTTTTGTGTCTCTGTACAATGTATATCATTGTATAAGACTTTGAATGGATCACTTTTTAACTTTTAATTGTGGCAATTTTGTGGTTTTAGAATTAAATTCTTCTTATTTTTCTGACTCTTTCACTCAGAAGCCAAACTATATACTGAAATACACCTTATCAGGACATACAAAGGCCATCTCATCTGTGAAATTCAGTCCAAATGGAGACTGGCTGGCAAGTTCGTGTAAGTTTTGATGATGATTACATCTGACTTTTCTTTGCAAGTGATGCTCTTATGGTGATGTTGACTTTCTCCACACATAGTTTGATATGAGCCCTTTGCTGTGAGGTCCAGCTCTTCAAAATTAGTTTAAGCAATTTTTACCTTTTTCAACTTCTTAGTTCTTAAATAAATAAACATTTCCTTAACCCTATTTTCATGTGAGTTGTTAAATTTTCCCACCAGCAGTGAGATAACATTGTACACACTGCTTTCCAAGACAGTGAAACACTGTAATTTGTTTCCTAAGATAAATTTCTATACTCTGTTATAATTATCTATCTCTCTATCACTTAGAGAGATAGATTCCAACATCTTAATGATGTGAATGAAGATGTTAAATTTTAAGCCCATGGCACTCCTAGTTTCAAAATTAAAGGGCTATAATTACTGATTGTAAAATCTTTGAGACATGAACAACAACCATAATCCTTCTACATTATGTAAACTTTAGGTTTGATCATTTTGGTAACTTGCAAATTGCAATTGCTTATTGCATTGTCTTGTAATAAGATTTGATTTTAATGTTACAGCTGCAGACAAGTATATAAAAATATGGGGAGCTTATGATGGAAAATTTGAGAAAACAATCTCAGGACACAAACTGGTATGAGAAATTTGACTTGTTTGTGATATTATTTCTCTTTGACTGCCACTTCCTGGTAAATCTCCCCTCATTATGGGAAAGCTTGTGGTTGTCAATATAAAAGTTTTATTAAATCAGGGTGTTATAAAATAAGCTTATTCTGTGTTAATGATACATGTGTGTATTCTTCAAATTTAAATATTTTGTAATTAATTTACCATTTATATTCTTAATGGTATACGGTGTTTGTTTTCCTCTTGAAGCAAAACTGAAAGAAGGAACAAGCAGGCATCCTGGTATTTATTGTCTTTGTTTTTTTTCTCAGGGTATTTCAGATGTGTCTTGGTCTTCAGATTCAAAGCTACTTGTCTCCGCATCTGATGATAAAACACTAAAAATTTGGGATTTTGCCACTGTAAGTCATTGGCCATGTTCATAGCCAATAATTTGTAGCGATTTTGTGATTTCTTTGATTTAACTTCACACGAGCTTGGTGTGCATTTTTTTAAAATGCATAGTTGTTTGTAGTAAATTTATTAGTGTATTTATGGTGACTGTTTAACTCCCTTAAGCATCCAAAACAGAATTTCTTTTTACAATATCAATACATTATCAAGTAGACTAGTAACACAAGAATGAAGAAAAATGTAATTTAAGGGATTATTGGTTAATCCAATACCAAATTCTCCAAACTAACATTATGAGAGTTGTTTGGTTGGCAGTAAGGAGAATTATTAATCAGATCTTGGTTTTCTCATTCTAGGGGAAGTGTCTGAAGACACTCAAAGGACACAGTAACTATGTGTTTTGTTGTAATTTCAACCCTCAATCTAACCTCATTGTGTCTGGATCGGTGAGTACCATAACTGTTATTCCAGGTCTGAAATTAATTATCTTGCTTGTTGATGTGACATTTGTGTTTTCGTTTTTTTTTGTATGAAAACTTCACTTTTATCAAGCATTGTTAACAGCAATGCAACATGAATTGTTATTCATTTCACATTTACGAACAGGGAAGTTCTATATTAGTAAATTAATTCTGATTGGCTAGTCATGCCCTCCAACTCGAGGAAATCCTCATTAAGCAAGTGCTTTTAGGTTATAAACTCCTTGAAGAATTTGTTCCAAATTTCTCAGCCTAATCTTTCTTCAGTTTGATGAGAGTGTACGTATTTGGGATGTCAAGACAGGAAAGTGCTTGAAGACATTACCAGCTCATTCAGACCCTGTGACAGCGGTAAGAATGTTTTTTTTAATTTGATAAGTGCAAGTTTAGATTGCAGTAGCATTAAAATTCTTATGCTGTATTGATCATGGAATTCAAAGTATGTTTCCCTTTACAACTCCACTTTTTTAATGAAATATGATTCCTCTCTTCCATTACTGTCAGTAGCAGTAAGCTACACTATAGTTCACTTGAATTTTCACAGCCTGATCCCTGTTAAATCAAGGCTAGTAATTCTGGTTCATGTAATGATTTATTCATCTAAGTTCAAGTTAAGATAGCAGTAGCATTATACTCCTTACACTGTATTGATTTTCCCAGCCTATGCCCCATTAAGTTAAGGCTGGTAATTCTGGTTCATGTCATGATTCATTTATTTTGCCTGTTTGCTCCTTTTGGTCAGGTATGTGGATACCATTAACAAGTGTTCTATATACTATAGAATGGTGAACTTAAGTTGATGTTTATTCATTAAGATATATTTTTGTGACTTTTCATGAACAGGTTCATTTCAATAGGGATGGTGCTTTGATTGTGTCAAGCAGTTATGATGGCCTCTGGTGAGTTTAAAATGTTGCTTTTCTGATATTCTTTTGATATTACCTGCATGATACAGTTTTGATTTGAATTTTTTATCTGTTTTGTTTTGTTGAAGATCATTTGTCTCTTAAAAGTGTCTCTTATTAAATTCTTCACTGCTCATCAACACCAGTTCTTCTATTCATTCCAAGGGTCAACTACTTTACACTTTGGGATCGTGCCTTTGTTCATGCTGCTCCTGTTTTAAGGAACTTGTTACTGTTTTCAATTAGAACATGTAGCACCCTTGCCACTTTAATAAAACAACTTTCTTTTTGGGAAAGCTCTCTGTAGAAGCTTGTAGTCCTTATGTAAAGTGCCTATGAATGTGTTTGTAGTTTTAGCACTATGGTCATTACTATTATTATTATTTACATGTAGTTTGACTGTTTTTTTCTTCAGTCGTATTTGGGATACAGCTTCAGGGCAGTGCCTTAAAACTCTAATAGGTAAGTGAAACTGAGTTGTTTATTATTATTATTGTTATTGTTATTATTATTATTATTTGAAATGTACATAATTAAAATATTGATAGTGATTCCATCGCTGACTTATGAAATGTTGGATCTTTTCTTAGATGATGACAACCCACCAGTATCATTTGTGAAGTTTTCACCCAATGGAAAGTATATATTAGCAGCCACATTAGACAAGTGAGTTTATCTGCCATGGCCAATTTTGTGTATGGAGTGTTAGAGCATTTGCTGTAAGTGGCAATATTCCATGGAAATTCCTTTTGGGTACTTGAATGAAATATATCTCTTTCATTTCTTTTCAGTACATTGAAGTTGTGGGATTACAGCAAAGGAAAGTGCTTGAAAACCTATACAAGTCACAAGAATGAGAAATACTGTATTTTTGCAAATTTCTCAGTAACTGGTGGCAAGGTACTGTATAACTGTGTAGAATTTGTTTTTGTTGTTGTTGTTGTTGTTGTTGTTGTTCAGTTGATACTTTGATACTTTGATACTTAATTTTATTTCAAAAGAGCCAATTATTATACCTTGGGTTGTAACTCTACCAGAACACTTTTTAGTGCATTGTCCAAATATATTTAGGGTTACAATATTGTGGTTTATTAGTATAGGAAACTTGCATAACCAGCCTGACCCTTTAACTCCCAAAACTGACATATGTATAATTTCTGCCTATGATATCCATCTATTATCCAGTAAACAGGTAATGAGAATTCTTAAATCTGTCAGCAATAGTTGTTATCTTGATCCAACTCCAAAATTTTTGTAACTTCTCTAGAAGGAAATGTTTAGCAGTGAGATGGAAGAATTAACAATCAGATCTTAAAACTAATTGGGACTTGGTGATCATTGTCATGCTTAACTTGAGGCAGTTTGGTTTTAGTACCTGTGAGCTTTCACAAGCTCTAAGAAATACGTACCCTTGTTCTGAATGGTCGTTGTGATTGCTTTGCTTATTTAGTATACTTAAAAGTGTTCTTGGACATTGTAGCCCAAACTTAGTTGTAGATTGAGAACAGCCATTTCACTGTAAGGGATATCTTTTCTTCAGTAAAATTCAGGAGTGTTACATGTAGAAGAATATTGCTTTTGGCAGCTTCTTATCATGATGATGATGTTTATTTTGTGTTCACAGTGGATAGTGTCTGGGTCAGAAGATAACCTGGTGTATATCTGGAACCTGCAATCCAAAGTGTGTTTTGTTGTGGAACATAATAAAATAAAAGGTTTCTATTTGAAGGGCAGACAGTGGTGAAATGTTGGGACTTTTTTTAGGATTAAATGCATCAAAAATAAAAGGTTTCTATTTAAGTAAGGGCCAGACCTCTAAAGGATGAAAGTGTGGGGACTGTTTTTAGAACAGAATTAAATGCATCAAAAAATGAAAGGTTTCTGATTTTTGGAACTAATGAAAATTGCTTGACTTGGCTAATATACTTGGAGCCTAAGAAATGCATAGTTTGACTGCATGGATAAATAAATATAGCATCAGAAGTGCTTAATGTGAACTGTCTTAATCAAAGCTGCAGGTGATATGAAGAATAGTTAGCAAAGAGGATGCCAAGCTTTACTTAAATCATTTTTTTGTGTTTTAGATGTGGTCCTTTGTTCTGCCTGCCATCCAACTGAAAATATCATAGCATCTGGTGCCCTAGAGAATGACAAAACTATAAAAATCTGGAAATCTGATTCATAACAGGAGCAATGCAAGCACCTGAGTTTCTGCAATGCTGTTGTGCTAAGGAAATATAGTATTACTTTTCAAACCTTAACACTTACTTCCATGTAACGTCCCTTTTACAAAATCAATACTTCCAGAAAGCAGGTGATCAGAATAGACAAACTCATATAACTTCAAAAGTTTTCTCTGGATAATACACCCAATTCTCATCACTCATTCACAAGGAACTTACAGCTGGTATAAGGGAGACTTCTCTTTCTAATTTTGGGGGTGAAGGGTTGATAGTTATGGCCAGATTTGCTGCCAGTAGTGACAAACCATTTCTCCCCTTTTTGTGTAGAGCTACTGTTGTCAGCACCACTTTAACTGTATCCTTGGCTTATGTTTTACTCAATTAATAGTCATCTTTTCTTTTTGAGTTTCCCAAGCCAGTCAAAGGGCTAGAGAGAAATAGGATGCAGTAGCTAGTGTGCTTACTTTGAACAGTGGCCTGAAACATGGTGGTCAAACATCTGAGCATGTGCAAACCTTGTTATGATTAGGTGACACAAGTTCAGGTTGTCAGAACCAAATTAAGCAACTACACAAGCTACTTCTTTGTTAAGAAGTGTCACTTATCACTTAGGAGGCAATTTCAGAAACTAAGTTCTCCTACGGAGATTTGTAAATTGCATACATGGGAATGCAAGGCTGAATTTTGTACTTATTTCTGGCTTTTAGTTCTCACTCAAGTTTTGTGTTGCATAAATACCCTTTAATGTTTGTATTATATTGTATTATTGTGTAATTGTGTTTTAAAACAGGACATAGATTCTGATACAATCCTTACTTGTAATTAGTCTAAAGAAAATAAACAAAAATGGAAAAATATTGCAGTAAAGAAGTTTTTGATCGTGTTCACGTTGTATATTAAAGTTCATTAGACAATCATTTGTCTGATGAAGTGTGCTGAAAGTTTTAAGTATAATCTCTACTGAAGTAAGAGCTTTTTTCACACCAGGTATACTTTCTCTGAGTTTTAGGGTGTCCTGTTACCATGAGTTTTACGTCATTGTCATGGCAACACTTCCTCCAATGCTGACTAAATCATATCTCCTTATCCTTTGTTTCTTTAAAGTGGTGGTAAATAGAAAGAATGACTGCTATTGTTGCAAATAAAAAAACTGGAATCAGAAACATGAAAGAAAATCTTTGGGAGGAAGGAACAATGAGCTTCTCCCATAGTCTTTGAGTTATTTCCCTCCAGACTTGCTTAGAGGTGCCGATTTAAGTGTCAGGTCAGGATGTAATTGTAAATGATAGCTTGCCTAAATAGCTCACTGTCACCTTTAATTCCTTATAAATTACTTTAAAGATCAAAACCGTTATTAATACAGGAACAATATCAGTCCAAGTACACCTGTATGGGTTAAAATGTTTAATATGGTATTAATCCTGTTTAACTTGTCCCAATTATTGGCATAAAAAAGTCAATTTTTAAGGAGAATATGTTTCAGGGAATTCCATCAATGACAGCCGCATTTCAGGGAAAGAAGCAGAGAACACCTGTTTATTAACGGCTGTGACTTTTAAGAAGTGCACCTCAATTAGAACAACACAAAACTTGAAGTTTTTACAACATAAAGATTTAAAATAAAGGGAACATTGTTCTGAAGGTGTATGAAAGTTTGCGTTGTCATTTTGCACAAGTACAAGATTTATTTGATATCTGAAACATAAAGGTAAGTTATCAAATGTTGTAGAGTACAGTTTGGTATAACTAAGCTTAGGCACATCATGAGAAAAACACGCGGGACTTATGCTTTAAGAAAATTTAAGACCATTTAAGAAATATGTGATTACTTGTTTATGATAAAAATAGATTTGTAATGGTGATTGCTAGGGATTTAACTTCTTTTAGTATTTCTTTCTTGATGGCTTGATGATTTAGAGAAAAAAATTGTGTAATTCCTAGAAAATGGCACTGCTAAAATCCAATTGGATTGCAAGGATTACCAGCGGTTTCATAACAGGTATAATAAACATTTAAATTTCAGTTTTGGAAGCGAACGTCAAATGTTTCACGATCGAGCCCTGGGTCTGAGATCCGGTAAGCCGTATTTCCCGGGCTCTTAACACGCGTGCGCAGATCAAGCGTGACTTTCGGAGCAATATTTTTTCTCTGTTCTCCTGTGCTCATTCGCTTGGCTTGACGTTAAATATCGCAGGAAGCTCCCCCGAAGATGACACCAATACTTCTCAGAAAACATTTTTGATTTCTTACGTCCACAATCCCGACTGTAATGGCTCAAATGTCGTCCTCGAATTCAACATCTTCTCAGACGAGTCAGGGGCGAGCAGGACGTCGTCGGAAGAGGCCGCATCCTCCCGTTTATGGTGGAATTATGAACTCTTTCAGCGATAAAAATAGCGATTTCGTTTGGTAAGAGCAAAATTATTGATTAGATACGTTTTCTTGCTCATAATGGGTCAGCAATCTTTGCCTTCGTGCATTTTTTCCCAGTGAATGTTGCGTGATTTAAAACCAGTCCAATTGCTCTGTGGTACAAATTAGCTTATCTGTTTTTGTTTTTCTTCTACAGTCCGATCTGTTTTGACACCATCGATGAAGCTTTCATGACAAAATGTGGACATACCTTTTGGTAAGGATTTATTTTCTTAGAATTTTGAATATCAGAATACCCTAGTGGCTCGTTGTGTGCACATCACCTGAGATTGTCTCACAGTTAAGCGCTAAATTTTTTGCATAGTTAGATGTCTTTGAGCTTTCCATGCCAATTCATTTGTATATGTAAACTTTGTCATGCACGCCAGGGTAGTCCCACCAGCAAAGACGACTAGTATTTGTTTCAGCACTGATAGGGTTAAAAAAAAATTCCATAAAATTCAGCCTTTTCAAGTTCAAAATTCCATTTATGCTTGAATGAATTACAATGCGGCAAGACATTTGGTGAAGGTCAGTTGCTTGTGGACATGTAGCTGTGGGTCATGAGATAAAGGATTTACATTGGTAAGATTTCTGCACAACCCTGTACTTCATAATGCATGCAGTTCTTGGATAAAGAAAACAATTGGGTAAACAATAGATCATCTTTGAGACCGCAGCTATGTTTTACAATAATATAGTGCTGTGCAAAAAATCTCACCTTTACCTGACATAAATACATGCACAAGCACAGCTCATTCCTAAAAATCTGAACGATTGGTTGCAAGGACATGCGAGGTTAAAGATACACGTACATTACATTTACAGTTCTATTCGATACTGCTTGATCAAAAATCATTTCTTTCTCAAGTTAGTTTTTCCCTGTGTCTGGCTGCATAAATTGTAATTGGTATAAATTTGTGTCCCAAACCATTAGGACAAAGTGGAACAAATTCTTGTTGTCCCTTGCAGTGAATAAAAATTTACACACAATAGCAAGTTTGATAGTTGGACTTGAACAGCTGATCCTTTAATATGATTCCAACAATCTCTTTCTCAGACACTATAATCCTATTACAGGATTTCCTACATGTGCGAATCCTCTTGAATGCATTCATCATTAACCTTCTGGCCTGAACAAATTGTTCTCTATTATTAACCAGTGTACTTTAATTGGATTATTGCAATAACCATGTTTGTGAACTATTACTGACCTTGACCTTGTCCTGACTCTGAGTTATTCATATCAATTGTAAATGAATAAAGATTGACTGGGCGATTGATTAGCATTGCTAATTCTATCATTCTTTGAAGCTTCATCATTAGAATAGCATCCACATTGTTTAAGTACATTTTCTTTGTTTCATGGGGAGAAGTTGTTACAGATCTTATATGTGCCTAATTAGTATTGCTGAAAAAATGGGACCAGAGAAGTGAGTCTAGATAATCAAATAATCTAGATAATTGTGGTTAGACCGTATATGTATGTGTAAACCACAGCACAATGGTCAGACAAGAAGAGTGCAGCCAATCAATATAACCCGGTAGTTGTTTCCAAGTTATCTGGTGGTTATCAAGGAATAAAACCCAGTCTGTAAAGTAACATGATCTTAATCCAGGATGATATCTTTGAGAAGTGTTTCTAACTCCTAAAATCATCTGTAATCCATTTAGCTATTGTATACAAATCATGAAATCACATTAATTTTTATAACTATGATCCTAGCTGGGATACCTCCTCATGACAACCAAGATAAATTAACATACACATAGGGGTAGTAAATGGTAAAATTTGTGTCTTGCCCAGTTTAGGTACGCTATCCACTATCATTGATGTAGGGTTAATCAGCCTACTGCATGTGCCCTGTTTATACACCCTCACCACCAAGAATCTTTTTGAGTCTGGGCACATTTTAACCCTTTATGCCCTAATATCAGTCTGCATATTCTTGATACTATTCTGTATATAATTCTTAAGGTGCTGACAAGTAGAATTTGTTCAACAATCAAGAGCTTCATTATATTTAGTGATCATTTAATTTATTCTTGTGAATATTCTTACTGTAGCTTGTTGCTGAATGTGGCAACATTTAGGCAAAACTACCCTCATGTCTCTTTTACCCTTTAGTTATCAGTGCATCACAAGGAGTTTGGAGGAAAGCAATCGCTGTCCTAAATGTAACTACATCATAGACAAGCCAGATCAAATCTTTCCTAACTTTCTATGTAAGTATTTTGAGAAAACTACAGTTAATAAAGTCAAACTCCTTTTAAACTGCACTGTACTAAGTGGTCATCCTGTACATAGTGGTCAGTTGTCATTTTGTTAATGTGAAGCAATGAAGATGCAATGCATTTTTAGCACGATTTTGAAGAAACTGTACATTAGGAGACCAATAACGGTTGAAAATAGCATCTTATCATCACTTTTGATCCCATTCTGTGGAACCTGTATGAACTGGTCACCCCGTCATTACCCGTGTGACTGTAGTTACTTGTGCTTGGGATATTTTGATATCTTCTTTATAACTGGAAGGAGTATTTTTACTTATTGTGGTTGTACTTGTTGTTCCTTTTTTTTTTTTTTTTTTTGCTCTATAGAGGTGCAATATGTGTATCATGTATTTTGTTTTCTGCTAATCCTAGTAAATGAATTGGTACAAAAAGTTAAAGAAAGAACCGGACAAAAAAAGAGCAAGATGGTTCTGGAGTCTCAGGTGAAGATTTTTGTGTTTTGGGGGGTGAACTGAGAGATTGAACTGACAGCTCCTTAACACTGTAACTCTCAAGATCTGATTGTAAATTCTCCTCACTAGCTGCTCCACAATTCCTTTTAAATTAGTTACAAGACTTTGATTTTGGATCAAGATAACGTCTACCTAATAAGTTTCCGTAATCCCCTTATCTGTTTGCTGAATTTTTTTTTTATTTACAAAGCTACATGAGGCAGGAAGTGGACTGCAGGAACTTTTGGCAGGACAACATGAATGGGACTTAGCAGGTAAAATTTCTTGTGAAATTCTGTGCAGGACACTGTTTTCTTTTTTCTTCTATGCTTTAAGCTTGGTTCTCAGTGCTGGAGGCAAGCTATGAAATCAAATTGTAATTTTCTACCAGTGTTATGGCCCAGATCCACTTCTTGGTAGATAACTTGTATCCCTATGTTCATTGTGAAGATGCCTCTCTGAGACTTTTGTTACCTTTCCTGTTACAGATGTCAATTATTTGCTGGAAGTTTTGACGCTGAAGAAACAAATGCTAGAAGCCGTAAGTGTAAAACAATCTAAATTCTTGGACTACAGTAGTGGTCAGGACGTATTTAAAAAGAAGGAAATGACAGGGGGGAGGTATGATCATTTTTTGTGTAAAAAAACTACAACATTGTTGATGAATACAAAAAGCAATGCTTAAATTGGAATAGTTTCAGAGTTGGTACACTTATTTATATTTCCAAGATTAAATTGGTCATAAAGAAGGATGGTTTAAATATGTAAAGCTAGTGGGGTGTCGATTGACTTGATGGCACCAATTTTAAAATTTGGCTGACAAGGGGGGAGTTTATTCAGGGACAGGTGTCAATTTAGTCAATACAAGCAACTGTCTGTCAATTTGCATTCGCAAAGACAAAATTTTCTCACATCCTCTCTCTTGCCCCTTCTTTTCCTCATTGGTGGGAGACCTTCTAAAACCACCTGACAGAAAACAGAGTGCCTCTTTGTGATCATGTAATGGAGATTTATACAAAATGCAGATTGCATTGAAGTTCTTTTGTTTAATGTAACTATTAGGATAGCCAAGCAATACAACATGAGTTGCTGAAAGATTTCCTCTCACAAGTAAAGAGACACAAGCAAGAGGTATGGTACTGCCATCCATAACATACAGGCAAATTATATGTACATTCCCATGAAGATGTTTGTCAGAGCATTCAATGGTATAGTTTGTTAAAAAAAAACTTATAATCATTAACATCATTTAGAAGTTAAAATGCTTGTTTTGTGCATCTACTGTTAGACAAATTATTAGCCCAACCTTATTGAGATTTTTATTTTTTCCTTTGAAATATAGCAACTTGATCAGCTTACCCGAGAAGTCAAACTAATTGATGAAGACATGAAGAGAGTTTCGGTAAGAGAAACATGAGTTCAGCTCATTTCCCATGTTTGGTACACAGTGAAAGTGCACCTCTCAGTTTGGGTCTGTTGTTCAGAACAGGTTGAACTAGTTGTAACAGGTTTGAGGGGAGAACTCCATAGAGGGGGATAGAATCTACTTTCAGAGTGAAGTTGTGAATGTTGTTTGTTTGTTTGTTTGTTTTTTTTTCAATTATTTATCCACATTACTACTGCTTTATAAATGGAAGAGGTTTTGGTGAAGCATACAGATAAGAAATTTACTGATAGCAGTAACTTGATATCAATAGACTGGTGTTGATAGGCTTATAACAATTACTCTACAATCTTTCAGGAAATGATAGCAAGTCACAACAGACAATATTCAAAACCAGCTCCCTTAACTCTCCTCCCTGGTGCTGAAAGACTTATGGCTGGTGAAGTGGTATGTAGTTCTTGTTTCCACTAACAGTTAGCATGGTGTAAATGACCAAAAGAAGGGTCAGATTTTTGTAAAAGAGTAAAAGGTATTTGCAAAGTTAAGAAAACTGCAACAATACACACACTTCTACATTTACTATTTGAAGTAATCAATCAAGGCTTGTGTGTGTCAAAATTGTCTTTTTAGTGTGGACAATTATCTTTTAAATATCAACTGATCTCTATGGAAACATTAATGACATACTTCATTCAGGACAAGACAACCCCAAAAAACATTGCTGACATGTAGGAGCGCAATATGAATAAACTGTTTATTTCCTTCAGGATCATGCTGTACCTACCACACCCACAGCTAAAAATGCCCCAGTGGCAGTGGGTTCGGATATGGAACCTTCAACAAGGTGACAAACTATTTGTAGAGGTTTTACTATTGACTGTTGGTAAATGTTGAGTATTTTATTGTAGCAGCCAGTAACATTGAAGCTGTAAAATTGTAGAAATATCATTGAAAGGCTACATTAATCATGCATGGAACTCTAGAAAAACATATGCACTGTATCCATAGGTTTAAAAGGTGTTGAGTATTGACTGAATCATTTTAGAAAAAGTGACACTATTTTAATTTGCTATTACAATGATGATTGAGTAAGGTTTAAAACAAACTCACATGTTTAGCTCTGAACCTTAGAATTTACATGTGATTGAAATTTGTAGTAACATTTCATAATATTAAATTAATCTGTTAAGGGGTAAATTCTCTCTCTTGCCTCTAAATTTTTTAAACTAGTTTGATATTTATTTTTGTGTAAAAAAATATTTAATTGAACTTTTTTGAAATGTTGGCAACCAAGAAGGAAATGGAACAAAAGTGTTTATTTATAAATATATGTGTATAAAGTAATGCAGTACTTGTCCACTTGCAGTCATGATGAATCATGCGATCAAACAGAGGGGGCTCAAGATGGGTTTAATGGAAGCCAGCATGGAGCAAAACACCTTTGGTGCAGCACCAGTTTAGCGTCAAGAAGGAAAAGAATTCACCAACACTTTGATGATCTAGAGAGATGCTACTTTTCCATTAGGCAGGGAGATTTACCAAGTGAGAAAGTGAAATTAGATGTATTTGCATCCACATACCATACCATAGGGGCGCAATGGTTAGCACTCTGAACTCCAGTTAGAGAGACCTAACCTTAAGCTAAAGTTTGGCCATTGTGGGTGTTCTTGGGCAAAGTACTTTACTCTTAAACAGCTTCTCTTCACCTAAGAACATTTATAGGAACCAGCCCTATCCCCACAAACACATACAGTAGAACCATGCCAACTCAAACTCCCAAGGAAAACAAAAAATTGTTTGGGTGAGTTGGTAGTAAATAACTGAAAAATTGGGTCAAGGGAAATCAGATCTTGTTCAAGTTTGCAAGGGGTTTGAGTTAACTGAGTTCGAATTAGCGGGGTTCTCTTGTACATCTGTAAACTGCAATTCCTTCCCAGTTGTATTGCACTTGTGTCCTAGTTGATGAGACTGCTCTGCTGGTATTGAATTTCTGAATGTTTCCAGGTGATGCAGGAACCTCAGATGCCCTGGATTATTTCACAGAAAGTCTAGCCAAGTTTACAAAGTTCAGTGGTTTTCGTTGCCTGGCAACACTGAGTTATGCCACTGACATCTATAGTAGCTCAAGCATAGTATCAAGGTTTGTTTCCTTAGATGTATTTGTTGGCAAATGATGGTTAAACGTTAAAGGTGCCTTTACAAGTGACCCCAGTCTTCCCATTTCAGATGTTATTATTTTCACTATCAAAAAAGAAACAAGATATTTTGAAATGCTTCTATGAAAAGATTGTAACTTTACTATTTCTAGTATGAAATTCTAATTTGTTTTATTGTTTCTTTTTAAATGCCTTTCCATGTTTCTTGAAATCATCTGCAGTTAAAGTATGTATATACATGTACATATTTATTTTTCAATAATTCTATTCTCTCCACAAACATACAGCATTGAATTTGACCGTGATTTTGACTACTTTGCCATTGCTGGGGTTACAAAGAAAATCAAGGTACTCCTATCACACTTTATTTTATTTCTGGCTTATTTTATTACATTTAGAATTTTAAAAATAGTCACTGTAGCAAAGAACCCTTCTTTTTGTTGTCTCTGGTCTTTTGATGGGTATCTTTTGCAGTCAGCAATTCAGGGGGATCTTTGTATCCAAGCCTCATAACCCTCACAGAGCCCAGTGTGAATCTGAATCTCTTGCTTCTCAAAAATCTCTTTCAAAACATTTTTTTCCTGAAACAGAAAAACTTTATCAGTGAAGGTCAAGAATTGAGCTTTGTGTTTCAAGGGATTTTTCAGTGGGATCAAAGTGGCAATATTTAGCAGGCCAAGATGGGATTATTTTGTACAATTATGCAGCCACTTTCATTCACGTCTACAAACGCACTTAAAAGCATTTGTAGGTTTTCACCCTGAATCCCCATTACCTTTCGTTAAGATATCACACCACTTACTGAAATCTCATTTTCAAGTGGAACTTTCACAAGATGTGACACCTCATATAGTGATAAGTACTGCTCATCTATCAAACCTTTTTCATGTTCTCTTTTGGTACATCAGGTGTTTGAGTATGGAATGGTGATAAGAGATGTAGTGGATATTCACTGTCCTGTGAATGAAATGGTGTGCAATTCAAAAATCAGGTGAGGTGAAGAATTTGAAGTTGATACACATTAAATTTGTGCCCTTGGTGAGCAGTTTCAGTCCAGCCATGTCTCTACCGTTAAAATTAAGAACAGAAAAATATGCAGAAAGAATTTTTGTTCTCTCTTGGTCTTGCGTCTGTTTTTTCTTGTTTTTTGTTTTGTTTTGTTTTTTTTATTTTGGATGATGATGAAACTAGAGCAATGTTAGCTGCTTTGTTGGTCAAGAAATTTAATGTACATATTTTGTTTGCTTGTTTCACAGTTCGATCTGTTGGAGCTCGTATCACAAAGGTTTACTTGCTAGCAGTGATTATGAAGGCACAGTGACTCTGTGGGATGCTTTCACTGGATCAAAGACCAGGTCTTTTCAGGTACCCCTTGCACAGTTTTGCGTATTTGCGACAAAAAAGCCTTTCCCCCCCCCCCAGCATTATCAACATTACCAACTCAGTTGACAATACCAAATTATCAAGGTATATTAATGACTTCCAGTTACGAACAATAGTACTTAAGGAGGAGAAGGAGACTGAAATCACACATGTTCTTGTAAACCTTAAAAATAATTGAAGTGTAAGTCCCATCATTTCACTCCTACATGCAGTAACTTCTTGGCCCTTTGTCTTTGTTCGAAGGAACATGAAAAGAGATGTTGGAGCGTGGATTTCAATCACGTTGATCCAAAACTTTTAGCTTCAGGGTCTGATGATGCTAAAGGTAATCAATCTTAGAATTTAGGTCGTAGTTGAGAAAATCCTAGTTGGCTCTTCCTGTTTGAATTCAGTACAGCAAAATGTCCGTGAAGCTTACCGTCAGAGCTTTTCCGCAAGAATTTTAAAAGCGTCTTTACAGCCGGAGAATTTATCGCTATAATTTTCAACTCAAGCGTGTAACCATTTTGGAATAATAAGACGCTTAAACGTTTTATGGGTCTGTTTTCTAGAAAGGAGGAGAAGGAGACTGAAATCACACATCATCACACTAATTTCACGATTAGAAAATAGTGCGACTTCAAAACGTAGATTAGATTGGCCACCCTTTCATAGCTAGGAAGAAGAATTTCTTTTTCTATTCTCTGTTTTAGTATGGGAGAAAAGTCTGCATGTAATGTGGGGTTCACCAATGGGCAAAGAATTGTGGGATCGATGTCAGTATCTTAACAAAACTGTGCACCTACCCCTCCCCTAACCCAATAACTGATAAAAAGTTAGAGTTAATGTTGGGTCCAGGGAGGAGTAGCTGCTAGTTGCTCTCATACTGGCATTGGTCTTAATTGTGCTAATAGTCGATTATTAAAAAATGTTCGGTCTATCCGTTTCTCTTTTTTTATTGTTCTGTTTTCCTTGGTTTCTGTTTTAGTTAAGTTATGGTCAACAGACATGGAACACTCTGTGGCTTGTCTGGAGGCTAAAGCCAATGTGTGTTGTGTAAAATTCAACCCCGAAAGTAGATGTCACCTATCCTTCGGTTCTGCAGGTATGTAGTTTGTACAGTATCCATCTGGCCCCAGTTGTTCGAAAGATGGATAACGCTATCCACTAGATAAATGTCTATCCAGTGGATAGCGCAGTACATTTTGTGAACACTTATCCACTGGATAGCGATTTATCCGTTGGATAGCGTTATGCCCCCTTTGAACAACTGGGCCCAGCCCGGAAACCTTTTCCTAAGAATTTAAACTACATTCACAAGGTACCCTTCTGTAGGGTCAGATAAGTTATGCCTAACATTTTTCAGTAGGCTCAGTTCAAAGCCCTCAACCTTCCCTTCTATTTCTACCACCAGCAGGTTAAACTTGCCTAGAATAAAAGGTTTACTCAAGTTCAGAACACAACATTTTATTGGATCAAATCTCTAAAGTGCAAACAAGACAAGCAGGCTCACTCTCAGGGGTTTCGTTTCAGGCCGGACACCGGACGCAACGCCCGGTTGTTTGACATGTAACGTCTGATAGTTCACACACCAAGTGTGAAAATCGTTTTTTCCATTTATTAAACTAAGAAAGACTTGACCCTTATTTTACTCACTTAGTTATGTAATACATACAATCGAAACGATAGAGATAATTCCTGTCATATACATGTATAATAAAATCATAACTCATCATTCCTCATCCCTTTCCCCCTTCCGTACCAGCTATAACTGACCAGACAAATTCGACGACAGCTAACCCTGACATTTGATCAGAGAGCATCTGTCTGAATCAGTATTGCTCACTTTTCATTTGTACATCATCTCAGGGAACGCAGGAAGTTGCATTTAAGAAAGTCCAATTTTACAAATTTCCCGGGGGACATGCCAGCTGAACCACTGCATCCGGTACTTCCTAATGTTACCGAAAACCCTGCACTCTTGACAGTACTCGGGCTAGATATTCCCTTCATAACCTCTGAAGTTTCTCTTCACAGATCACTGCGTCCATTATTATGATCTACGAAACACAACCAAGCCAATAACAGTCTTTAAAGGCCATAGGAAGGCTGTATCATATACAAAATTTATCAACACAGAAGAAATTGTCTCTGCGTAAGTGAGGTTTCTTATGACGTAACCCGTATAGGATTTTGATGGAAGCGTAAGCCATGATAGTGAAACCCTGTCGGAACGAGGTTATTTAGTATCGTCGACTAAGTTGATGAAGTAAATTGGCCACCGTAAAGAGTTTAAAAGCTGACGTTTCGAGCGTCAGATGAATCGCTCTGACGAAGGGCTAACGCTCCAAACGTCAGCTTTTAAACTCTTTACGATGGCCAATCTACGTTATCAAGTCAGTTGATAATACTAAATCGCTCTGTCATACTCTCCCACCGACGCAGTACCACAGTTTCTTTAGAAACTTACCCCCTTTATTCAGCTGTCGGAACGAGATAGTTTAGTCATAGCATTGTACAACGAAGCTTTATTCCCTTGGCGTTGGTAACAGAATTCAAAGAAATTCAGAATATCTGACCTTCGGTATTAGAGCAATTTTCAAGTGAATTTCGAAAGTAGGCCGGGGTTGTATTTGAGTTTGCTTTACTTTGCTCCGTGATTGGTCGAGGAAACTTCCGCCATCCTGTCAACCAGTCAGATGTAAATCTAAAACCAGTTGTGTCTTTGCTTGTTTTCAACCTGAGTTTTTACTGGCCCCTTGTACCATTTCCCTTTCCTCTGATGGGTGGTTGTGATTCATTTGGTTTTGGTTCTAAGACAATTAAGAGAAAAGCAAAATGCTTTGGTAGTTTGATTGTGTGGTATGATTGTTAAAGTGAAGTCATGGCTAAGAACATCATGGCAAAACTGACCAATCCAGCTTCACGAGCCAAACTCGGAACTAGAACGTCAGACCAACTGATTCTACTCACTGACAACTTGACAACTTCCGCTTTAGCTAACGACATATCGTTATTGCAGTAGTACTGTTCTTCTTCCTCCTAGGAAGTATACTTTTTGGTTGCATAAACAAAACCTTTTTTACTGACAGCTCGTTTATGTCTGTTTGCGGGATTTGATCCGAGTTATTTCGTAACCTTTTTGTTTTAAAATAATTTTAATTCCTTTTTTAGATCCACAGACAGTCAATTAAAGCTCTGGAATATCAGCAAGCCGCATTGTCTTCGAACCTTTAAAGGCCATATTAATGAAAAGAACTTCGTTGGGCTGGCTTCCAATGGAGACTACATTGCCTGCGGTAAACTGACCAGTGTATCTTCTTTAAAATAACGATAATTTGTAATTGTTTCCGCCTGTTAGCTAAAACATGTCAGAACAGCTGTAGTTGTAAATGGTTGGAGAGAGACCACTTAATTAGGGCGGAAAACAGAAAATATTCCTTAGCGGACCGTCAATTTTCTACGGTTTCCCCTTTGTACTCTGTTGGCGACGTTTTTATGGCGGTTTCGGTGAGCGACATCCCAAAACTTAATTAACCTTGGACTTTTTCCTTTTCCTCACAGGGAGTGAAAACAATTCACTTTACTTGTACTACAAAGGACTCTCCAAACAGCTGCTAACATTCAAGTTTGATACTGTAAGGAGTGTTTTGGTGAGTCGCAATCCGCAAATAGATACTAACTTAAATTTGGGTGGATCGCGGGCGAGGCAGTAGCTTGTGACTCGCGTTTGGCGCCCTCCTTGAACTTGCCTTGCGCCTTTCTCTTCTGGTCTTGAAAAACGTAAAAAATGACGCTTATTCTGGGGGCTACTTGTTTCATCGCCTGAGTTGATAACGTAAACTAGTAACTGTAAAGGGTTTTTAGAGCTGACGTTTCGAACGTTGGCACTTTGTCATTCTCTCTGACGAAACAACACTCGAAACAGCTTAAGAAAGCCTTAATGGTGGCCAATTTACTTTATCAACTCAGTTAATAAAACCAAATTATCTTGATATACTCTCCCACCAACGCAGCACCACAGCTTCTTTAGAAACTTACTTCCTTTATTCTGATTGGTCTAGAAAACGCGTGCCATCCTTCTAGCCAATCTTATGCGCATCACGATTTTCTAAAACGCATCACGATTTGCTAAAACGCATCACGATTTGCCAAAACGCATCACGATTTGCTCCCTGTATTTTCCCGCACTTCTGGCAGTTAAATGTTGTGGATCTGACAACCCATTGGTTCCCTCGTCACATTTTGTGCTGATTTGCCAGTTTGTTTGTACTAGACTGAAAATCGCTTCAAGGGTATTGGTTGAATCTAGGTCATCTGCACTGGGTGAGAAAGCAGCTTACGAATCAAACCTAAGCTATTGCGCAACTACCCCTCCCCTAGTTGGGTTAGGGGAGGGGTAGGTGCGCAGTTGCTCAGATACTGACATTGATCCGACATTATCCTTGACGCGCATGGTCTATGTAACAACCACTGTTCAGTTGATCAATGCTACATCTGCTTAGGTATTTCGTTGCTTTACTGTTTTGTAGGAGAAAGATAAGAAAGAAGACGATGCGAATGAATTTGTGAGCGCGGTTTGCTGGAGAACCGTAAGTGAATCTTTGTCTTAAGACAATGACCTAGAGAGTACTACCGGTAGGTTATTTCAGCATCAAAAATACTTAAAATATAAGGTACTTCAAAGCGTAAAGGCAAAGGGGTAGAAATTTAACCCACAAGAAGTTAGCGAAAAAGTTTTTATTCCACTAGGGCAGATTGAAGTAGTTGACTTTCTAAGAACAAGAATTCAAGTGAGCAGTGAACCATTTGTAAAGATTACTGAAATTTTTTGGAGAGCACGGTCAATCTGGCGAATAAGCAGCAACATTACTGATGTAGTTTTTCAAGAGACCGAATTTCCGGTCACGCAGCTCCGGCAAGCTCGCGTGTGGATGACAAGTGACCCGCGGCCTCGATCTGAGGGTACTTCTAAACCTAGAAACGAGGCTGGCGGGGCACTTGCCCAGCCAATCGTATTTTTAATCGTACGAGGTGCACTTTAATATGCCTTTTTGTCGCTTTCTTAACAGGGATCCAATGTAGTTGTAGCCGCAAATAGTCAAGGAACAATTAAGGTACGGTGGTACGAGCCGTGATCTATGACGCTTTTCTTTTTGCTATATTACCTCTTCCAGCCCGTTTCTTCTTTTTTCTTGGCTGTCCTCCGCTTTTGAACCTTGATGTGATAAGTAATTATCCGGCTTAGAAATGCTCAACATGTTCCTATAAATTCAATATTTAGGGAGCATCTAAGCGACGAGTATCTAAACCCTCATCACCTGTTATTTGTTAAATGTATCGATCTTGTGGGGAGAAGTTCCATTTTAATAACTTCTAGATAATGGATGGTTAAAAATCGCTCAAACAACCAAACGCAGAGTTTATTCTCGTTCCTAGGTTGCTGTAATTGGTTACGTACCTCAAGAAAAATTCAGAGTTATTTTTAAAGGCTCATTTGCAGCGTTGCTTTTTTTTTTTTTTATTTTTTACTTTTTTTTTATTTTTTGCAGGTTCTTGAACTGGTTTGAGTTGGACTTCATAGAAGTTGTAGCCCTGTATATATTTTGCTTAGTCAGAAGCTCAGTTGTGCTGAAGGCTTATGTTACGTCGTAGTTGAAGTGTGGAATATATGTACAAAGTATAGACAGCATAGTTTACAAACTATTCAGCTCGCTACAAAGCTATTTACGTCATAATAAAAAATATCTGCATGCTAAAAAAAATTCGAGGAACAAAAACAATCAAAATTATTTTGCCTTACGAAACGACTCGGTGACTTTGATGTATTTTAGTCGACAGTCGCAAAATGCCTTTGTTGTATCATACTCAAATACGGCGTTTAATTTTCTTCCCTCAACCCTTTAAACCCTAAGAGAGACCAGTATCTAATTTCCCCTTACAGTAATACTGCTAAATCATTCATTAAGATCAAAAGAATTATGGAAATGATCGCCAACCGTAGAAGCTTTGCTTGTTAAACAAATTCTCCGTGTCAATACCTAAGGAAATGTATAGAGAAGAGACGAGTATTGAGAATATCGATACTGATGTTGTTAAAGATTTAAGAGTGAAAGAATATGGCGGTATATTATTGCAAGAAAAATATTGAATTGTACCATTGTATTTAGGTTATCCATCGTATCCTGACGTAACGAAGAAAACGTCTCTCTATGTTACAGTCTTGTTCTTTAGGACAGTGTCGTTTGATGGTCGTTTAAGCGAAGAGATAAAAATGAAATAAACATAAAGCTTTGCAGTTGGACAAGATGAAATTGACGTTTTCATGGCGCAAAAGTGTCTGAAAGTTTTTCCTTTTGAATTATCTGTATGGTGTATCCAATCTTATGAGAGTTTCAATTTCTCACAATCACATTCACTCCAATCCCTCCATTCAATCTTAATTCAGGATTCCGAGTGTCTGGGACTCCCTCAACCGCTTGTAAACAGAGTTTTCCCTACTATTGTTTGACGGAAGAGGGAAAATCCCGCAGAAGTCAAATCTAGGGCGATGTTTCAAGCTATCACACACTCTTGACTCCAGACTTTCTGGTGTTGATTGTTGCAAGCCCATCGACAACTGTGAGGGCCATGTGGTGTTGAAAGCCATGGGAATGTGCTGCTAGCAGCAGAGTCAGCTTCAATTGTGACCTTAGTTACCAGATAATTTTGAAAAATATATTTCCTCAAGCGAATCATACCCTGTGCTTCTGCAGTCTTAACTGACCAAAAGGTCAGTACACTTGGTCTTCTGGAGGACAACACGTCACAAGTAACCGAACGTACCATAATTTTCTGGGTCTCAATCCACCTTTTTTACGCCTCGCTAAGAGGGGTGGGAGTGAGAGGAAGGAACCTGAAGTGGTGGGCTAACGGTGATGCGCCGCTGTGAGGTTCTTGACCACTAGATTGACTATCACGGGATTGCATTTTTACTATTTACCAGTATGGGGTTGCAAAGTTTCAGGATATTAGTGGTAAAAAAGTTAAGGAAGGTAAGGATTTAGAATCGAAGATTTACAGCTAAGAAGTTGCTACTAAGAGTGACCAACTTGGGATTGTAATAATTACCCCCCCGTTTTCTACACTTTAACCTCTATGCAATCCATAAGGCAATGCAAAGTTTCCAAAAACAGGAAACTGCTATCATACATTACTACTGTTGTGTAAACTCATAAAAGAAGACAAATGTACATGTAGTTATTTTTTATTAATGAAAAAATTTTCTAGCTCTCTTGAAATTCAAATTGAGAGGGTAAAAGGATAAATAAAAGGAATTGTTTGTAGTCTGATGCCCTCCAAGAACCCAAACTATCGAGAGTTTTACAATGGATGAAAAGAGCGAGAGAATAATCAACTGATTTACCAACAAGCTGTACACACTATATTATACTTTCCTTTCTGTTTCATGTCCATTAGCAGCACAGACATTTCATTGATCAAAGTGATTAACAACATAACCACCAAGCAATGTTCACCAATTTTTCAAAGTGCTTTTTAGAATTGTAAAAAGAGTGTGCCCTGATTGTATAAGGGTACAAATTGTTTAAGTCTCTTTTTCTACCATAAGCCAAGTTAAAGCTCATCTTTATCGTGCTCCTCTTCAGGCTTCTCCTCAGGTGGAGGAGCTCCCTCCCCACCTGGGCCTTGTCCTTGGTACAACTTACTAACAAGAGGTTGAACAATGTCTTCAAGCTCTTTCTTTTGCTTTTTGTAATCTTCTGCCTCAGCATCAGCATTCTTATCAAGCCAGGAAATCTTGTCCTCTACAGCTTTGTTGATTGTTTCTTTGTCTTCTTCAGAAAGTTTTCCACCAAGCTTTTCTTTATCACCAACCTGGTTCTTCAATGAGTATGTGTAGCTCTCCAACTCATTCCGTGCTTCCACACGTTCCTTAACTTTCTTGTCATCGTCAGCAAACTTCTCTGCATCATTTACCATACGCTCAATATCTTCTGGAGACAGCCTGTTCTGGTCATTGGTGATTGTGATCTTCTCCTTGTTTCCAGTGCCCTTGTCCTCTGCTGACACTCTCAAGATACCATTGACATCAATTTCAAAGGTGACCTCAATCTGCGGTACACCACGAGGAGCAGGAGGAATTCCAGTCAGGTCAAATTTGCCAAGAAGATGGTTGTCTTTGGTCATGGGTCGCTCACCTTCATAAACCTGGATAGTAACTGTGTTCTGGTTGTCTGCAGCTGTGGAGAATACCTGTGCCTTCTTTGTTGGAATGACGGAGTTTCTGTTAATGAGCTTGGTCATAACTCCACCCACAGTCTCGATACCCAAAGTAAGGGGATTAACATCAAGAAGCACTACTTCTCCAGTATCTTCTTCTCCACCCAATACTCCGGCCTGAACAGCTGCTCCATAAGCTACAGCCTCGTCAGGGTTGATGCCACGGCTTGGCTCTTTACCATCAAAGAACTCCTTGACAAGCTGTTGGATTTTTGGAATACGGGTGGAGCCACCAACAAGAACAATTTCATGAATGTCTTTCTTCTGCAGGTCAGCATCTTCCAGAACCTTCCTCACTGGCTTCAGTGTGGATTTGAAAGCATCCTGCAAATATTAAGTGACATTACTATTAGTTACAATAACTAAAGCAACCAATTGAAAGAGAAAATGAGTAAACATGCTTAACAGTGCCAGAAAATGTTTACATAAAATGTCAGAATCTTCACCAAGTATCTAACAACAGACTTACTTCTTTCAAAAGGAAGGGCCCATCAAAAATGAAGGTGAACAAAATATCTTTCCACTTACATTATTTTCCTGCTCAAAGCGGGCTCTTGTCAAAGTCTCTGAGAAGTCCTCTCCATCAAAGAATGATTCAATTTCAATTCTAGCCTGGTGCTGTGTACTAAGGGCACGTTTAGCTTTCTCAACTTCACGACGCAGTTTCTGAACAGCTCTGTTGTCCTTGCGAATGTCCTTGCCCTTCTTCTTCTTGTACATCTTGATGAAGTAGTCCATGATTTTCTGATCAAAGTCTTCACCACCTACCAAGATATAGATAAAGGATAAAAGTTAGAGAGGAGGAGTATTATAACAAATCAAATTCTACGAATTGAAAAGTAACATTAAATATCAAGACTTTTGACTTGCATTTTATTTTTGGCTGTTATTTGACCTTGTTAACAATTCAATACGATCTCTTTCAGGAACTTTCCTTGATTGAAGTATTACCAGGGAAAGTTAACCATTCACCACAATCTTCATATCAAAGCAACTTACCAAGATGAGTGTCACCATTGGTGGCTACCACCTCAAAAACTCCATTGTCAATAGTCAGAAGAGACACATCAAAGGTTCCACCTCCTAGATCAAACACTAAGATGTTCTTTTCTCCCTCCTTTTTGTCAAGACCATAAGCAATGGCAGCAGCTGTTGGCTCATTGATGATTCTCATCACATTAAGGCCAGCAATGGTTCCAGCATCCTTGGTAGCCTGACGCTGAGCATCATTGAAGTAGGCAGGGACAGTAACCACAGCATGTGTAACTTTCTTTGACAAGTAGGCTTCTGCAATTTCCTACAAGGTCAATAAAAGAAAAATGATTCAGTTACATCAGGGTGAAAGAAGGAGTATGCCAACCAAATTTTGGAAACCTGGATTTTGTTACAATGCCTGTTTAAGATCCAGACAACCCTAGTTCTCCTTCCTCTCTCTCCCATAAGGTTCTTGTAAAGTTAGTTTAGAGGATTTGGTATTGGATCAACAAATAATCCCTTGACTGATATTTTCCTTTCTTGTCATCACTTGTATGCTTGATATTACACCAATATTGTAAGGAGAAATTCTGTCTTGGTCACTCATAGGAGTTAAAGGGTTAAAAAACCAATTATGGCTGGTGGGTCAGTTGTTGATGAATAATAGGATGAGGCTTTCCAAGAGATAAAACATAAACCACTAAATAATGTACTATTTTTAGCTGGAAGTGAATCTGATGCAAGTCAATCTATCTCATGCTCAACTTATTTTGCCTTTGAACAACGCAGGGCAACACTCTGTCATGAAATGATGAGGGAGCCCCAGAACCATGGGTATCACTTTACCTGTTTTCAAAGTTAGTTGAAATTATGTGACACATATCAGGAAACTCATATGTATTGACCCTTTAAACCCAAAGAGTGACTAGCATGCAATTCCTTGTCACAGTAATACTGCCAAGTCATTCACTGAGAGCACTAGAATAAAGGAAATGATCACCAACCCAATATGTTTTGATTATTTGACAAATTCTCCTCATCTGTACCCAAGGATATGTATGGAGGAGATTTAGGAGAATATGGATAGTGATATTAGATTGTTAAGGGTTCATTTGAGTACCAGTAAAGCTACAGTGAAGACATTGGATACATGTGATAAAATAACCATCAATTTGAAAACCTAACTGAATAATTAAGTTAATGTTTATAAATAAATTTCCCTGAACCTGTGAAGTCATTATTTAAGATCGCAGCACCGGTAACCTTAAAAGGAATAAGCACCTTCAAGGGTCTAATGCTCGGTTTCAAATCTTTCTACAACATTTTTTAATTTTTTCCCCTTAAACCATCAGTTGATCTTACCTTCATTTTCGTTAAAACCATAGCACTGATTTCCTCAGCTGCAAATGTTTTCTGTTCTCCCTTCACCGAAATCTGAATGTGTGGCTTCTTGTTCTTTTCGATAACTTTGAATGGGAAGAACTTGATGTCGCCTTGAACAGCTTTATCATCCCATGTCCTACCGATCAACCGTTTCGCGTCAAAAACAGTATTCTCTGGATTTGTAGTCAGCTGATTTTTCGCTCCATCACCAATGAGACGCTCGTTCTCTGGAGTGAAGGCCACGTAAGATGGGGTAATTCGGTTTCCCTGTTCGTTTGCGATGATCTCAACTCTGCCATTTTTAAATACACCAACACTGCAACATTGAAAGAGATATAATTTAGGACTGAGTATAGTGAAAATCAAAGATTACGCAATTTACACGATCGGTTTAAAGCTACGAGTTCACTGTAACATTCAGGACATGGAAAAGAAGTTCAACCGAAGAATCAACCTTTAGCGACTTTTCCGAGACTGAACGCTTCGGAAAGATAACAAGACAACGATAGAATACTAGAGAAAAAAAATTCACTTCAAGATTCCCACATCAGTTACTTTACTCACCAAGAATAAGTTGTTCCAAGATCGATACCAATTACAGTTCCTACATCCTTTTTGCCGTCTTTTTCTTCCTTTTTTGCTTCTTCTGCGTTCACTAAAATTAAACTGCTAGCTAAGGCTAACGCACAGAATGTGCAAATTGATCTCATCTTTGGAATCTAGTTGAATTTTTCTTCCGACAACTCTGATACAGTTCAAACTCTCAGAAAACTACACAAAATTATTGACAAGGAAGACTCGAGCCGGTTGATATTTCGCTCGCCATCACGCGTGGCCCTCACTGATTGGCCAAGCTGCTTCCTGGTGGCCTATTCTGATTGGTCCACGCCATAGAGTTTCGTCATTTTGCTCGGATGAAGTTCGGTTGTCGTGTCAAAGCAAGAGTTTGCCACAGCTTACTTCCGGTTTCCCTGAACCCCCAAAATGACTCACAAGTCACGTTCAAACAGAAAAAGGAATTGCATGTTCATCAAATAGCTTTATTTTGTCTCACTTCAAACGAAACATGCGTGATTTTCAAATAAAATTAAATTTCTCGGGGCGAATGTGATAGAATTCTTTTTCAAGGAAGATAAGGAAATATAAACAGTAAGATCATTTTTCTACGATGAATCTTCGGCTTTTTCCGGTAAAATTCGTTGTTCACCGGGACGATCATAAGTGATGTGTGGAAACGAGGTTTAACGTACAAAGCGCGGCCCACGAGGTTGTAAGGTACGACTTGAGGGTGAATGGCAACAAGTAGATGTAGTGAACTGCTTTAAAATATTGCTTACTTTTGTGCGTGATATCTGTTCAAGACCTCAACTGCTCGTTAGAAAAGCGCAGACTCATACTACGTGCTGTTTCGCCCCATTTTTAAATGGGATGAAACTTAAAAGTCTCAAGGTCGTTTCCAAGATGGCGCTCCAGCTCCCCTATTGATAACCGACGCAAGGTACTCTATATTGAAGTCGTTATAAGTTGATTGATGTAATTGTTGCTAAAGGTGTATAAACTTTTTTATTTGAACTGTCTTTTGTAGTTACCCAAATTGAAAAAAGTTTCATTAATGAGCACATTAGACCAAGAGCACGTGGTATTACGATTGATTAAATGAAATGCAGAGTGCGAAGTTGACCATTTCGTTTATCTTAAACAGTCGTTTTCAAAGGTAAATGAACTCTCTCAAGTATTGTGCGCCATAATCATGAAACTCTTTCCCATTGAGAACTAAGAACCAAATGGAAAGATCATTGAGATTGTGGTGATGACTGTGATAGAATGAAAATAATCACGGCATCAAGCGAGAACAGTGAGTTGACTGTGTACCAGTGATGAACTTGTTAAATGGGAATCTCTCTTAGTGCGTCAGTGAAGAGAATCATGACTGTGTTAACTGAAGGTACACTTTTTCTGTCCTTCTAAAAACAGCCCCACTTTAGTTTTTTTACTCTTTGAAATTTCAAATACATCCTTTATCCCATTAGGTGAAAACTCCAGACAACCCTTCCTAAAAGGTAAGTTCTAATGCTTTGATTAAGTGAGCTATTTTTAGTAGCAAAGACAGATAGTTTGTGCATTACGTGTCATATCACTGTTGCAAGACTATGACATGGTGAAGCATATCGATTATGTGAGTTTCAGTTTTTGCAGACAATCTATCTCATGCAAACAGTCCTTGATATGCAAAAATCAGTTCCAGCAGTATAAAATTCAGCAAAATAACACACTCCAAAATTGAACCATCCCTAATCAAATGAAAAAATTGGGCATGTGAGTCAGGTGTCAGTAAGTGTTATTATATTTAGATTTGCTGAAAGTATCCTTATACTTCTATAAAGCTGGCTACTGTATGATTTGACAAGTCAGGAAGTTGGAATATATTAGGATTCCTTCCCTCTTAATCTTCTTCTGCTTGAAGAGAAAACGGAAAAAGAGTTCCTAGCAAAAATTTCAGTTATCTTGAACTTCAGTTACCTAGTATCTCAGATATCAGCAAAAATTCAATGTAGCAATATAAGTCCCCTAGGTCCTCTATTGCTTGGGGTGAAAGGGGGGGGGGGTCTGAGGATTTTGGTTGTCAGAACAGAATTTACCTGATCCTCCCATAGGATGCTGTACTCTGTTGATGAGAACTGACCCCCTGGGTTGCCCTTGAGAGCCATATTATCCCTTCTCAAAATGTCTGTCGACCCCCACCCCCTTCATGCCAGGGGATAAACAGCAACTGGTCCCTAATCTGTTTTTCATGCTACTTAGTAATGAGAATACCCCAGTATCTGTTATGTGCACCTGATGAAATAACCTATGACACAGAAGGCTTTGAAATCGGAAGCTTTGTGATGTGTGATCGATAGGCCTGATGCATGATAACTTTGTTAAATATTTTTCATGGTTACAAAAGCGATTGAAAAAAAATTGTGCTGATTCGGTCGTTTCTCTATTTTACAGAGAAAGGTCAAAGTGAATAACGGTTAGCTTCAATAGAGAAAGGCAAACCGGTAAGAAGTTTTCAAATATTGGATTCAAATTAGTTTTTGGGGTGGAGTTAAAATTACCATTGTTGTGTTTTTCAAGTGTGTGTGATTCATTGGTATTGACAGTGTTTCTTGTGCCAGTGATGATTTCAATATTTGCTAGTTGATCATTGAGATGTGATGACAACTTTTTCCACCAAGATCGCTGAGGCACTCTTACACAGTCTGAAAGTGCAAGAGCTGACTTAACCTTTTTCAACCCTTCAACTCTCAGAAGTGATTAACATGGAACTTCTCCCTATAATATCCATACCTTAGGTAATGAGAATACTCAGACTTATCAGGTGGAAGTTTTCATCTTGATCTAACACTACATTCTCATTACTAATTTACAAGGAAATTTGTAGAAGCTAGAGGGGAGAATTAACAATTAGATCTTGGGAGCCAAAGGGTTAAGACTGCTCAGGTCACAGAGAATTTTAAATTAAATTATTTCTGTTTAGGGCAGGTGTTCATACACTTATATTAAGTATGTTTCAATGTCCAAGGTCAGTGGTGCATTTCATGAGCCAATGCAGGATGTGTCCAACAAGATTTGAGGGTAGATTTTACTGGGTGTGCTGTCATCGTTGTTTTCATCATCACATCATGCTAGAAAAGCTGCCCTGGATTCTTACTCTCAATTTGCCTTGAACAAAGTGAGTGTCATCAATTATCAGACTCAGTAGACTATTGATAGAAGTAGATACGTTAATTTTTGTCATTCATGATTGCACATGCTCTACTACATGTAGATAATCAAGTATTCCCCTTCTCATTCTTTAAGAGAGCTCTGATTGATGACTGGTGTGTGATGACTGCATAGTTCAACTGAACATTTTTGTAATGAGGTTGACATTAGCTCTATCTGACACTGTGTCTGTGATAACAAGGGGTTAGAATCATGTAGTTAACATGCCTAACCCTGTTCTCGAATGTGGTACATGCACATCCTAATTAAATCTGCTATTCTTTTTGTTTCAGGGAGCTTTTGAATGGAGAAACTTGCAAAGCTTGGTGTGGTTTTCTTTTGGGGTAGGTGGTAATTTGATCCAAAAACATGCAAATTACATCTAAATGATATTTAATCTTTTAATCTCTTAAGAGTGATGGCTGCTAATTTCTCCTTTATATTAAATGCAAAGGTCATGTTAATAAAGGAAATGATCACAACTTTAAGAAGCTCCTGATTGTCAGACAAATTCTCCTAGTTAGTACTATTAGAAATGTGTAGTGAACAGTGGGGAAAATATAAATACTAATGTTAGGGCGTAAAGGGTTAAATCTCTGTAAATAAGGCTCTCTGTTTTCAACAAAGTGGTTTAGTTATTTGTGATCTTAGATTTTCTCTTAACTTGCTCCTGTAAGAGGCTGGCCTTCCTCATATTCAAAGAAGTCTACAAGTTTTTGCCTTACCTAATGTGGTTTGTTATGAGTTCATAGTTCATCTGATTGCTGATGATGATAATTTTCCCCCCCTATATGAAACCGCCCCAGAGGTCTGATTGAAAAAACTTCCAAGTTTCTTTCTGGTGTCTAACAAACAACTGTCTGTTGCATTCTAATTGAAGCTAAATTTTTTTTGTTTCAGGGAGTGAATGGCATAGGAAATTTGCACAGCTTTTATTTTTGTGGTTCCTATTTGTGTTTGTAATGAGGTGAGGTAAAGTCAAATTATAAAATAATAATACAGTTGTCTCTGCTACAAGTCATCAGTGATCACAGATTTTCTTGCCTTGCTCCTCTGAGAGGCTAGCCTTGAATGTTTTTAAGGAAGTTTTCAAGCTGTTGCATTACTTGGTGTGGTTCGTGATGAGTTCATAGTTCAGCTGATTGATGGTGACGATAAACTTCGCCCCTATCTGAAACCACCAAAAAGGTTTAACTGAAAAAGTTGAAATTCCTTTTCTTTGTCTAACAATGGGGTACTTATCTTAGGTACACTGCCAAGACCTAACCAAGCAAGCTTTTTGAGGTGAGGTAAGCATGATCAACATGTGACAACAACTTGTATTGTTGAGTCTGGTGCAAATGATGACCTCCAGAATAGGGACATAATAAAGTCACTCTGTGACTTGATTAGAAAATCTGGCTTTGCCTGATGCACCTCTTGTATTTGGTATCCTGTTTTCAAATTGTTTGGTACGTGTCATGATCTTTAAGCCTTCAACCCCTGAGAATGGCTGGCTTTTAACTTCTCGTTACAGCATCACCTTGGAATCCAACATTAACCTTTTATACCCTAACATCAGTATTCATATTCTCCATACAGTTATATGTACATTTACCAAGGTGCTGACAAGGAGGATTTGTCTAACAATCAAGAGTTTCTGCAGTTGGTGATCATTTCCTCTATTCTCTTGACACTGATGTGTGATTCAGTAGTGATATTGTACGGAGAAATTAGATGCCAGTCACTCCTAGGGGTTAAAGGGTTAAGGTCCTAAGAATAAAGGAAATGATAGCCAGCTAAAGGAGCTCTTGATTGTCAAACAAATTCTCCCAATCAGCACCTCAGGAAATGTTGGGAAAACAGTAAAGGGTTAAACTTAAAAACTCCTCTCTGTGGTTTTAATTGTACACAAGGTTTTTAAATTTGTATTTTTTTAACCCCTTGTTCTTCCTTTTTGTCCTGGATGGTTAGAATACCAGTGGTTTAAAGCAGGCAGGTTAAAGACCGGAAGTTGAGCCACTGTCATGGTAAGTGAAATTTTATTGCTAATTGATTACCCTTTTCATTCCTGTTATATCTGAAAAGTTTCACCAATTAATTATTGAGTGCTTTGATTTTTGAAAAAAAAAACTGATGGTAGTGACTCTACAGGTCCTGTGATTTAATTGAAATTTTTAACAAGATGTATTTATTTTGATGTTTGTCAATCATGGATGTGGCCAATGATGCATAAAGTATTTGCTACTCTTGAATATAGCTGATGATAAATATCACCAAAATTTCTGAGGCCACTTTGTAGAGACTGTTTCAGGGATGTTCTATAAGGCACAAAGGTTAAAATGCACCAATTACTGTAGTTGAAACTTTGACAACAACAGATTAGAGTTCTTGGGTTCAATGATAGATCCTTCTCTGGTTACAATCTTGAAAATTGGTATGTTTGAATATTATAAGAGATCAAACATGATTTGTGTGTGATGTGGGAAGTCAATGATCAACTAGGGCATGCTACAGATATGCAGGATGGCAAAGTGGTTGATTGCTGAACTAGCATTCTGGTGACCCAGAGAAGCCTTAATGGAGAATTGGTCAATCGTGATTACTTGTTGATTTTTAATTCTATTTCCATGTGATAGCGAGGTATTTTCTCATTATGTCTCATCAAATAACTGATGTTGTATATGTAGGTTGTCATTTGGGATCAAGTGTTATGCTCCTTTAGTTTACAAGGTAATTATTGTATTTGCATTGTGTTTGCATATCCTGAAGACTAAAAGTTTGTTGAAAACCAGAGCAGTTGCCTCTCTTAGAGTTCAAGTTCTATTGTAAATGGACTTTGGTCAAAAAGAAAAATAAACTTGATTCATAAACTTGATACTGACATGGAAATCATGCGAACAGATGGACATTAATTTTCCCAGAATACATGTAGCAAGGTGAGAAATATATTGGGTAAATAATCATTTTTGCAGTATTTTCAGCCAACCCCTGATTGTTTAAAATGGAAAACAGCAAAAAAATGTCTTGGAAAAGGTTGTGGATCATGATGGTATTATCCTTAGTTTGGAAGATCATGCCCAGTGTTCAAACCCCCTGTTGAAAGCCAGTGATGACTTAATATATTCAGTCATAATCCACTGATGTTTCCTTCTGAAGACTACATTAATACTGAGGCTTTCTTCTATTAAAATCACACTTCCTAACTCTGTTAACATTGCCAAAATGGGATTCACTGCACTTGTGATCTTTTTATCTTCTTTCCCAGGTTGTCTTTGAACAAGAGCTGCATAACTGGAATGTCTTGCAACCATGACTTGGGACCTGATTTCTTCTTTCACTGTATACTGATTAATTCACAGTGATAATAAAATTTCCAAACAGTATTTTGGTAGTTCACTTGCTTGTGTACCATTGACAGTAATATATAGTCCTGCCTGTATAACAACTGTTCTGATTTGCCGATATCCCAACTTTCACATCTGTTATCAAAAGATGCAGAAAGCAAGAGGTTCCCACTTACTTGGGTCAGGGGAGATACAGCCCATGCAGGCACTGATTCCAGAACCTGAATTATTTTCTTTGGTATCAACATTTACCACTTGACATTGTAAGCAGAATAAAGATGTACTTATCACGCCTTTTATAGCACAGATATAAAAATAATCTACTGTTTTAAAAATAATTTATTGTAAATATCTACACATACTTAATAGCATAAATAATGTTGCATCAAGAAAAATACATCTACTTTCATAAAAAAGATATCACTTAAGAGTTACATTTCATTTTGTAATAATTTATCACCAGATACAGCATCACCATTTATAACAGGAAAAAAAATTTTGATCATGACACTTGACACACAAAAGCTATAAATGGAAGCATTTAAACACTACATGTAACCAAAGTCTGATCAAAGATTCTTCACCAAAAGCCCTTGAAATATTCAAAATTGAAATGTTGGCTTTTGGGTTGTTAAATAGTATTACGTAGTAAATAAAGTCCTAATTATAAATATTCAGTTAAAACCTACTCATTTCCTGAAAATATTTACAAGGAACATGACCCACTCATTGTTGTGGTGATTAATAACAATTATGTGTATGTAACTGTTTCTTCTTACTGATGTCCTTGTTTTCACAAAGCTCCTCTTTAAAAAAATTTAATGGCACATGCTAGGTTTTAAATGGTTTTGAACCATGATTGTGTATGCTCAGTGAAAATATTTCCTTTCTGGTATATTTTGGTTTTGAACCATTAGTATATGCACTGTGACGAACTTCCTTTCTGGAATTTTATGGTTCTTTCCTTTCTGCTTTGTTTAGCCATTTGTATCTTTTTTGTTTGTTTGTTTGTTTTTCCTCTTTCTTGGGGGTTATTATTATCATCAGTATTATTATTATTGTTATTATTATTAACTTAAAAACTTGTATACAGAAGATGGTGATAGGAGAGGATTAATGTCAAGAATGTCATTAAAAGATTAAGAGAAAGCTAGCATAATATCATGCAGAGCAAAGTTTGCTGTGTAAAACATGGCATTGCCATTTGCAAGTCTGAATATGACTCTTTGAATAAGAAACTGGGAAGATAATAATTTTTTAAAGTTACCTGTAACTTAACTTTGTGTTTTTAAAGTGGCTTTCAGCATACCATATAAGAAAAATTGTCCCTTCATTTACCCTGGCTTACAACATATTAAGATTCTAGAAGCTTTCAGTCTATAGTTAGTTCCATGTTCTATGTGCCCTGTTTTGTGCAGAGGTTAATGGGAATTTTTTTCTTTGGAGGGGGGCTCTCTGTGGACCCAACAGCCGCAGGTTACAGCCAGTTACTTATTTCTTGTTTCAAGTGTGCTAAATAATTTCCCTCATTGTATAGTACGTAACTCCCATGGCCAGTTGCAAATATTGGTGGCCACATCATACCTTTTGCAAGAAACAAGAGCTTCTACAAAGCTTCTCATTGAGGGTACTATTGGAAAGGTGCTCAATTTATCAATAAGACTAACTGTAGGACTTCTTCCTGCTTTGTAGTCAGTTTCTATTAAGTCCAAGTCTTCTTCTGAAACATTCAAGATTTGCCCAACAGAACGCCAATTTTTCTTTGTCTGTTTCTCCAGTGGATCCAGCATCCTTTGCACATAGTGTGAGAGTATTTGATTTTCATGGTTACGCAGCTGTGGCATTTCGGAAACTTTGCAATCTAAGAGTTCAATGGATAAAAGTATTAATAAAGTAACGAACTGGGGTTAGAGTTTTAACATGAAATATGCTTTTTGTAGTACTATTGGTGGAAAAAGACATGTTTTAATTGTTAAGGATTCCCAAGGATTAAAAAATTGCTTTATTTTTAAGAGTGCAATGTTTGGCAGTGGACGGAAACTTAGTTTCTGTCCAGGTACAACAGACTAATTCAGGGGACGAGTTTACTTCCTTTTTAACACCCATTCATGAGGCTACAATTGTGCATTTTATTGCACTAAGCTAAGAGGAGGGTACATGTAAGAGATGAAATGCAACATCTGAATGACTAATGGCACATTCATCACATGATCTTAGTTGCATAACAAGAATAAACAAGTAATCAACTTGGTCTACCAAATGGCAGGATGTATGCCCCACCTGCTGGAATCAGATCAGTTTTTGGCTGGTCTTGTCTAAGCTCACTAGTGAGAGGCTCCTCATGGTCACCATCTGCTAGCACATCTGAGAGAAAAAAATTAAGAAGCACTTTGGTTATCCTAGAAAGCAACTTGCTGATTACCATACAATCGGGAAAGTCTTAACCCTCCAACTCCCTGAATTAATTAACATGCAACTTCTTCCTGTAATATCCAAACACTATACCGCAAATAGTCTATGAGAATAATCAAATTTATCAGGTAGAGCTTATCTTGATCCCACCCCAAATTCTTATAACAAAACTAAAGGGAAATGTGTGACAGCTAGTGAGGAGAATGAAGAGTTAGAACTGGAGAGTTAAAGGGTGAACTCTTTGATTCCCAAGATCTGATTGTTAATTCTCCCCTCTTGAAGAAAAGTCTGGTCAAGAGATGTACATCTTGAAGTAGATTCATTTTTGTCCAAAAGCTTGTCAGTAGAATGTGTGATGCATAAATATTATGTTAGTTGTCACTACCTTCTATGGTTTCTGTTGAGTCATCTCTATCCTTGGCACCTTGCATACCTTTCAGGGGTATAGACTCATTGGAATTTGTAACTGCAACATAGCATTGCTGTGTTATTGTATGCAACAATGAAAGTTACTATTAAGTGTCTATTAATCAACAAAGTACACCTTGATGAAGCCAAAAATGAATTTAATAACATTAATGGGGAGTCAAACCATGGACCCAGCCAAAAACACTTACCAGATAAAAAAAATGAGTTAAAAAAATAAACTAACACAAACACTGAAAAGAGTTATAGGGAGGAGACAGACTAATGTGCTTGAGCATCAAGATTTGAGTTTACTAGGGAAAGAGATGGTTGTGGGCCCTCAGATCAAATTGAAAATGAAATAATTTTATTACCCTTAGGAAAATTGACATATGATGGTCATAGTATAATTGCTACTTGCTTAGTTTCAATTTGTGTCCATCCGTGTGAAACTCCACTTAAACGTGACTATGGTAAGAATTTATTAAATTACTCAGTTTTCTCAAAGGGTCTACACATTCCATAACTGTTACAAAATATACGCGGGAAATCAAAGAAAGAAAAAGTATAACTCTTTCTTACCGTCTGGATGTGAGCATTTCCAGCAGAAGTAAATGATAACACCCAAAAGTAAAACTAGAGTGGCAGCCCCAATAGCTATCAAGATTTTAGATGCAGATGTCAGTGTTTCCCCTTCTTCTTTTGTTGACCTCTTGTCTGTAAATGTCTTTGTTGTTGCTAGAAGAAAATTGTTTTTTTCAGATTTGAATACAGGTTTCGTGATGTCTTTACTCGACACCCTGTCGGTTAAATTCAAGTCAGAATCAAAGGCAGGGAGATCAGCACTAGGAGTAGGTGTGGTTACGTCAGTAGTAGTTGAATTAGCATTTTCCACAGTCTCCCTTATTTTCTTGCAGAGTCTATTCTCGTGGGACTCAAGGCACTGCCAGTCCCTGCTCATTCCAATGTCTTTACAGCTTTTCAGCCTGGAAGACTCAGGGACATCGGAGCAGCAAAAGTAGCATTCCTGGCAGAAACCATTGTCGTCCAAAAATGTCTTTCAGGGCACCTGTTTCCACATTTGCGGTTTTGATAAGGGGTACACTGCTGGATAATGTTCCTTAATCCACAGTCATGACAGGGTCTGCAGCTTTCAATGCTATGTGTGTCAGAGAAGGTCGCATTCTCTCTGCAAGGTTCACATTTGATGATGGTGTAGTTAGGTATCTTTGAACCGCATAATGGTGTGAGTCCTGTTCCTTCTGGACACTTGGGACATGCTTTGCACTCCACTTGAGCATCGGGAAAGTATCGTAAGAAATTTCGCGACAGGGAACATCTTGCCGGCCTTCCAGACGCAAATCGTGACCACAATAATAAGAACAGGATCAGCTAAGATAAAAATATCAGTATTTATTAATTGCAGTAATCGAGAACTTGTACAAATTAGTAAAATTATGTTCGAAAATAGGAAAAGAGGGAACGTACGCTATAAATGTTGGTTAGAGCTAAATTACGCATTTATTCGCGACATAACTTCAAGAGTAGTATTTTTAAACTACAATAAACATTCGCAACAACCAAACAACTTATTCAATTCAATTCAATTCAATTCAATTTTATTTGTTAGCAATACAATATTATCACAGACCTAGGTGACCCGCAATTAGCAAGCTATTCTAGGCGGGCCACCCTTCTAAAACAAGTGCTGTCTCTGCTAAGGATCACATACCGATACAATTAAACAAAGATAATCATTAATAAAAATACAATTGTTAAATAAAATAAAATAAAATTAAGTCCGTTGAATAATTAAATAATCAATTGCAAAGTTATCAAGATATATAATACAATTGAAACAAGACTTAAACGAAGAGTTACTTTATCAAGAGATATTTACAAATTTCAGAGCAGCGTATATCAACATTCATCTCCTCAATTTCCAAAAGTTTTAACAGGCGATTTTTAAGTTCACGCTTAAACGGGGTTCTGTTTTTAATACGAAGTTCTTTTGGGATGCTATTCCACAATCTTACACCTATTCTAGCAAAAGAAAATAAAAGTTGGTTAGTTCTAGACGCTTTAACGTACAGATTAGCCGTTGCTGAGAATCTTGTGAAATGGTGATGAACCTGCTCGGAGTGGATAAAGAGCATAGAAATATTAGACGGGGCACGGTGATTATCAATGTCATGCATCAAAGAGGAAACCAAATGAGAATAGAGCATAGTTATTGGTAAGATTCTGGAGTTAACAAATAGCGGGGCACTATGAGATTTGCTATCCGCAAAATACATTAGTCGTAGAGCACGTTTTTGTAAAATGAGAACCTTATTTAAATGAGTGTTAGCAGCTTGTCCCCAGGCAATAAGACCATAAGAGATATAGGGTTCAATTAAGGAGCGGTAGATGTTAAGAAGTGTGGCAAATGGGACAAGATGTCTTAACCTGGCAATTATACCAATTCCTTTACTAACTTTAGATGAGATATAATCAATATGATACTTCCAAGAGAGGTTATTATTTATTAGGTTATTACTTATTCAATATTACAGCGGAGATAACGGAGCAGTGAACAACTCAGCAACACAGCAATGGGAAATTATTTCCATATTTATTAACTTGTTTGATTGCTTTTAGTCTGTGCCGCTTGTTTTCGAGAATTCTGCTGAAAATTCTAGTCGAAGGCCAGCTTTCTGCATAATTCTCGCTACGCAAGATGCCCAATTATCTTCAAAATTATGCGGCATAATTTACCCCTGCCTCACCAACAAGTAACATTCTCTTAACATTCATAAAACCAAACAAGTTATTCAATTTTTCAGAGGAGATAATCGAACAGTGAGCAACTTCGCAACACAGCAGTGAGAAATTATTTCCATATTTGTTAACTTGTTTGATTGTTTTGAGTCTATGTCGGTGGCTCTGAGAATTCTGCTGATAGGGCAGTTCTCTGCTGGCATAACTTTCGCTATGCAAAATGCCTTATTATCGTCAAAACTGTGCAGAATAATTTTCCCATGCCTTACCAACAAGTACCTGCAAACGTTCCCTCACCTTAATAGCGCCTTTCATGCCGTACTTGTCTTCATAAGTGAATTCGTGACGTTTGTTAGCCTGTGTCAAGAAATACACATACAAACTTAATTGAGTCTTGCCGAAAGTATAACAGAACATAGTTAAACAACTGTAGATAAAGCAGGTGTTAATGTAAGGGTTAAATCACTTTTGCTCTCTTACCGTTTTGTACTTCAATTTTGTACTCTCGATGCTGAAAATTAGGGAGTTTTCGATCTCGAATGCATAAATTCCCATCGATGTAGAAAGAACGCTTTTGTTTAGCTGTAATAAACAGTCCTAATGAAATACCAGAACTAATGTAGGCTTACGTAAGACGAGAAAGTTTGTTTTAAATTGATTACGTATTAATCCATGGACAAAGAGCTTCCCTGTAACACTGCCATCAGAGGAGGTCATGCAGATAAAACTTCTTCAGTGGGCTCGCTTCGAACTAACCTTGAAGCTTAATATGGATGAAACTTATTGTGAAATAGCCGACTATTTGTAGTGGGCGTTGAGTCACCGACTCATGGGAAAGAACAATTTATGGAGTGCATGCATGACTGGGTTACGTATATGGGGGGTTTCCCCGTCCCTTTAGCGCTAGCTGCTATGTGACTACGTGCTTACGGTAAAACTTCATGCGAGTTGCGGTCAACCTCCTACGTAGTCTATTCTTTGGGAGTGTAAAGGTCGCATGGGTAAAAAAAGAAAAGAAAATCGTGTGTACGAAATGAATAATTCACACAGTTGTTATTGCGGCCTTTTTTGAAAGATGTCGAACGGTTCTGGTCATTTTATGGAGCTTGAGGTTCGCAATCCAAAATAGTTAAGATACGGCGGCTATTGCAATCTCCAAGCTTTTCTTCATCTGTAAGCCATAATAACGGAAGGGTGATTATGCAAATCGATAGAACAAGTACATTTTTTCCGCCTTCCAAACGTATTTGCTGAAGATTCTCTTTTCTTGTACTGATCCGTCCTACGCGCCCTTGATGAAGGAATATTTCGCACGTGCCAACTAAGAGTTACCAACCTTTCAAACACCATCTGCCGAGGTTTTGTATTGAAAGTGAATGGTGATATTAGATAGTTTGAAAAATCCAGAAAGAGCAATTTATTATATGGCAAGGTAATCATGAGATAAATCAGAGTGTTCTGATTCGTTCTTTCACACTTAGTGGGTATTTTGCCTTACGGTCATAAGTTGTGTATCTTTGTTGGCGAAAGCCGGCAAGCTAAAAATAATTAAATTTGGTCCGAGTAACAAATATAATAATAATAATAATAATTTGATCAGCAGGGATTTGCTAAAGCAAAGGCATAGAAAAAACCAGGAAAGATTTATTACTCGACGTTTCGGGGTCATCGTGACTCCATTATCAAGAGACTAGTTTAAAAAACATGCAAATAAGGAAAGGTACAAGAATAGCATAAATTAGAATGAACGGCTCAAACAAACACCTTGGCGCGGATGGAATCCGTTTGCACGTTCAGTGTTGGCTTACGCATGCGAATATACAACATTTCATTAACAAGGCAATCAAATTTGCCGTTACATTTCACGATGACCTTGAATTGCTCGATCAAGCGTTCAGGCATTTCACTATTGTGCTGGAGGTGGTAGTGTTTGTAGATAGAAGATGATTTCCTTGTGTGCCCTTCTACGCGCTCGTGTAAGTGACCACGAGTATAGCCCACATACCCTGCATCACACAGGTTACATTTAAATTCATAAACGATACATTGTTGGTTAACAATAGGGGGCTTAATTTCGTGTTGCTTAAGCTGTTGATCGAGCTTAGGGCTAACGAACACTGGTTGGACAGTCACGCTTAACTTCGAGCTTAGACTGTTCAGTTGTTGTTTAACATGATTAGCTGACGACTGGTCCTTGAAGGGCAACACTAATCTCACAATCTCCGATGGTACGTCTGGTGATGGACAGGGATCTGCAGATGAAATCCTTCTCTCAACGAACCGCTTAATTGTAGTTTCAACCAGTGGCTTTGGGTATTTCAAGTTATGAAAAACCCTTCTAAGGCGGTCACATTCCTCGGAGAAGAAAGACCAGTTAGAAGATAATCGATAAGCGCGATCCACCATGGTGTTAACTAGGCTGCGCTTGTACTTAATGTCAACATGACTCTGGAACTTCGAGCTTTGCTGATGAAGTTCGAGGCTTCGAGATCAAGAACGGCGAAATTTTAGTTTCCTATGACGTCACCTCATTGTTTACAAATGTACCATTGGAGGAAACAATACAGATCTTAGCTGAAAAAGCCTTTGCCCAGGATTGGTTCAACGAGACGCACAGCTTGAACATCTCTAAAGCGGACCTAATCGACCTCCTCCGAGCAGCTACGAAAAACCAGCTTTTCCAGTTTGACGGTGCTTTATATGAGCAGACAGATGGAGTCGCTATGGGTTCTCCCCTTGGACCGTTGCTGGCTAACGTCTTCATGTGCTCGATTGAGGAAAACCTCGAACAACACGGTCAATTTCCGCGCTATTACCGGAGGTACGTCGATGACACCCTGACCGTAATGCCTGATAGGGTGACCGCTGGCCAGTTTCTAGACACCCTTAACTCTACCCATCCCTCCCTCCAGTTTACCATGGAAGTCGAACGGGAAGGATCCCTTCCCTTTCTAGGAACTGAACTGCTTAACCGTGCACCAAAGATTGAGAGCAAGGTCTACATCAAAAGAACCAACACGGGTCTCCTTCTGCATTTCCAGAGTCATGTTGACATTAAGTACAAGCGCAGCCTAGTTAACACCATGGTGGATCGCGCTTATCGATTATCTTCTAACTGGTCTTTCTTCTCCGAGGAATGTGACCGCCTTAGAAGGGTTTTTCATAACTTGAAATACCCAAAGCCACTGGTTGAAACTACAATTAAGCGGTTCGTTGAGAGAAGGATTTCATCTGCAGATCCCTGTCCATCACCAGACGTACCATCGGAGATTGTGAGATTAGTGTTGCCCTTCAAGGACCAGTCGTCAGCTAATCATGTTAAACAACAACTGAACAGTCTAAGCTCGAAGTTAAGCGTGACTGTCCAACCAGTGTTCGTTAGCCCTAAGCTCGATCAACAGCTTAAGCAACACGAAATTAAGCCCCTATTGTTAACCAACAATGTATCGTTTATGAATTTAAATGTAACCTGTGTGATGCAGGGTATGTGGGCTATACTCGTGGTCACTTACACGAGCGCGTAGAAGGGCACACAAGGAAATCATCTTCTATCTACAAACACTACCACCTCCAGCACAATAGTGAAATGCCTGAACGCTTGATCGAGCAATTCAAGGTCATCGTGAAATGTAACGGCAAATTTGATTGCCTTGTTAATGAAATGTTGTATATTCGCATGCGTAAGCCAACACTGAACGTGCAAACGGATTCCATCCGCGCCAAGGTGTTTGTTTGAGCCGTTCATTCTAATTTATGCTATTCTTGTACCTTTCCTTATTTGCATGTTTTTTAAACTAGTCTCTTGATAATGGAGTCACGATGACCCCGAAACGTCGAGTAATAAATCTTTCCTGGTTTTTTCTAATAATAATAATACACTTTATTTAAAGAGGGTGAAATTGAATAGTAAAAATGACCAATATAATTGTGGCCCTCTATTTAAACGATAGCCTCTATTTGGAGCGAAAATATGCACCGATTTTTGTCCACGAACATTGTTTGCTCCAAGATGCGAACAGTTCTCCTAGAGCGAAGGTCGAGGAAAACTGTGAAATTTGAGGAACAGATAATGTCCAAGGACAAATCTGCGAGGATACGTTCGTGCAAAATAAAGTCTATGAACAGAAATAAGATACTACATGTATGAAGTGTACGTAAAAATTAAGACCTGATGAAAAATTGAATGTTGAACTATAAAATGTCTCTCTGATATCTTAATATCAAGCTATAAAAATTTTTTAAATTATGACGAAAATAGAATGCTAGGTATGCAAGGTGTACTTTTATGATAAATTGAATATCAAACTATAAAGTGTCTCTAATGTCTGAATATCAAACTATAAAAACTTGTATTAAATTATAACGAAGATAGGATACTAGGTATACGAGTTGTACAGATAATTAGAAAGCTTAACACCAGACGCCTAATTATCAGTTGGAAATTACTCAGGAACAACTGTGCTCACTCGTAAGCTATCGAGCCGAACCTCGACGAGAAATTCCATATCTACGCGCGCCATGTGTTATTTTCTAGAAAGGCAATTACAAATCCCCGTAGAAATAAACAATTAGATACAATTAAATATTTAAATGATAAAAAAATATTTAAACATAAATTACCTTAGTAGTTTGTCACAATGGACGAAAATATATTACATATTACTGAACGCATTAATTGTTGAGCACATTGTTAATTATTCATCTGCCAAGCTGACCATCGAAAAAAGTGAAGTTGTATTAACCAGAAGGGTGGATTTCTTTTATCAAAAACCATTACAGGCAATGGGTAACAAAGCAGACCTAAAAGAGTAGAACATCTAATTCTAGGTTTCTCGAAGCTACCTCACAAATATGCAAAGAGGATAACATTATAGAAGTGCGTACTAATAATACGGCCTGGGGCTAGTATTCCGATGTCACGGACCGCACCAGGGTAGCATTGATTGTGTGACATTCAAAAGAACGGCTGACTGAGGAGAAAAATATCCTCAGGATGGTTGCTGGACCGTATCTGGTCGTTCATGGTTCTCCAGTTCAGTACAGTTACGTTTCTCCCATTGCCATTCACAAATATATTTGGCCACGTCACTTCTTTCACAACTGATCAGAGCTTCGACAAATTTTTTCATTGAAGGCTCTGGTGTAAAAGTCTTCAATGTTTCTATAAGACTCTCCGTAGGACTGCCGTTTGACTTATATTGAAGTTCCAGTAAGTTTAAGTCTCTTTCGGTAACTTTTAAATGACGTCCCACTTCTCGCCAACCTTTCTTTCCCGGTAGATCTAGATCAAGCATGTCTTGAATGTTGTGCAACATCAGTTCATTTTCATTATTACATAGCGTAAACATTTCTGAGACATCACAATCTGAAAAACATTAAAGTTGTAACAAAAGAATAAAGCAAATTTTAGCTAGGAAAATGCGTGATCTTCAACGGGTTTCCTTCATTCTAAGAATAACCCTCGCCACCACACAATCACTGTAAATAATATCATTAACATTGTGAATCTCGAAAAGATAAACGTGGCGTGGCGTGGCGTCGATAAAAAAGTCTCCCTCGGTAACGTTTAAATGATGTCCCACTTGTCGCCAATTTTTCTTTAGCGGTGGATTTGGATCAAGCATGACTTCAATTTTGTGCAGCATTAGATCATTTCTATTACGAAGCGTAAACATTTCGGAGACATCACAATCTGAAAAACAGAGTTAAGTTTAAAAAGAGAACTGCTACTTGTAACATTAAAGTTGCAACAAGACAATAAGCAAATTTTAGCTAGGAAAATGCGTGATCTGCTACTGGTTTCCTTCACTCTGAGAGTAACTCTCGCCACCACACAATCACTGTACATAATATCATTAACATTGCTAACTGTGTTATCTCGAAAGGATAAACGAGGCGTCGATAAAACTTTCAGTAGCCTGTGCTGAAAGTTTTTGCATTTAAAAGACTACAGAGGGAGAGTAATTCGGCTTATTTATTTTCTTTTTCGGAGAATTCAGGATTAACTCTTTAATCCCTGAGAGTGACTAGCATCACCTAATTTCTCATTTCAATATCACCCCTGAATCAAACATTAAGGTCGTGAATATAAAGGAAATGATAATGAACTGAAGAGCTTCTTGATTGTTAAAGAACCTTCCTTGCCAGCACATTAGGAAATGTATAGAGAACAGTATGGAGAATATGCATACTGATGTTAGAGTGTGAAAGGATTAATGTGAAGAAGGAAGGACTGAATCCTCACCTGTTGGAATGAGTTCAATATTTGGGCTATCACTCATGGGTTGTCTAAGGAGAAACTGCTCCTGCTCATCTACTCGATTATCTGCGAGAAAAGAATTATCAATTATTCAAAAGTCTAGAAAATAACCGACCCTTATCTTTTTTTAGCTTAGCCCACAAACACTGGTTTTAAAAAGGATACGGCCATGATGAGGTCAACCCCCGACCTGACTAAGCCAAGTTTAAAACTTCGGCTGGTCACATACAGGATGACTTCAGAGCATGCATAATATCGAAAACATCCTTGTTAAAATAAATTCAGCGCGCAGTGCTTACTTTCTTCTCAATGTGAGATCAAGCAATGCCAAGCGAATTAGGCTATAGTATTTTCTCAGCCTTTCATAGTAAATTGAAAACCGAAATTAAGGAAAACCATAAGGAAAGATAACTTCAGACAACCTTCCGTGTTCTATACCACCGGCCTGTTTGAAAATAAGAGCAAAGACTAAAAAAGGTTACAAAAACCTAGAAAAATTATGTAAAATTTTCATCGAACTACCTAACATAGATTTCAATACAAAAATTGCCTAAATCTTCAAAACGCCTGTTTAAAACGATCCTGTAGTCTAATCTTAAAACAAAATCTCTCGAACAACGTGTATCCCTACTTTCCAAAAATTTTGTTCAGATCACTTTGATTTTCCTAAATATACAAAATCAGTTACGTTATTTACAAGACCGACTCAACAACTCTCAACTGTCACTGCTCTTAAAGTCCATGCGTGGTACATGATGTTAAAGAAACACCCAACAGCCTCCTGGGTATTGACAATTCTTACCCTCCTCTGAAAATCTGTCCTGTTTTTTCTTAAACCAGCTGATAATGTCATTGGCAACATCGTTGCGTTCCAGCTCCTGGAGGACGTCTACGAACTCTCTTAGAGTTGCACATTTGGAACTACACAACTTTTCAATCAAAAGCCTTATTGCACTGACTCCTGGCTTCCTGTTCTCTGTCTCCAACACCTGAATGGCTTGATTGGTAATTCCATACCCGTAAGCGACATGTTTCCAGCTCTTTTGAATTGGCGAGGAATCAGAATCTAGTCGCAGAATAGAATCCTCGACATCATATGGAAAGTCGGCGAGCTTGAAGTCTTATATAACGAAAGAACAATCAAATTGGCAAAGTCAAAAGGAAAAAAAAGTAACCATTATAATCATCATTATCATCATCACAATAATGCTCATTTGAGGACACCCCCGGTGGAAGCTGCCCGCTAACGCCTAGAAGACGAGTAGGTACTGCAGGCGGGAACAGGGAGTAATGCAGGCTTCTTAAGTTGCTAATAACATTGATCTTACACTCAAAGGACGGGAATTCATTACTTGTCACTCATTTACATACCTTCGGGGATTTCATTCGCAAGAACACAATCTTTGTCGTCTCCTTGACCATCATAGCGAACTGTAATTGAATGAATTTAATTATGGTGAATTCACTGGCAAGTAAGCTTTTCCAGTTGCAAGGGATATTGCATAAATGGAAAGGTATGATGATAGGGGAGAGAGTGTATGTGGTTTATCCAGTTCGGCCATCATTAAAACTAACGGTTAATATTAGGCATTTTTTTTAAGCCTTATTAAAAAAAAAAAAAAATTGCATTGAATATTAGAGAAGAGGCAACAGCGCTCATGAGGAACAGCGTCAAATGAAGGGCTTTGTTCAGAGAACTATTTCATGGGTGTTTAACTATTACCATTTTGGTCAAAAAGAGACCAAAAGAATTCAAGAAGGCAATTTCACAATGAAACAAAATGCGGTTTTAGCTTCCATTTAGCTGAGTGCTGATGAAAATCAAATAAACTCAGTCAATAGGCACGTTAAAACTTTGAACCACTCAGAGAGTGACTAGCATCTAATTTCTCCTTTTAATATCACCCCTGAATCAAACATTTAGGTCACGAGAATAAAGAAAATGATAATCAACTGAAGAATCTCATGATTGTTTAACAAACGTCCTTGTCAGCACATTAGGAAATGTATAGAGAACAGTATGGAGAATATGCATACTGATGTTAGAGTGTGAAAGGATTCATGTGAAAAAGGAAGGACTGACTCCTCACCTGTTGGAATTAGTTCAATATTTGGCCTGTTATTCATGGGTTGTCTAACGGGAGAGTGCTCCTGCTCATCTACTCCATTATCTGTGAAAAAAAATGATCTAGTATTCAAAAGTCCAGATAATAACTGACCCTTATCTCTTTTTAACTTACCCCACAAATACTGGTTTTAAGGAGGATACGGCCATAATGAGGTCAACCATGAGTAGGTGCCTGAAAAAGCTAATAATTGTGGGAAATCCTAGCGAAGATTGTGACGCTTTTTACATCTTCCAGTATGTGATAAATCAAGAAAGTGCACTTCTCTGATGCACAGAATAACTTAAGCTGAATTTTTTTATGGTACAGATGCCACTCCAGCACTATGTAAGCTATCATCACTGTCAACTAAGTACCATTCCGAAGGTTGTGAAAGTAAATCTGACCAGCCTGACTAGAAAAATGATGTAAAATTTTCACCGAGCTTCCTAATAGAAATTTCAATACAAAAATTGCCAATATCTTTGCACCTGATTAAAAAGATCCTGTGATCTAATATTAAAAGAACATCTCTCAAACAACATGTATCCCTACTTTCCAAAAATATGTTTAGGCTACTTTGATTTTTCTAAATACACAAAATCAGTTTCACGTTATTTACAAGACCGACTTAATAACTATCAACTTTCACTGTTCTTAAAGTCCATGCGTGGTACATGATATTAATGAAACACTCAACAACCTCTTGGGTATTGTCAATTCTTACCCTCCTCTAAACATCTGTCCTGTTTTTTCCTAAACCAGTAAATAATGTCGTTGGCAACATCGTTGCGTTCCAGCTCCTGGAGGACGTCTACGAACTCTTTTAGAGTAGCACATTTGAAACTGCACAACTTTCCAATCAAAAGCCTTATTGCGCTGACTCCTGACTTCTTGCTCTCTATCTCCACAAGTTGAATGTCTTGTTTGGAAATTTCAAACCTGTGAGCGACATGTTTCCAGTTCTTTTGAAATGGCGAGGAATCAATATCTAGTTGCAGAATAAAATCCTTGATAGCATATGGGAAGTCGGCGAGCTTGAAGTCTTATATAACGAAAGAGCAATTAAATAGACAAAGTTAAAAAGAAAAAAAAAGTAGTCGCAATAATCATCATTATCATCATCACAATAATGTTCATTTTAGGAAGCTGCTGGTTAACGCCTAGAAGAGGAGTGGGTACTGCAGGCGGGAACAGTGTGTGATGAAGGCTTCTTACTTGCTAATAACATTAATCTTACACTCAAAGGACGGAGATTCATTAATTGTCACTCATTTACATACCTTTGGGGATTTCATTCGTTAGAAAACAATCTTTGTCGTCTCCTTGGCCATCATAGCGAACTGTAATTGAATGAATTTAATTATGGTGAATTCACTGGCAAGTAAGCTTTTCCAGTTGCAAGGGATATTGCATAAATGGAAAGGTATGATGATAGGGGAGAGAGTGTATGTGGTTTATCCAGTTCGGCCATCATTAAAACTAACGGTTAATATTAGGCATTTTGTTTAAGCCTTGTTAAAAAATATAATAATTGCATTGAATATTAGAGAAGAGGCAACAGCGCTCATGAGGAACAGCGCCAAATGAAGGGCTTTGTTCAGAGAACTATTTCACGGGTGTATACCTGTTACCATTTTGGTCAAACAGAGACCAAAAGAATTCAAGAAGGCAATTTCACAAGGAAACAATAGTGCGGTTTTAGCTTCCATTTAGCTGAGTGCTGATGAAAATCAAAAAAAACTCAGTCAATAGGCACGTTAAAACTTTGAACCACTCAGAGAGTGACTAGCATTTAATTTCTCTTTTTAATATCACCCCTGAATCAAACATTAAGGTCGTGAGAATAAAGGAAATGATAATCAACTGAAGAATCTCATGATTGTTTAACAAACGTCCTTGTCAGCACATTAGGAAATGTATAGAGAACAGTATGGAGAATATGCATACTGATGTTAAGGTGTATAGGATTCATGTCATCAATCTTAACTAAGTACCATGCTAAAGGTTGTGAAGTAAATCTTAGCAACCATACCGTGAACAGTTTCACCATTGTCCTCTCTTTCCTCGCATCTCATCTCATGTAGTGGCAAAAGCTCAGGTGAACCTACAGCAAAGTGTGTTGACTCATCACCACAAGTGGCTTGGTTATTAATTGATAAAATTGTTATACCAATATGTTTGAGGGATTAATGGTTTGTACGACTATCCAAGATCCCCATGAAGTAAATCTGAGGAATGGTTTTGTTTTATCAATTTTAATCAGGTTCAATTATCCTTTGTTAATAATGATAGGTGTTAGTTGATTCGTGCCATCACCCTTCAAGATCTTAGCACTTCAGATTACCCTTAAAGCATCTCCCCAGATCTATAATATTATTAAGCAATGATTCTATCTGGATCTCCTTCAGCTAGGGGGGGGGAGAGAGAGAGAGAGAAAGAGAGAGAGAGAGAGAGAGAGAGAGAGAGAGAGAGAGAGAGAGAGAGAGAGCTAGAGTGATCTGGGTATTTGCTACGTGGTTAGATTCTTGTGGGTATTTTCTACGGTACAAAATACCCATTGAGGGTTTTTGCTACGGTAGGAAATACCCATGTGGGTTTTGCTACGGTAGGAAATACCCATGTGGGTATTTGATACGTTCAATGGGTTTTGCTACGGTAGCCAATACTCATCTGGGTCTTTGCTACTCCCAAGTGGGTATTTGTTACCGTAGCAAATACTCAAAATGGGTTTTGTTACCGTAGCAAATACTCAAAATAGGTATTTGACAAATTTTTTACCTATTTCAAGGTTTCATATTAAAGAAAACTATTTTTTTGGTTCTACGGTTTATTACCGAAGAAGTACATCATTAGCGGTCAGCGTTCACACACTTCAACTTTCGTTTTCGTGTTTCACGTGTTCGTCGATGACGGCAACTTTCAAACGGTAAGAAAATAAGATCAACATAGGTTTCTTGTTATATTTCGTCCCTTAAGCAAGTGGTTATCAACGAAATACGCTTTGCAAGCATCCAAGGTATAAGTGTCGATATATTTTTACAATATTTTTGAAAAAAAGCCGATAAACTTGAAGAATGATTGGCCTTCGTAATATCTTACATAATTATCGGTTTACTTATATTTAACTTCCAAATCATATAGATATGAATCGTAGAATGCATTTTTTCTGCTTTGTTCTAACAATGAAGTGGGTGAAAGCTCTTACTTAAAAAATAAAATTGCTTTTTATAAACAGAAATTCCCTTGATAGCAACAAAACATCGATCGATGTTTCAGGACTTTGGATAAGTTATTTTCGATGCTATTATTTATTGTGATCATCTCTTATCCTATTTCAATCCCTGTCAAATCATTGCAATCATCTCTTATGCTGTGTTGATCACTGTCAAATCATTTTAATCAACTGTTATGCTGTGTTGATCACTGTCAAATCATTCTAATTAACTGTTATGCTTTGTTGATCACTGTCAAATCATTCTAATAAACTGTTATGCTGTGTTGATTACTGTCAAATCATTCTAATCATCTGTTCTGCTGTGTTGATAAATTTCAAATCATTCTAATCAACTGTTATGCTTTGTTAATCACTGTCAAATCATTCTAATCATCTGTTATGCTTTGTTGAGCACTGTCAAATCATTCTAATCATCTGTTATGCCTTGTTGAGCACTGTCAAATCATTCTAATCATCTGTTATGCTGTGTTGATCACTGTCAAATCATTCTAATCATCTGTTCTGCTGTGTTGATCACTGTTAAATCATTTTAATCATATGTTATGCTGTGTTGATCACTGTTAAATCATTGCAATCATTTCTTATACTCTAGTGATCACTGTCAAATCATTCTAATCATCTGTTCTGCTGTGTTGATCACTGTTAAATCATTTTAATCATATGTTATGCTGTGTTGATCACTGTTAAATCATTGCAATCATTTCTTATACTCTAGTGATCACTGTCAAATCATTCTAATCATCTGTTCTGCTGTGTTCATCACTGTTAAATCATTTTAATCATATGTTATGCTGTGTTGATCACTGTTAAATCATTGCAATCATTTCTTATACTCTAGTGATCACTGTCAAATCATTCTAATCATCTGTTCTGCTGTGTTCATCACTGTTAAATCATTTTAATCATATGTTATGCTGTGTTAATCACTGTTAAATCATTGCAATCATTTCTTATACTCTAGTGATCACTGTCAAATCATTCTAATCATCTGTTCTGCTGTGTTCATCACTGTTAAATCATTTTAATCATATGTTATGCTGTGTTGATCACTGTTAAATCATTGTAATCATTTCTTATACTCTAGTGATCACTGTCAAATCATTCTAATCATCTGTTCTGCTGTGTTGATCACTGTTAAATCATTTTAATCATATGTTATGCTGTGTTGATCACTGTTAAATCATTGCAATCATTTCTTATACTCTAGTGATCACTGTCAAATCATTCTAATCATCTGTTCTGCTGTGTTGATCACTGTTAAATCATTTTAATCATATGTTATGCTGTGTTGATCACTGTTAAATCATTGCAATCATTTCTTATACTCTAGTGATCACTGTCAAATCATTCTAATCATCTGTTCTGCTGTGTTCATCACTGTTAAATCATTTTAATCATATGTTATGCTGTGTTGATCACTATCAAATCATTCTAATCATCTGTTATGCTGTGTTGATCACTGTCAAATCATTCTAATCATCTGTTCTGCTGTGTTGATCACTGTCAAATCATTTTAATCATATGTTATGCTGTGTTGATCACTGTTAAATCATTGCAATCATTTCTTATACTCTAGTGATCACTGTCAAATCATTCTAATCATCTGTTCTGCTGTGTTCATCACTGTTAAATCATTTTAATCATATGTTATGCTGTGTTGATCACTGTTAAATCATTGCAATCATTTCTTATACTCTAGTGATCACTGTCAAATCATTCTAATCATCTGTTCTGCTGTGTTCATCACTGTTAAATCATTTTAATCATATGTTATGCTGTGTTGATCACTGTTAAATCATTGCAATCATTTCTTATACTCTAGTGATCACTGTCAAATCATTCTAATCATCTGTTCTGCTGTGTTGATCACTGTTAAATCATTTTAATCATATGTTATGCTGTGTTGATCACTGTTAAATCATTGTAATCATTTCTTATACTCTAGTGATCACTGTCAAATCATTCTAATCATCTGTTCTGCTGTGTTGATCACTGTTAAATCATTTTAATCATATGTTATGCTGTGTTGATCACTGTTAAATCATTGCAATCATTTCTTATACTCTAGTGATCACTGTCAAATCATTCTAATCATCTGTTCTGCTGTGTTCATCACTGTTAAATCATTTTAATCATATGTTATGCTGTGTTGATCACTGTTAAATCATTGCAATCATTTCTTATACTCTAGTGATCACTGTCAAATCATTCTAATCATCTGTTCTGCTGTGTTCATCACTGTTAAATCATTTTAATCATATGTTATGCTGTGTTGATCACTGTTAAATCATTGCAATCATTTCTTATACTCTAGTGATCACTGTCAAATCATTCTAATCACCTGTTCTGCTGTGTTCATCACTGTTAAATCATTTTAATCATGTTCTGCTGTGTTGATCACTGTTAAATCATTGCAATCATGTGTTATGCTGTGTTGATCACTGTTAAATCATTTTAATCATCTGTTCTGCTGTGTTGATCACTGTTAAATCATTGCAATCATGTGTTATGCTGTGTTTATCACTGTCAAATCATTCTAATCAACTGTTATGCTTTGTTGATCACTTTCAAATCATTCTAATCATCTGTTATGCTGTGTAGATCACTGTTAAATCATCTGTTATACTCTGTTGATCACTGTCAAATCATTGTAATCATGTTATACTGTGTTTATCACTTTCAAATCATTGAAATCATCTTTTATGCTGTGTTCATCACTGTCAAATCATTTTAATTATCTTTTATGCTGTGTTGATCATTGTCAGATCATTCTACTCATCTGTTATGCTGTGCTAACCATTGTCAACTCTATCATTGAGATCAGTTTTCTATTTGTTTGTATTATAGTAACCATGGAAGGTAGTTCTGAAATAAGGAAAAAGTCTCGGGAATCTAAAGTGTGTTCGAGATGTGGGAAATCAGTTATAAATTTATCTCGTCATCAGAAGGATGTACATAAAGTGAATAAGATTTTTCGTCAGGTAGATGTATATATAAATGGAAACAAGAAAGCGCCTAATAGGAAGATAAAGTTTTGTCCGTTATCTCCATGCAAGCATTCAAAGAAAGGTGTCTTTCAACTTCATCATCATTTACAGTCAAATATCCACAAGCTTAATCCCAACTCAAACCAATACTTAGATGCGCTTAAATCTGCTCCGAGAATTGGGCTTCAAGAGCTACGAGATCACATTGCCAAGAGAAAGAAATCCAAAGCAAAGAGCGCCACAACTAAAGATGGTCCTAAAAAGAGAAAAATCGAATCAAAATCACCTGTACGTGGAAAGGCCGCAAAAAGGGTGAAATTTTACAAGGGTGACAAGGAAAATGAGTATAGTTTGGTGAATAGAATCGAAGCTGAGGAAGAAATTGAAAATGACTCGGATGATCAATTATTAGAAAATCCTGAAGGAGAAGCAACTATCAGCAGAAACGTGAGTAACCCTGGGCACCTCGCACCGACCTCCTCCAATAGTAATGCAGAGGAGCGCAAACTACATAATGAAGAAAGTTGTGAATCAAAGGTAAGAGAGACGTACAATGATGATGACAGCAAATTAGAGTATGATCAGCAAGTTGATAAAGTGGAACACAAGCTACATAATGAAGAAAGTGGAGATTCAGGCAATGATCATGACAGTAATTTGGAGTATGAAAAAGTAATGGATCAAATGGAATCAAAGGTAGGTGATACACATGATGACCATGACAGCGATTTGGAGTATGATCAACTTGTGGATAACGTGTGGAAAAGAAATGAAGAGTGCAAGAAGCGAAGCTTTAAACAGTTAGTGTCTATGATGTCCTCCCAGTGTGAAAGCGATGCCGAGCTATCTGAAGAGTTAAACAACCGCAAAAATGCTGACCAAGTAATCCAACCACCTCAACCACCAGTGACGGCTGGTAATACCAAATCTAGTGAAATAGTTATATGCGACAGTGAAGAAGAGGAAATTTTAGACCCAAACTATCACCCTTCCCTGGACTCCGAATCAGAGTGTAGCACTGGAAGCTTGTCAGATAACTGCTCGTTGCAAGAAAGGGATGACATTTTAACTGATTTCGTGGAAAACGTAGATAATCTCGATTTTCTTCGTGTGGAACCAGAATGGAAGAGCGTGGTTGATGTTGTTTTTGAAAGAAAAAGAACGCTGGTAATACTGACTCCCAAAGCAATCTTTCACAAGGTAAAGTGCCTAAGGAAGTTATGAATGATGATGAATCATCAGTATACGATAGCGATGATGATGATAATGACGACTGTCTTGAAGAGATGGAAGATGATGTCAGTTTTGAAGACAATGATAGTAGTGATGACAGCCCACTGCTTAACGAGTTTCATTCCTGGTTGATAGACGTAGACGGGGGTTATCGCTGCGCAAAAGTGGCTGGTCAGTACAAGTCACAGGTAAAACGCATCATGAAAGTTCTTTCAGAAGATTTCCCTCAAGCAGCAAATGAAATAGATCTTGTTACTGTCGAGGGGCATGACGGAGTGGTAATGTTGAGGAAGTGGTTGGGTCAACTATCTGAGGAGTATCAACCTGGAACCATTAGATCATACCTAATGAGCCTTAGGCTATTCCTTAAATTCCTTGTGCAAGAAGAGAAAGGGCAAGATAGATTAGACACACTTCATGCAAGGAGAGATCTTTTAACTTCGTGGTCATCTGCTCAAAGAAAGAAGGTGCTGAAAAGGAAATTAGAGAAACATGACATGGACTTTGCAAAACTCCTTTCTAGCGAAGATCTATATAAAGTGTCAAATGGACAACAGCGAATAAACATAATTAAAGCGCTTGGAACAGCTGCGGAGAAAAGCAAAGCTTGTGGAGAACCTGTGCTGGTCAACGATCAGACCTTTTGCGAAGTAAGGGATTGGCTGATTACAAGATTAATAATTGACAACTCCGGAAGAAGTGGTATTGCAGCAAATATAACAGTGGAGGAATTCAAAGATGCTAAACTGTACGCTGGAGAAGAAGATGGAGAGATACCGCGTATCAGTTAAGAATCACAAGACAGGAGGTGTTTATGGGGCAGCCATTGTATGGTTTCATGCTGATGTTTACAATCTGGTGAATACGTATATCTCAAGGGTGAGGCCTAAGTACGTCAAAGATGCCACAGATAACATGTTCGTTTCAACCAATGGCGTTAAACTTACTTCATCGCAAGTATCCACGTGTCTGACTCGTACATTTCAAAGGGAGGGTGTGAAGTTTCACGGTCGCATCTCCGCAACCTTGATAAGAAAATCTCTGGCATCAGGAGTGCATGTCCATTTGCCTGAAGATCAAGAACAACTGGCTGCCCTTGCACAGCACAAACCTCAAACACAAGCTCAATATTACCGCATCAATGACAAAGTTAGAGAAACAGATATTGGGCGTCGTGCTGTCAGAAAATTTATCACCATGAACTGCGCAAAGACAGAGGTAAGTACTCTTATAATGCATACCAATCGTAGTAATTTGAATAACAATTGGCATACGAATTCTGATTTCTTTTAGGTATCAATAATTCCTGTCGAGTGGACCGAGGAAGAGACCTCAAAACTTCAAGATTTATTCAAGTCTGAAATTGAGACTGGTAACATAACTGAAAACATTGTCAGAGATAAACTTGGTGCTTCCAACCTGTTGGAAACACACTCCATGAAGGCAATTGTGTTGAAAGTGAGAAGGCTTCGATCAGAATTTACCAAAAACTTAGAACCACCAACTGAAGTTGAGTCTCCTGAACAGAAGATAGAACGGTTTATGTCTTCCAGAGCTCCATCCATCGCATCTGAATCTGCAAAGCCATCATGGAGTAAGTTCACCGATGAACAAACAGACCATCTCCTATCGTTAACTCAGGATATGATTGAAAACAACGCAGTAAAAAGAGAGGTCGTTTGGGAACGGGTGATAAATGATGAGAAAGCATGGAAAACCGGGTTGGTCTTCGGAACCGATGATGAGGAGCTTCTTTTGAGGCAAAAACAACGTTTGGCGGACAAGGTACGAAAAGAAGTCAAACGTCAAAAGATGAAGAGAAAGTAGTAGTTTGATCCTGTGGTTCTTGCATTATATTTGAACATTAGTTGACATTGAACATTTCTTGTCTTTATGTATTCAGGGTTACAACATAATTGAGTCCTATATTGTTAACATGTTATTTTCTTTAACCGTTTGCCAGTCATTTTATGGTTGATCGTTTTATTTCAAGTAAGTCAATATTCCCTAAAAAGGCCGATTTACACAATGCAATTTCTTCGTGTGTTAAGGTTCGAACGACAAGTCATAGGGTCGTGTACGACCTGACGAATGACCGTTTATATGGTATGATTCGGGTCACATGCATCAAGTCATATACTACAATCGCATCGTGGAAATCGGCCTTAAGAGTCATATACTACAATCGCATCGTGGAAATCGGCCTTAAGAGTCATAGAATTTGTCTTGGTGACTGATGTGTGTAGGACATCGACTTCTATGAAAAAGATTTAACTTGTCTTGGTCTTGTTGCGAGGTGTTATAAAGTTGAATTTTTCATAAAGCAAAAGTTGTCGTTTAAAAACTTAGCTCCAAGTGATAAAGCTTATATCTGGAATTAAAAGAGTTTACTTTGAGACTCGTTGTCATGAACCTGCAATATATTGTCTTTTTAAGTGCAGTTCCAGTTGAGATTTTGTGGAAGTTTCATGACGTTTTCGAAAAGTTTAGGGTGAAGTCACTAAGCCCGTGAAATACATATTAGACTAACACACTTTATTAACCACTAATTTCGTTGTTTCCTTTAGTGTCTATTGAACTATTACATGTTAACAGTTAAATATTTTTTTATGGGTTTAACTTTACCCTAGTGCAACTTTTTTGTCGTCATAATAGAGCGATATCGCATAACCCCTTCCTAAATATTGGTGTTTTATTCTAAATGAGCCAATACAAAGATAACATTAGAATACTTAAGACTTTATCTATTGTTGTCTTTCTACGATGTCCATTAACCTTTAACTAATATCCACTTGCTTTTAAAAATATTTATATCGCTCTGTAAACCTCACAAACCGGTGAAATTGCAGCTAAAATCGCCATTGTCATAGAGCTTTAAGGATGATCAACACGCACGCCCAAACTTGTATGCGAGCTGTCAATAGGATATGTATATGTAATCGCATGGGTCCTCAGGCAATTAAGGATTAATTTCACGCGTATTTCCAAACTTTGAAAACACCAGTGAAATTAATCCTTAATTGCCCGAGGGCACTTGCGATTTCTTGTTTATCACATAAAGGGCAAAATTATCGCGGGAATCCATTCACGCGCGACGTTATTCTTTTAGGAAGCCCGTTCAATGCCGCGACATTGCTCATTTTTTCCTCTTGTCTTTGCCCATTGTTGGAAAATGTTAGTCCAGTAGTCCGTACTTTTTGTGTTTTTGTGCTCACTTGTGTTTAGTAGTTCCTCAATAAACTCTTCAACAAAATGGGAAGCCATTGTTGCAGAAAATTTTAATCGGCAACAAATCTAAGCAATAACTTCATTACAAAGCAACTTTAAACCAATCAAGATCAAGTAATCATGCCCTTTTGATTACCAAAAGTACCCTCGTGATTAAGAAAAAATGCCCTCTGTCTCAGCCAATCAGCACTTAGTAATTTTGCCCTGTATGTGATAAGCTACATAAAATGGGAATTTGCTAGGTGTAGAGTTTTGCTCATAAATCCAATTAACAGCAATAAAATCTATCGAAAAACCAGTGGCCATGTTTGTAAAGTAAAGCGTCATGTCTCTTCTGAAAATTAGCCGTTTGCGCATTTAGTAAGAGTATCTAAATTTTGTGCTAGCAAACTTAAGGTGGAATCCCTGTACATGAAAGGGTATCATTTACTGTTCCCCTCTTTTGTTGGGAATCTACTTCCCTGAAAAAAATAAGCTGGAAAAATGTATTTTTACGCGTTAAGAACTGTGCTTAATTTAAGTAGATCTACTGAGTACAAAGACTGTCTCAGGCCTGCTAGTATGGACACCTTAACCCAAGACGTTTTACTGCGTCTTTAATCATGTTTAAGGTATACAAGCGACAGGAAGCTTCGTATATTTCTAATTTTTTTACACCTAGAGTCTGTCATTACAATTTGCGCTCCTCTGCTCTTAATGTTTCCCAGCCTGTAAATACCTCTAGCCATATTCAGAGCTCTTTTCATACACTATCTCTCATTCTTGGAACCAGTTACCATCTTCAATTAAATCAGCAACCACTTTATCGGAATTTAAGTCTGGCCTATCTCGCATAACTACGCTTGGCTGTAAGCCTATAAGTGTATTAGTATACAATTGTAGAGGTAGGGTTATGAATTGGTAATTAGGCTTGGGGTTAGGGCTATAATGTTAGGTGATTAGGGCTGGTAGGGTTTCAGGGAAGTTCAGCATCGGGAGCTAAGTGATATTTTTGCGTTTTTATCATCTTTGTCGAGCGTTTTTAACATGAGCCATTAGGCTCGGGGATTGGGTAACCACCCCTACGTTGCCGACGTGAAAAAAATTGTTGTTGTCCACGTGATCAGTAAAAATGGTCTAAAAAGCTTTATTTTGTTAATTCAATTAGTACACTAGGCAGGGAAATCATCTTAACTGTCAATATTGCTCCGCTTCTCTTTTTAACTTGAATGTCGCTCAGTCACGATATTTCTGCTTTAATTCAAATAATAACACTTTTAAAAATGTTTAAATTATTTTCCATGTTCCCTTTCACAAGGCGTCTTTTAGCTATGCAAACAAATTACCAGAATTCCGCTTTATTCAAGTTTTATAAGTAAAAATGTCCCATCAATTTGGCAAAGTGGGTATTTGCTACTTACAAGTGGGTATTTGCTACATAAAATGGGTATTTGCTACATGCAGAATTTCGCTCGTAAAATTGATAAAAAATGAATGGAATAGCTTGTAAACACGTTGTAAATTCTTAAAAATAATGCGTCATCCATGCATGCGAAAATCATGACATTAGAATGAACTAAAAGTGAAATAATGCGAAAAACGCATTTTTAGAAATGTTTGGGTTCCAAAGTTTCAAGTCTTGTACACCTACATACCCAGAAGCGCACTTTTTGCTAAAAATGGTCTTCACAGAAAAAATTTTAAAACGACAGAACTCAGAAGGCTTTTACGGCAAAGAAGAACATTTAGAAGACCTTTGATATCCGGAAAAGTTTTTGAATTTTAAAAAAATGATTGATGTACCTAGGTTTGGGTATTTGCTACCTTCTGACTTTTCAGTGACGAAATGCGAACAACAATTAAACTTTAATAACGTTGGTTTTGCATAGAAGAGAGCTAAAAAGCAATATTCTTTTGGCTAGAATTGTTAAATACTTTAAAAAAAAAACTTTTACTTAATTTAAATAGGCATAGAGAAAACGCGTAGCAAACACTCACTCATGAATCTAAAGAGAGAGAGAGAGAGAGAGAGAGAGAGATATGCTTGTTGATACCCCGCCTCAATTTTGGTCGATTTCCCGCCATATGGCTGATGTCCCGCCCCGTGGTTGATAACGTGACCCGATTTTGGTTGATGTCCCGCCGTTGGTTGATGTCCCGCCTTATTTAGTGGTTGATCACACGCCGGGTGGTTGATGCCATGCCGGGTGGTTGATGTCACGCCCTGTTAATGTCCCCTTAATTGTTGACGGAGTAAAACGATGGAGGATTTCACAGTTCTAACGGTAATTATTGTTTTAGTCTCTAGGTGTGTATATCAATAAACGTACTATAGCATTTTGCATTTAGTTTATTTTTTAAACCTTGCTTTTATTTTTTTTTTTCGTCCCTAAACTTTTCACTACGTGCTCTCATCGATTACTTTAGAATGACATCAAATGGCTTAATAGCTTGTTTGTGATCATTTAACAGTATCACATGAACAATTTGGAGTGTTCCTTCGATCTTAATATTTCCGTCGCTGGCCATCTGAGATTAATATTTTCATTCTAACATCATGATGTGGGAATTTGTTTTCAAGTTTTTGGAAGTTGGTTCTCTGCTTTCCCTGATGCAAGAGTATTATCCCGAAAGTAAGGATAAAAGTCTAGTGTTAATTATTGACTGGAACCAAAGACCATCCTTTTCTCGGGTTAATAATTTAATGACCGTACACTGTTCATATGTGGTTACTTAAACGACCGTACACTGTTCATATGTGGCTACTTAAACGACCGTACACTGTTCATATGTGGCTACTTAAGGTGGCTGAACACAGTTTCTGATACCTGCACCGCATTTGCCATTTTTATAAACCGCTTATCTCTGGGTCGCCAAATTGTGCCAGACATCAATTAAAAGGATAGACTATCGTATTTTGATAGTTAGGGTGGCGTGTGTGTCGTTTCCATGGTAACATGACTGTATAAAAATATGCCTTTAAAGTCAGGTTTTGTTCATTCGCAGTAACACGCGCCTTTCCAAGAAGGTCGAGATGGTCAAAAAATTATCCATTCGCAATGTTTTGTTCAACTGCGAATGCTCTGCATTCAATTGGGTTCCCGCCATGACGAAAATCCTGCAAAATTGTTGTAAGAAGGAAAAGACACATATGGAACAGGTATAGAACAAAAAAAAACTATCGATTTATCGGCGCCATGCTTGTTTTTGCAATCTTTGTGTGCGCGCTGCCTCGCATCAGCACGAGCGCGCGCAAAAAAACTGTGTTCAGCCACCCTATGACCGTACACTGTTCATAAGCAGACTTTTCCTCTGTGGTAACGTCTCTATTTTCTCTCCATTTTTTTGAAAACGTATTTCACTTTGTTATAACAACGCTCAAAGTCCCCGTCGTTTCTGTTAAGGATATCCTTCAGGCCGATGTTAGAATTAAATAGAGTCCTCAACTCTTCTTTGTTTGGCCGCACAGAATATTTGGAAAAGAAGTTTTCAACGTATTTTTCATCCGGCTGATTCCATTTCGATTTCGATCGTGAGCAAGTAACAGGCCCAGATTCTGTTTCAGTAATGGCGTTAACCCATGCTTGTGTTCTACTCGAAGATGGTTGAGGGTCACTTGACGGTAACACCATGTTCTGCTTTTCTTTGCGTCTCAGGTAGCACACTTTGTCGTAGATTTTTTTGACCATCTTAGAATCATTTATGAATTCCCGTAAATCCATGTGCTCCTCGATGGTTGTTCTCACAATGTCAAACGTGAGTGGTGCTTGAGAAACTATATGGCTGGAAAACAGCATTTCGATGACTTCTACTTGACTATCGGTGAGTCCTCCTTCGTTTATTCTTGGCTCCAATTCTTCATTGTTACACCTAGCTGAAATTGCCGACTCGGTTTCTTGTTTCGATCTTGTTGTCACTGACGTGTCCAAATTGAGGGTCTTCTTCAGTAGTTGGTGACCTCTGGAAGACTTCTTGGTAATGTGACCAATGTTGTAATAGTGATCCGCCGTTCCCTCTTTATGAGCCATGTGTTCGTTGATAGCCCTCTTTTCGACGACGTTCATTTCAAACGTTGCTGAAGAGGCTATCTTCCTTACATCAGTGCTCGACAATTTAATTTGCTTCGCCTTAAACCAAAAGGCGGTTATCCTCTTTCCGATGTTGCTATGATCAAAGGCTTTTCCCTCCAACGTCACAAACAGGGCTTCCTCGTTATCTTCGGCACAGACACCTCGCACATAGTCAATGTACGTGCACACATTGGCATGAGTTTCTGCATCCATGCAAATCCTAGCTGGGCCGTCGATGGATCGCTTGTGCTTAGGACAGTACATGGTGTAGCTGCCGTCATCACCCTGCTCAGCCTCTCTGAAGTTGGATACTGTGGCTGTTTCCAAGGGACCTGGCCGTTGCGCATTTTCTAGTTCAAGTCGAACAATGAGAAAATCTCGCACGCTGATAAATTCCCGAGAGCTAACGAGGTGCCCAGTGCTGCTCTTGTTAAGAATTGTTATGGCCTCTTTGGCTGGATCGGTTGACATCAAGTCATTAATAGTAGATGCTGGTGGCAACCTTCTGGATACTTCCAGCACTTTCTCCCATTTCTTGTGACTGAACTTTCTGGAAATTGCTGTTCTCCAGTCAGGAAGGCGATTGAGAACATTATTGGCCAATCGCAAAGACCGCTCGTCAATGCTCGGAAAATCTCTCGTCTCGTCCGCTACTTTGTTGATAATGAACTTCAGGAATTTTCCCACCGAGGACAAATAAGCTTTAACAGTGCCAGGTTTCATCTTGTTCTGTTCCAAGATTGGTTTGCCCCAGTCCCGCCACATGTGCATGCCCCCATCTTCAATGATACAACTGATGGTATCGTTCTTTGGATCGAGCTGATCTAGAAGCTTGCGCACATTTTGGGCGTGGATGCAGGCCTGCCTTTCTTTGTTTGCTCCACCACCAAGGTCTTGCAGATGTTCGTAAAAATACTTAAGAAGTTGGTGCCTGAAACCTTTGGGTCTACCTTTGTAAAATTCTCTCACAACCAACTCTTCCCACTCCTCATCCCCAGTATCCTCATCTAAATCCTCATCTTCATCATTGCTCTGTAAATCTTCATCCTCACCCTCATCCTCATCCTCATTATCTGAACCTTCATCTTCATCATCCTTGCTTTCTTCCTTGTCTTTCTCTTCTATCCTTTCTCTCTCCTCGTTGAAATCCTCTTCTTCGATGCTTCTCCTTTTAAGTAGTACGGTTTTCGTCCCGTTCTGCCTGTCCGGAGTAAGTGGAAAAACATTGATGGACTCAGATGACTCTAACGAGATGTGGCTGTCATCATCACTCGATATTTCAAAATCTGTATCTTCCTCATCACTGTCATTGTCAAGAAGTTCGGGGAAGTCCGCTTGTACGAGCATACCCAGTGGGGTCAAACTTCGTTTCTTACTTTGACTTGCCATTGGCTGGTTTTCTGCTTTCCTCTTGCAGCTCTTTATCTCCTTCGTTTTTCCCTCGTATGGCCTGCGCATTTTCATTGCGTTTTTATAAATGGAATCATCCTTCTTTAGTTTGTGAGTGCGCTGAAGATGCGTTGTCATTGCCAACACGGCCTTGTCGCACAGTGCACACTTTTCCCGGACTCTACCTTTGAAAGAAACTTTCTTTCCCAGCCGCTTTTCCTTTCGTCTTTTTCCTCGTTTCTCCTCTCCATGAATGGCGGCCTGGAGTATGGACTCGAGCTGTGATACGGCCAGCCTTTCTCCTTTATTTACATGACGGGCAACCACATGTCTCCTGAGATGACTAACTTGTATCTTGCACAAGGGGCACGTTCGTACCTTGGAATTATTGGTGGTTACCTTAGCAGTCTTTGTTTTATTCCCTTTGTTGTGTCTTGTTACTGACCTTTTGTCTTCTGAGTCAGATGGTGATGAACTTTCACTTGTTTTACTTCTTTCTTTCTTCCCTTTGTTATCTTTGCCTTTTGCCTCTTCTCCTTTTTCTTCCTCCACATTGTCACTGATGTCTGCTGCATTTAATGACGAACTTTGAATTTCATCCTCTCTCCCTTTAGTATTCTTCTCTTTTCTTTTCTCCCCTTTTCTGTACTCCACGTCCATCACCTTGTCAGTGTCCTCTTTATCTGACAAGCTACTTTGACTTTCCTCCCCCTTGCTCTCTTTGTTTTTCTTCTCTTTGCTTCTTGCCACTTGCCATTTCTCCCCCTCCACTTTCCTCAAATCCGCTTGAGTTTCACTTTCCGCCTCAGCTGCTATCTCTCTGCGTTCTCTGGCATTCATTTCCTCTAACAAATCTTTCATGACATTAGCAACAACATCTCCTGAGATAGGCCTGTTCTCCAGAGTTGTCTTACAGTACGCCTTAGCGATAAATTCGAGATATCTGATTTTGTTTCGGCAACTTCCGGCCAGTGTCCACAGCTGAAGACGTTCCGCAGCAGCTATGATTCCTCGGGCCGTTTCATATTCGCAGGTCAGCCGGATAATTCCCACATTAGCGTAAGGTGCGTCTAACCGCACGTTTACTGGTTTGTCAAGGTTCAATTCTCTCAGAGCAAGTTCATCTCCATTTCTCGCAAGTTCTATCAACTTACTCATCTTCTCCATGTTGACGATTTGCGAGAATACACACAATCGACAATACACACTACCACAGTGGAACTATGAAAGGGAAACGTAGACGAACAAATAAAGTTCTGCAAGTAAGAATGACAATCTTGACTTTGTAGTCTTTTAGGTCGCAATACGCTTGAATTCCAAGAGTAATGCCCGCCCCCCTTCAAAAGTAAAGTTACCAGTGAATTGAATACTGTACTGGTAAAATATGAATAGTCTCCAATGTTATTATAAACAGCAAATACTAAACAGCCGCCCCCTATTTTCATGAACATTGAATAAAACATGAAGTGCTCTTCGTTCATTCAAGTGCTCTACATTCCAAATAACGTTCTCTAGTTTGTAGAAAACCTATAACGAAATAACTGGTGCGCAAAAAATATGTTTCCTTACTGTTTGTGAAAAACGGCTGTTAAAATACTAAAATTTTTCAACCTTCCAATCAGATGGCCAAAAGTGTTGACCCTTTTGGCCTGCCAAATGCGAAAGCAACGGGGGCTGTTACTTTCAGAATTCCATTGTAGCCCCTCCCAAATAGTACATAAACGGATGAATGGTGGGCATGTATAGTAGTCACAAGTGAACATTTTCCCATTGAAAGAAAGCGATGCTAAAACTTAAACCGTTTATGACTTTGTGGCTACAGAATGGTATCTTACTGGAATTTACATCTTTTAATCAACAACTTTTATGAATTTTAACTTTTATTTGTCCAAGTATGTTTGTCGTGCAATAAGAAATTGAATTCGATTTTGACATGACATTAAGAAATTGCGTTGGGAAAAATATATCCACACATTTGACTGTGTCACCTCGTGAATCCGCTCAAAAGGAGAAACATTTTCCCTCAACTAGCCGTCATTATTTGGACATAACTTAGTTTATAATACATCTTAATAGAGAGTGTTTTATATTTAAAGGTTTCATGCTTAGAATGGATCTTTACCTAAACTTTCAGCATTCGTTTATTGCGGTGAGCACTGCAATTTTGTCCAGCTCGTAGACGTATAAATAACGTTAACATAATAATTTCAAAGACATTTTACTTCAATGTAAACATCGATCGATTTTGTGCATTCACGATCTTATCTACGTAGGCAAATTGAGCTTAAGCACGAGTGAAATCGGCGTAAAAGCTGGTGTATCATGTACTTATGTAACCTTTGTGGTGGTTAATTTGCCCGTATGTATCCTGCTAGAGGTTAAAGTAATGAATTACTACAGAGAACAAAAAACGTAACTCACCATTAGTCGATCGTCGGTCTTGGATGTGTTCATGTATGCTACACGAAGTATATATATCAACTTTCCAATGCTGTTTAATTCGTAAAGAAATGTATTTTTCAACCAAATTAATTCAAATTGAGCTCAACACCTTCTCATTCTCTGACGATATATGGCACTAAACTTGAAAATAAATTTAATAACATATATACTGTATATGTATATATTTTTTTTCAGTGTAACTCAGTGTAATCTACAGTATGTTGCCCAGTATAGGCCTGTACCAATTTTCAGCCAACAACAATTAAACTCATTTTTTTATTAGCGGTAAGTGGGCAGTATTGAGATAGAAATATCTTGGATAGCCTCCAGCAAAAAAGGAAAGATACGGCGATTATAATCTAAACTTGCTGTAAAGTGGGTGACATAATGTGCCCGTTTTGTTCACTACCCTAAGCGATCGATTTTGACTACACGTTAGAATTACTCAAATTGTTGATCTGTTCAAGTGATCTCCATTAACATTGCCATAAAATAGTAGATTTTCGAAAGAAAGAACCAAAATCTTTGCAAGTTCTACCCTTAAATGCATCGATGATAAAAAGTGCGCATTTTGGTTGATTTCCTGCCACATTTAGTATTTGCACTTGAAAATCGTTCCAAATATGCCAGGTAATAATAAAAAGAATACATCATACTTTCGTCCTTGCAGTTGCACACTCTGCTATTAACTTTCATGCACTTTAGTTAGAAATTGCAAGTTTTATTCTGATTTAAATTCGTGTTTGATTTCCCGCCACGAAAAAAAACTGACTCTTTGCGATTCAAAGTATCGAAACTGACATAAAATTTCGTCGAATGAACTGGAACTTTGCACACACTTCCTTTATAATATTATTAGTATGTGTGAATTTATTTGGTCAATTCCCTCTTAAACTAGCAAAGTTACAATTTTTTGTATCAGTCCAGTTGGAAAAAAATTCATGAATGTCATTTCTTGAGCTTTGAATCTAGTACAAGACGTGCAAGTACACCAGAAAAATTTCAAAAGTCAAAAAATGCATATTCCCTCAACGGAGGTAACATAAGGTAATGGTATAGGAGTCGGGTGATTCATAAATAACCGTGTTTTGCGCGAAAAAAAAGTTTCCAGGGATTAAATTGTCTTTTTTGAGTAAAGTGGTTGATTTCCTGCCACTTAAAAAATTAAACAGCTATAAATTCATGAAACTTTGTCAAAAAAGGAAACCGTGCATTTTTTCATAGAGGATAGTAATTCTCTAACTATTGTGGAAAGTTTCAGGCTGAGAAAAAATGGCGAAATATTTTTTTGGATGAGATCAAAAACCCAAGTTTTCCCTGGCACCCATGTTCTTGATGAGGAATATACAGAGAGAGAGAGTGTTTGAAATAAGGGTTCAGATGAAATAAAATTCAGATGTGTAAGTCTAACATTCATTTCCCAGAAGGAATTGCATTGCCACTCAAATACACCCTGCCTCAGATTTTCCAGACCAGCTTTCTCGTTAGGGTGGGTTTATTTGAGAAAATCTTTTCATTAGTATCTAAACTTTGGTGACAGTGTATCAAGTAAATGTCTCTTTAACCTAGAAATAAGTCAAAAGTTTCCAAAGAAAAAAGGTTGTGTTGTCAACTGAAAATAATGGAAACATTACTACATGAAAAAAACTTATCAGTTTGCTAAAATATCATGTTGTGTTGCAAATTGTTAATACGAATTCAGTGCTTAAGATACTATCCTCAAAAAAGTTAACAACAGTGTTGCAAGGTACGACTTTCTCTTACCTTCAGAATACAGTGTTGAACCATTCCTACATGAAATAATTCTTTTAATCACGTATAAAACAAAAATAAGCACAAGGATACTCGCTATGATCATCCCAACTATTATTGAAGGTGTTATATTTCCATTTGATGTAACATTTTCTGATGATGCAGTAGGTTTCCTGACATTATCACTAGAAGTACTCTCAGTTTTATTTGCTTCAAAATTGTGACCAGGAAGAAGAGTAACAGCCGTGACATAAGTTGTATCAAGACTGGCTTCTGTAGAATTTTCCAAAGCTTCTTTGCAGAGCTTGTTTTGGTCGTTCTTAAGACACTGCCAGTCTTCTCCCATTCCAATTTCTTTACATTTCTTCATTCTACCTGTTTCGTCCACACTGGGACAACAAAAGTAGCACTCTTGACAGAAACCATTTTCGTCGAGGTAATATCTTTCAGGGCACTTGGTGCCGCATTTACGATTTTGAGACGGGGTGCACTGCTGAATGACGTTCTTTAAGCCACAGTCGTGGCAGGATCTACAACTCTCAAAGCCATGATTGTCTGAAAATGTCTTATTCAGTTGACATGGTTCGCATTTAATAGTGGTGTAGTTAGTAATCTTGGAACCACATTGTGGTGCGAGTCCTAGCCCTGGCGGGCATTCAGGACACGCTATACACTACGTTTGAGCTTCTGGATCATCCGGGTAGTATTTCAGGAAGTTTTGCTTCAAAGGACATCTTGTGGAACGTCCTAACACAGATTGTGACCACAAGACTATCACCAAGATCAGCTGAAATTAAAGAGAAGTAAAAAATTTTGAGAAAAAATTCAAGAAACTGCGACATAATACCCAAATAAGTACGGTTGCATTCGGCAATTTGTCTCGAGTCGAAAATTTTGATCGGGAAAAATTTAATCTAAATATGATCTCTTTTAGCCGATCTTGCCACGGAGGTAACCTGTCAGACTGTTGTGTACGTAACCGGCAGTGACTGATGTAAAACAAAAACTTCGAATCTTCGTTGACTGTTTACAAACTGAATAGATCAATGACATTATGAAGTCCATATGCTATGTGTTCTAAACTTCTTCAAGAAATCTAAACTGGATAAAGATTGCGAAAAGGGTTACAGGAATACTGATGTGCGCACGAACTGCAGGGAACAGAGTATTTGGAAATAATCACCTTTATGGCGCTCTTCATAGGCTTCATGCCACCATTGTTATTTTTGCTTCGTTTGTTGCCCTGTGAAAAGAAATAAGCACGTATGCTTAGTCGAACGTTGCTAAAAGTCTGCCAGAGTTATTCGTATGTTGACTAAGCAACTGCCGGCAAAATTCGAGGATCGAGCAATGGCTACCCTACCGTTTGTATACGGCTTAGCTTGCGATAGGCGAATAATTTCGTTGACAAAATGCTTCCTAACAATAAGTTGATAAGTCAGAAAATACTGCATATTAGCCGTAGATGACAGTCTTTTATAACGAGCAAAACGGAAAAAACAAGTACGTCATCAGTATATTCAGACCCTACTACGTGACTCGACCATGTATTTCTGAGTAAAATTACATTGCATCTCTTGCGAATCAAAAGGTTGCCTTGTGTTATACATTAAAAGATACTTGACAAGAACGAAGATGGTGATGCTGAGTCTCGAAATACCAGTGGCCAAAGAACATTCGAGATGAGGACAGACTCGATCATCTTCGATCTTAACCTCTCCATTCTTTTAGAGCGAGATCACACACAGTTTTGGAAGCAGACAAAAAAATTGCACTGTTTCATCATTCCCAAATGCAAATACGCATTTGAATAATCAATTAACTGCAAGATAAATATTGCGTGACCACTTCCGTAAAGCTGAATATTACACCACTTCTGAGAGAAGTTGCGAAATATTAACTGGTTTGATTGACGCGTCCGTGATTTGTGCCTTTAGATAGAAAATTATAGCTAGCGTTTCAGTTCACGATAAGACGCCGTGTAATCAAGATCGTTTCGGGAATAGGAGACAAGTCTTATACCGGAATACCTGATAAAGTAATCAACACCCGCCACGTTTCTTAGCAGCAACTACTTTTGTACTTACGTTACCCAGTAGTTGTGATTCAAAGCGAAACTTATTGTGAGTTTTTATCTCTCTATTTTGGTTCCTTTGATTGCCACAAGCTCGTTTCCAAAATTGAGATTATTCTTTATGTTGCGGCAAACGAACATCAAGGCTCGATGAAATACCAAGAAAATCGTGACCGGAGAAAAATGCCAACCAAATCCAGGGGATATATTACAGGGACATAACTTTAATCAATCTCGTAAACTGTAAACGAATTAAAAAAGGGACTTATATAATAGATTGTATTCAATTAAACACGTGGCGACTTAACAGCGTAAATGAATCTAACATAATAAAGGAACTAATAAATGAACCAAATGCTACGGCAAACACAAAATATATATACAAATAAGGACGAAAGAGCTTGCTCGAAACGAGATAAACAACAAAAAGGCGAAAACAACTTACATATCAGTCCCTATACGCCGGTGGCTTGAAATAACACTTTATAAATTAACTTTGTATGCACTCCGAACATGAACAGGCGATTAATGAAAGCGGGAGAGAAAAACTATTTAAAGGAATCAAATGGCACAAAGGCCAACTGTAACGCAAATGTCACGCAAGTTCGAAAGTCACGCATTTACACTTTAATTAAGCTATGATCTCACAAGTCCTAGGTTATCCTTGATGTAATGATTTCAGTCGACCGCTTCCATACAAGACTGCACCATGGAATAGAAAAAAGGAAAAAAGAAAGAGAGATCCTATATAGGTTTGGTGTCTATCATATGCCCGTGTATCAACCCGGGAATCGAGATTCAATTCTAACTTGAAAAGAAATATTTAGATAATGTGGCATTCAAAGTTTAATTATTAGAACTCGATGAGTCTGAAGTCGTCGGTGACCCTTGCTGGGTCGACCAAAAACTATTGATCAGCATTTTTGATGCTAAGTCCTTTTTTACCACTGTAAACTTCTTAATCAATTACAGAGAGAGGTGTAGGTTTCACCGTGGCCATTACTAAAACAGAGAACTGAAGGGAAACTTCATGCCAATTTAGCAGTTTTTTTTTTATTTTGAAATTACTGCAAGATTATTTTCAGAATGAAGGAAACCCATAGTAGATCACGCGTTTTCCTTGCTAAAATTTGCTTTATTCTTTTGTTACAACTTTAATGTTACAAATAACAGGCCTGTTTGATTCGCCAGCCTTCGATAGTTTGACTACACAACTCGCATGGACACGGGGGATATTTAGGATTGATTCAACGCACATTTTCAAAGTTTTCAAAAATTCGGCAATATGTAAAACTTTTAAAATACGAGTGGAGAGGCTTACGAAGTTAACGTGGGTCCAAGACTTAGCTAGTGCAATACCTGACCCCTCCCCCGGTTAAAGACGCTCCACAGGCCCTTATCGTGAATTTCTTTTTGTGTAAAATTCATATCTTATGACTTTACCACAACAACAGAGAAAGGTTTAACCAATTTCCTATTAGTGAATCAAAACGTCTATCATAAGTTACCTGGGTGACGCCCAGGGCTTGCTTCTCAGAATTACACTGTCTAAGGGTTAATTAGTAAACTTGGCCTAATAGAAGAATGACTGTTTGCAGCTTTTATTTTCCGGAAACTTTAACCTCACGCTGCCTCGACAACTTGTGCCAGCCCAAGTTTTGCTGAGTCACGTTAAAAAATATCGACCGAGCCCCTTCAAGTGGACTGTTACCTCAGGAGTGATTAATTCAGTCATTTTTCTTTAATTTCTGTGCACTGAAGATTTTCTACTCTCGTTTGCTTCTAAGAAGGACTCCAAACTACAACCAAGATATTTTTTTTAGCATTTAATGGTTTACTACCCAACTCATACACAAAAATAACTTCGTTGCGTCTATATAAGTTAGGTATGCTGATTGCCATTTTTCAAAGGGCATGACTACCTAAGTTGCCCACCATTACTTAATTGCCAGTTCCCGGATCTTGATTGGAAAAACGGATACGGTCAATCACACGTTACAACTGGGAGTGCAGTTTGGATTTTTCAAAGGTTTCCTCGGATTTGTCTGTTTTCGAAAACCTTTAGTAAAAGTTTTGTACATAATTGATAGCAAAAACTACATAAAAAAGGCTGCAGTATTTTCTCAACCTCTTATGGCACATTAAGGAATACTATAAGGAAAGATGAATTCCGACAACCTTCCGTGTTCTATACGACTGGCCCGTTTTAAATTTGACACATTCATATAAATGAGATACCGCCATATTTTCCTACAACAAAGAAGCTCTAACCACGCACAACATAAAAAATCTTCATCCTCAATTGCACTTAAGGGCGTTACCTAAAATTATTTACAACTTTACAAGTAAGAGCAAAGGTTAAAAAGGTTACAAAAGCCTGGAAAAATGACTTAAAACTTTCACCGAGCTTCCTAATAGAAATTTCAATACAAAAATTGCCTATATCTTTCAAAACACCTGATTAAAAAGATCCTGTTATTTAATCTTAAAACAACATCTCTTAAACAGCGTGTATCCGTACTTTCCAAAAATATGTTTAGACCACTTTGATTTTTCTTAACACACAAAATCAGTTTCACGTTATTTACAAGACCGACTTAATTGCTATCAACTGTCACTGTTCTTAGAGTCCATGCCTTGAACATGATGTTAAAGAAACGCTCAACAACCTCTTGGGAATTGTCAATTTTTATCCTCCTCTAAACATCTGTCTTGTTTTTTCCTAAACCAGTTAATAATGTCGTTGGCAACATCGTTGCGTTCCAGCTCCTGGAGGACGTCTACGAACTCTTTTAGAGTAGCACATTTGGAACTGCACAACTTTTCCATCAAAAGCCTTATTGCGCTGACTCCTGGCTTCCTGCTCTCTATCTCCAACAGCTGAATGTCTTGTTTGGTAATTCCATACCCGTGAGCGACATGTTTCCAGTTCTTTTGAACTGGCGAGGAATCAGAATCTAGTTGCAGAATAAAATCCTCGACATCATATGGAAAGTCGGCGAGCTTGAAGTCTAATATAACGAAAGAGCAATCAAATTCAGTTGACAAAGTCAAAAGGAAAAAAAAAAGTAGTCGTAATAATCATCATTATCATCATCACAATAATGCTCATTTGAGGACACCCCCAGTGGAAGCTACTTGCTAACGCCTAGATGACGAGTGGGTACTGCAGGCGGGAACTGGGAGTAATAAAGGCTTCTTAAGTTGCTAATAACATTAATCTTACACTCAAAGGACGGAGATTCATTAATTGTCACTCATTTACATACCTTCGGGGATTTCAGTCGTAAGAACACAATCTTTGTCGTCTCCTTGACAATCATAGCGAACTGTAATTGAATGAATTTAATTATGGTGAATTCACTGGCAAGTAAGCTTTTCCAGTTGCAAGGGATATTGCATAAATGGAAAGGTATGATGATAGGGGAGAGAGTGTATGTAGTTTATCCAGTTCGGCCATCATTAAAACTAACGGTTAATATTAGGCATTTTGTTTAAGCCTTGTTAAAAAATATAATAATTGCATTGAATATTAGAGAAGAGGCAACAGCGCTCATGAGGAACAGCGCCAAATGAAGGGCTTTGTTCAGAGAACTATTTCACGGGTATTTAACTGTTACCATTTTGGTCAAACAGAGACTGAAAGAATTCAAGAAGGCAATTTCACAAGGAAACAATAGTGCGGTTTTAGCTTCCATTTAGCTGAGTGCTGATGAAAATCAAATAAACTCAGTCAATAGGCACGTGAAAACTTTGAACCACTCAGAGAGTGACTAGCATTTAATTTCTCCTTATAATATCACCCCTGAATAAAACATTAAGGTCATGAGAATAAAGGAAATGATAATCAACTGAAGAATCTTATGATTGTTTAACAAACGTCCTTGTCAGCACATTAGGAAATGTATAGAGAACAGTATGGAGAATATGCATACTGATGTTAAGGTGTAAAGGATTCATGTGCATGAAAAAGGAAGGGAGACGGGAGAGTGCTCCTGCTCATCTACTCCATTGTCTGTGAAAAAAAAAATGATCTAGTATTCATAAGTCCAGAAAATAACTGACCCTTATCTCTTTTTAGCTTATCCCACAAATACCGGTTTTAAGGAGGATACGGCCATAATGAGGTCAACGATGAGTAGGTGCCTGAAAAAGCTAATAATTGTGGGAAATCCTAGCGAAGATTGTGAGGCTCTTTACATCTTCCAGTATGTGATAAATCAAGAAAGTGCACTTCTCTGATGCACAGAATAACTTAAGCTGAATTTTTGTATGGTACAGATGCCACTCCAGCACTATGTAAGCTATCATCACTGTCAACTAAGTACCATTCCGAAGGTTGTGAAAGTAAATCTGACCAGCCTGACTAGAAAAATGATGTAAAATTTTCACCGAGCTTCCTAATAGAAATTTCAATACAAAAATTGCCTATATCTTTAAAACACCTGATTAAAAAGATCCTGTGATCTAATATTAAAAGAACATCTCTCAAACAAAATGTATCCCTACTTTCCAAAAATATGTTTAGGCTACTTTGATTTTTCTAAATACACAAAATCAGTTTCACGTTATTTACAAGACCGACTTAATAACTATCAACTTTCACTGTTCTTAAAGTCCATGCGTGGTACATGATATTAATGAAACACTCAATAACCTCTTGGGTATTGTCAATTCTTACCCTCCTCTAAACATCTGTCCTGTTTTTTCCTAAACCAGTTAATAATGTCGTTGGCAACATCGTTGCGTTCCAGCTCCTGGAGGACGTCTACGAACTCTTTTAGAGTAGCACATTTGAAACTGCACAACTTTCCAATCAAAAGTCTTATTGCGCTGACTCCTGACTTCTTGCTCTCTGTCTCCACAAGTTGAATGTCTTGTTTGGAAATTTCAAACCTGTGAGCGACATGTTTCCAGTTCTTTTGAAATGGCGAGGAATCAATATCTAGTTGCAGAATAAAATCCTTGATAGCATATGGGAAGTCGGCGAGCTTGAAGTCTAATATAACGAAAGAGCAATTAAATAGACAAAGTTAAAAAGAAAAAAAAAGTAGTCGCAATAATCATCATTATCATCATCACAATAATGTTCATTTTAGGACACCCTGGTGGAAGCTGCTGGTTAACGCCTAGAAGAGGAGTGGGTACTGCAGGCGGGAACAGTGTGTGATGAAGGCTTCTTACTTGCTAAAATAACATAAATCTTACACTCAAAGGACGGAGATTCATTAATTGTCACTCATTTACATACCTTCGGGGATTTCATTCGTAAGAACACAATCTTTGTCGTCTCCTTGACCATCATAGCGAACTGTAATTGAATGAATTTAATTATGGTGAATTCACTGGCCAGTAAGCTTTTCCAGTTGCAAGGGATATTGCATAAATGGAAAGGTATGATGATAGGGGAGAGAGTGTATGTAGTTTATCCAGTTCGGCCATCATTAAAACTAACGGTTAATATTAGGCATTTTGTTTAAGCCTTGTTAAAAAATATAATAATTGCATTGAATATTAGAGAAGAGGCAACAGCGCTCATGAGGAACAGCGCCAAATGAAGGGCTTTGTTCAGAGAACTATTTCACGGGTGTTTAGCTGTTACCATTTTGGTCAAACAGAGACCGAAAGAATTCAAGGAGGCAATTTCACAGGGAAACAATAGTGCGGTTTTAGCTTCCATTTAGCTGAGTGCTGATGAAAATCAAATAAACTCAGTCAATAGGCACGTGAAAACTTTGAACCACTCAGAGAGTGACCAGCATTTAATTTCTCCTTTTAATATCACCCCTGAATCAAACATTAAGGTCATGAGAATAAAGGAAATAATAATCAACTGAAGAATCTCATGATTGTTTAACAAACGACCTTGTCAGCACATTAGGAAATGTATAGAGAACAGTATGGAGAATATGCATACTGATGTTAGAGTGTGAAAGGATTAATGTGAAGAAGGAAGGACTGACTCCTCACCTGTTGGAATTAGTTCAATATTTGGCCTGTTATTCATGGGTTGTCTAACGGGAGAGTGCTCCTGCTCATCTACTCCATTATCTGTGAAAAAAAAATGATCTAGTATTCAAAAGTTCAGAAAATAACTGACCCTTATCTCTTTTTAGCTTATCCCACAAATACTGGTTTTAAGGAGGATACGGCCATAATGAGGTCAACCACGAGTAGGTGCCTGAAAAAGCTAATAATTGTGGGAAACATTGTGAGGCTCTTTACATCTTCCAGTATGTGATAAATCAATAAGGTGCACTTCTTCGCTGCACAGAATAACTTAAGCTGAATTTTCTTTAGTACAGGTGCCACTCCAGCACTATCTAAGCTGTCATCAATCTTAACTAAGTACCATGCCAAAGGTTGTGAAGTAAATCTTAGCAACCATACCGTGAACAGTTTCACCATTGTCCTCTCTTCCCTCGCATCTTATCTCATGTAGTGGCACAAGCTCAAGTGAACCTACAACAAAGTTTGTTGACTCATCACCACAAATGGCTTGATTATTAATTGATAAAATTGTTATACCAAAATGTTTGAGGGATTAATGATTTGTACGACTATCCAAGATCCCCATGAAGTAAATCTGAGGAATGGTTTTGTTTTATCAATTTTAATCAGGTTCAATTATCCTTGGTTAATAATGATAGGTGTTAGTTGATACTTCAGATTACCCTCAAAACATCTCTCCAGATCTATAATATTATTAAGCAATGATTCTATCTGGATCTCCTCCAGAGAGAGAGGGAGAGAGAGAGAGAGAGAGAGAGAGAGAGTTTGAAATGAGGGGTTTAAGTTCAGATGTGTAAGTCTAACATTCTTTTCCCAGAATGAATTGCATTACCACTCAGATACACTCTGCCTCGGATTTTCCAGACCAGCTCTTTGTTTGGGTGGGTTTATTTGAAAAAATTAAATTTTATCTTTCATTAGTCTCGAAGCTTTGATAGCAGCATATCAAATAAATGTCTCTTTAACCTGGAAATAAGTCAAAAGTTTTCAAAAAAACAAAAACCAGTTGTGTTGTCTAGTGACAACTATGGAAACATTACTGCATGAGCATAACTTATCAGTTTGCTACAATATCATGCTCCACGCTCATAACAAGACGAAAAACATATTTCACTATTTCTTAACCGAGTTCAAAACATACCATCTCTCTTATTATATTCT